CATTTATGTATCTTTAGAGTATTTTATGAACATTTTGTAGACGCTTTGTAAGGAACTAAGTGCCGTTTCATTTTCATTATTACAATACCGTATGAAATGTCCGACAGTCAATTGGTTTTGTTATCCAATATTTTGAGTATGTAACGATATTATACGTTATTATCACCGATTTTAATAATATCACCCAACTCTGTCGATTATTATTAAAATGTAGATTGTAATCTTTTTTATCCGAATTCATTGCATTTACAACTATAAAAACAAAAGATTGAGAGAAGAATGATCTATTCTGATGGTTTCATAGTTTTAAATTTCAAAAAATCTTAATCATTCAAATTTTAAATGTCTCTCCATCGCTGAAGTGATTTTGAAAATTTCAGTCCATTTTTATTCGAGATTTAATAGCGATTCGTCGTATTTCATAGCTGATGACTTGTCCAATTAGTGAAGGCAAGTTTTTTAAAACGTAATATCTTAACCATACCCATAGTATCGATATTTTGCCAATCAAAAAAAAAACAAAATTGATGAACGAAAATACCAGTTAAAGATCTCCAATGTAGATACCGAAGTAGATGTCAAGCAGTAAGAAGCGAATAGTGACTCAAACCTGACGATTCGGTAACAGTTGACTAAGCTGAAAATTTAATGGGTTTGACTATTTTAGTCTGTTTGTTTATACTTGCACTGCAGCTCAAAAGTTTGGAACCGGTATACTTTTTTTTATGTAGGATAAGTAAAGTAAGCTTTTGAGTAAAATCGGCCCAATTTTTCGGGTTTGCAAAAAATTAACAAAAAACAATAATCAAGATTCAAGTTACTGAGCTTTCATTCTAACGTTGTTTTTGATTGTCACAGGAATTTTTTGCAAAAGATCAATAAAAGATCTAAAAACGTGAAAAATTGAGCCAATTTTACACAATAGCTTTGCCCCTGCATCAAAAAAGTACACCGGTTCAAAACTTGAGCTACAGTGAATTTGAAATTGAAATTAATAAATAAGTTTAAATGGTTAAATATTCTGACTTAACACAGTATATTGTATGGATATGGATTAGAATGAAGGAATAAGGAAAGAAAATTGTAAAAAGAGCTTTGAATTAAAGGCTGAGATAATGCGACAAAATTTATAAACGGTCCCTAATCAAGGAGGAGTTAAATCTAATTTGAGCGCATCAAATTTCATTACAATTTCTTCAATCATTATTTAACTCAATTAAATTTTCTTGCGTAAAATATTAATCAAAAAACTCTAGAAATCAGATTAAAAAACAATTTAGGTTTAATTTGATCGATTAAGGAAGATTGAAACCATGAAAATACGCTGCCCGGCAGATAGTGTAAATAAGCTATTCCAAGTGAGTCTCATTATCTCAGGCCTTATTATATTTAAAATTTGATAATTTACTAATTAAATAGACAGATTAATATTTATACAAACTAAATAGATCGAAATATATCAAAATTCCAAATTGAGAGACTAAAAAATAAGGTGAATCTGGTTAAATATTAAATTGAGCTTTAAATTAATTTTCAATTGTTGCTGACGTAGCTTTGACAGCACCATTTAAAAATGTAGGATAAAAAATAAGCGTTATTCAATTCGGATTCAAGTTGATAAACAGTCAAAATAATTGTTTCATTCTTTATTCCCGTTAACTATCATCTAGTTCTTTTCATGTAATTCCGTATCTTTCAATAGTTTTTATCAATTTTATTTCATTTCAAAATTCATAAATCGACATGGAATAGATTTTTCAGATGTAAAATTCAATTCTAATTTCCATGAAGTGATTTATTTTGATTTGTCACTCCGCAAAACTGGCCATTTTCTCGATAAATTGACTATTGCGAAGCTCATCTATCTAATGCTACAATGAAAACCGTGATAATTGAGAAGATTTCTCCAAGTTATGCTTTCGTTTCTATTGACAGTTTTTTAAACTTATTGAGGTACCCATCGTGAAAAAGCAGTAATATACAGATACAAGTAAAACAGCTTGCATCAGTCAATTTATCGAAAGAACGGCCAGTTTTGCAAGATGAAAGATCAAAATAAATCACTTCATGGAAATTAGAATTGAATTTTACATCTGAAAAATCTATTCCTAGCAGGCAGAGGAAGGCAAGAACAGCCTTTAAAGGTCACCAGCTTCAGTTAATTCTTTAACCCTTTACCGTTTACTCATTCAATCTCAGCTCTAAGATGGGCATAGTGAAGTTAATGAAAATTTGTTTTTGTTTTTAAACTTTGGAGAAGAGTTTTGAGCGATCCAAATATTTAAGTGTCCAAAATAGAATGGAATTAGCAGCGAAATTAAATTTGATTGAGTCTCAAGTCAAGACTTGGTATCAAAATGGTTCAAAACCGAGAAGAAGGACAAAACAGCGAAAGACAAAATAGCGAATGCAAAATAAATACAATCATTCTCGTTTGTTTAGAACCAACTTTCATATGAACAAAACCAGAATTCAAAAGAGTAAAACCGGCTGACTGTAAAGTCAAAGAGTTTTCATAACAACAAAACCGCTTTCGTATGACCAAAACTCATTTTCATAAGACAAAAACTCTCGAGTTAAAGAAGCATCTTTATTCATGGTGTAGACTGTTTCTTTAATTGTTAATTGCTTCTTTTCTGAGGAATCTTGGAATATAAGCTAACATTTTGATAAATTTTGACTTGTTAATTGTGATTTACCATCTTCAATGGAAATTCATTGGAAAATCAGTGATAATCCTCTTTGCATACTCTGAATAAAGTAACTCTTTAACTCGAGAGTTTTTGTCTGATGAAAGTAGGTTTTGGTCATTTGAACGCTGGTTTTGTTGTTTTGAAAGCTCTGTGTCTTTACAGTCAGTCGGTTTTACTCTTTTGAATGTTGGTTGTGTTCATATGAAAGTTGGTTCTAAACAAACGAGAATGATTGTAAAATCAAATCCGCGAAAAATATCGCTGCGCATATTGCTATATAAAAGCAAAAATTTTCATTTTCTTTTTTTAATCAGTTCGCAATTAGCCATGATTGAGGAAACAATTTGATTGGTAAAGATTTGAATGAAAGAATCAAAATAATTGCAAACTAAATGAAATAGTTGAGCCAATTCAGTTTATGACAATCAAAGTATTGCGTTAAATTTTCAGAAAAAACTTTAATCAGTTTAATTATTTAGCTTCTTATTTTTACCTTTCGCTATTTTGCCTTACTCTGTTTAAACCTTCTATGTTTTGGCTATTTTGACCCTTCACCATCAAAATAGACGGACTAAGTGGAAGAGACAAACGGCCGTTGGTCTAGAGCTCCTATGAGGCTGGGAATTATGCTGCCGTTAAACAAATGTTTGAAACGAATCCAAATTGGATGACCAAGCATTTCATCTCAACAAACGATTCCTTTCGATATTTACTAATGTTTAATAATTTTTCAGATGTTCTTGATGAAAATCAGCAAGAACATCAAACAAATGTCGATTAAAAAATTAAAATAACCTTAATTTAATTTTAACCGGATTCACCTTAAATTATCGATTTACTCAATAAAACAGAAAACCTTTTCAAAGTGAAACAAAACTAAAATTGTGATTAAAAGGTATCACAGTTTATTCAGCAATCTGAATAACCAAATACGCTTGTCTCTAACACACAATGTATCAAATGACAGGGTCTGATCTTAATATACTGATACTATAGTTAATACTAGCTTGTCAGAAGTGGCGCAAGTTTGATCTGAGATATTTTCGTATAGGAATTCAGTAGCTCACTCAAATTTTACAAATTTTGAAAAATTTCACACTGAAATTAACATGCTTTAAAAAGCTATTATAAAATTAACGAAAAAAATCAAAATCGAAAATTCTCTTCATCTATCGAGCCTCTAGACTAAACCTAAACTGGTTTATGCAAGAAATTACGCTAAGTTACTAATCCAACTACGCTGTGATGCGTGTCTTTATGGTGTTGGTACAATTATTTTACAGGAACACGATAAACAATGGAAACCTGTGGCGTTTACGAGTCGACTTCTTCGCGGGTCAGAATTGAACTACGCCATTAGTGATAAGAAGGTTGTGCGATAGTTTATGCAATCGATAAGTTTAGAACCTATCTTGAAGGAATTGAATTTGAAATCATTACGGATGTCTGTAGTCTCTGTTTTCCGAAAACTAAGAAAAATTTACCACCAAGATTGTTAAGATACTCTCTACTTTTACAAGAATTTACCTTCAAAATCATCTATAAGTCAGGAAAACATGACAAAGATTGTGATGCCTTATCAAGTTATTCGTTATTAGTCTAGTCCTCTAACATGGAATAATAAATTCATTTTTGCCTTAAAATTTTTTTCATAGCCTAAACATATTAATCTTTTTTATTAATTGAAAGATAACTTTTAGCTATTCATTAACAGCAACCGAAAATTCATGAAAAAAAAACTATTCCAATGTGGAATTAGCAACATGTCAGTTTAACTCGAGCAAATATTTTTTCTGAATTTCACTGTATATTCAAAAACCTTTTATGGTAAATATGATCGGATCATTTGAGATTGTTATTTATTTTAAATGATTACTTTATACAGCTCTAGTATTAAGTCATAAACTCATTCAATCCGAATTTGTACCAGATTCAGGCCATTCTGAAATATACGACAATTTCGACAATAAATCGCTGAATGGACTCAAAAAATGGTCCTATTAGATTATATTCTGGATTTTTAAACTGCAGATAGTCACTTGGGTCAGACCTAATAAATACGGTGGCTGTTTGATGTGATCCCAACCTAGATCGCTGATTAATCAATTGCCTCAAATGTGTTTCGCTATACAGCCCAGGCTGAAAAGTACTCAAATCGAGCATCCTTAACCTAAGCTGAATTTGTTAATTCAACTTTTAATTCAACTTGATGATTAACGAGAGTAATTGAACGTTCAAAAGAATTGAATAGGAAAATCAGAAATGATGAATCAAGAAAACTTGTATCGGAATGACTAGATAACTCACCAAACTGACTTTTCATCCAGGGAAAATAATTTGGTGCAATTGATGAACTTGAATTGGGTTCACTAGGACTTTCTACTGGACCAGGATACATTTGATTACCACTTTGGTTGCCAGACATTGGCGGTGATGTTGAACCCGATACTTGTAGCATGTGTCCCTGAGGACCGGCCATTATATCTCTATGAGGGTGTTGAATTTGTTGCATTTTACAACTAACATATTGCTGGTTCGTTGAGTCATGTGGAGGAGTTAAACTGTGAATACGACTATGACCTACACCTCCGCCTCCACAATCATAGGGTGATGTTAACGATTGAGCAGTTTGTTGAGCTTGCTGAGATACAGTTGCTTGTTGGGGCGATGTTAATTGAGACGGTGGTATTGATGTTTGTTGATGAGAATTGTCATCAGGTGCAGGTGGACCTGAAGGTACACCGTTACTTGAACAGTTATAGTATGGAATAGTTGGTTCATATCTGAAATTAAAGTAAAGTTTACTTAATTAGTTTCAACCTTTCAAAGTTTACATCTCAATCAATCTCATTTTTTGTCTGTTGCTGGTATGCTTTTTGTTAATGGGCTGTTCTTACTTGACTTCATGAGAATTGGTTGCTTCCAGCTCTCTTAATGTTAATCGATCAAATGGAGGAAAACGTGGGTGTGGTTGTTGTGAAGATGATGTTAAACCAGGGGAGTATTGCATTTGCTGGTATGATGCATAATGACCTGTCCCTGTTACTGGTCCTCGTCCATTTTCATGGCACTGGGATAACCCATGGTGATGATGAGTTTCACTTCCATAGGTTTCATGTCCATTTGAACCAGAGCCATATGTTGATGTGTTGGTAAAATATGGACTCATATCACACATGTCTTTAAAAAATAGCAATAACTATCACTTCAGTTAATCACCAATGGTTGTTGAATATTCCATGTAAATTTTGGTGAAGCTAAAAGTAATTAGATGAATATGCAGATTAAAATTCTAATTGACCAGTTCACGGAATGTCATTGAGAAATGTATTCATTTTTCATTCAATGTTGAATAATTTAAAGATAATGAATGATAAAGTTTCCCAATTGAAAAACAGGCAGACTTGCGATCATGACTGATTGGAAATTTTGTTACTCAGCTCAACACGATTAAAAGATTAAAGTTATTGATGAGCTAAGAATAGTCACAAGGAAAAATATACAACTGAACAGAATGCAATCCAAGTGAAAAGTTTGTTACCTGGTATGTCAACATGCTTTCGGTGTTTTTTCGAATATTTTCTTTATTTATTTTTCGATTAAGTTCTAATTCATGCAGTATAATGCTGAATGATAGGCAAGTCAATAGTGATACTGTTCGATGTGACTGCTTTCATTTTCAACTACAGTAGCTCTCAAATAACCAAACAGGATTGACTTTTGATTGGAAGATGATTATTGAAAAATATTTGGGAAATTATTAGTACATTATCAGTTGAATTTGCAGAAATAAATGTACTCTAATCAGATGATTAATCAATTTTTTACGACAATTTCGTCTCAAAAACTTGCATCAAAAACGTTAAAAGCTTTTCAACATTTTTTGAACATGGTCTCGAATCGAATCAAGCAAAAGTATCCAAGGTATTGAATTTTTTATGATTAGGTCAAATTTTGAGTGAAAATGTATCTAAATAATAAAAATTTGATCGATTAAAAGCCAACTAAGGTCACAAAAAGAAGCTGAAAATAGAGAATTCTAAAGGGTTTCAAGGTTTATTTCTGACAAAATTATCTGAAGATTAAGGTGAAAATTTTGATTACATGACGATAAAGATGAATCGGTCAATTGTATCAACTCGTGTATTAATATTTTGATTAACCTTTACTTTTGTGATTTCATCTTTATCTTCATATAGATTTGTCAGAAATAAACCTTAACACCTTTTACTTCGGGGAAAATTAATCACTGAATTATGATAAATGATGATTAAACTTTGCTTCGATAGTTCTATTTAGTCTATTCTACATGAAAAATATGTATTTCATTCCATTTATAATAAAAAAGTTAACTATGGTTGGTTATTTTTAAGACGTACTGCATTGCCAGACTAAACCACAATGATGTAACTTCAGGTCATTGTGGGCTTTATCAAACCTATTCAAACCGATGTTTTAGTAAATAAATTGATGACGAGATGACATACAAGAACGTAAATTTATCGTAAATCCTTAAATAACCCTTGAACGGCTGTTAACAGAAGAAAAAAACAACATTTTTGCAATCAGTCGACTTTTATTGCCAAAAAAAGTTGTGCCCTTAACTTTTAAAGATAAACTAATGAAACATTCTATTGACCCTCCTTTCCTCTTTTTTCATCTTATCTTTCAATCTTCTTCTGTGTTCATCTTTATCCATGCTTTCCTCATCTCTGGTTCTGTAGTCTCACCATCATCATCATTTTTCCTCTTTTCTTTTTAGTCTAAACAAAGTTTGATATAACGCGAAACAACACATAGCAACATGAAGGAAACTCATCAACTGAAAAAAAAAACAGAAACATAAACAAAAAAAGACAATTTTCGTTCCTTTCATTTGCTTCATTCACTTATCTTTCTCATTCTCTTTCGCTTTTTTCCTTGTAAACCTTTCTTTGACTTGTAAAACCCATCGTTTTCAAGAAATTGGATTGTAATTGTAAAGATGAAAATGAAACTAAATGAGATTTAATGCGCTAAAGGAACCAAGGCAAAAAAAGTGTTTCCCTTCCTTTTTTACGCCTTGTAAAGGTTACAACTAAAGTAAACCTATAAAAAAGTTTACATTTCAAGTTTAACTGTCTGCTTATGAATGTTGAAGTAAAGTTAATGAAGACTTCATGTAATCATAAAAAAGGCACTTTTCACTTGTAAAGACAACAATTTGTAAATCATAATTAGTTGATTGAATTACATTTAAAAATTTGTTTCATTTTTATTCAAAGCCTTTTCTGGCTTTTTCATCTTTACTGGTTAACCTGAAATTAATTCATCATAAAACATCCCAACCATATCCATACAATAGTTTTTAAGCCTGTAAAGTTCCTGCGCTATCAAGTAGCAATGGATATCAAGAAAAAAAGGAATTTTTATTCAAGATTTTCATCTTGGAATTTGATAAACATTGATTTATCGGACCAACAAAAAGCAAAATCTTGGTTACCTTTTGGTTAAAAATGGACATGGCGAGGCCTATGGTTATGATGTTGGATTAATCAATGAAATGAATGTTGAAATGATCCCATAATCACACATATGAAACACACTTGATTATTGTTGAAGTAAAGGTGAAAATGTTGAGATTCCAGCACTTTGATGTCACAAGTTGATCGGAATGGTAAAGGATTGAAAGGAAACAAGATTCAATGAAATCACATAAAACTTTATTCGCCCAATCAGTGCGTTTAATTGAACAATTTTTAAATTACATTATTCTCTGTCTTTATCACTATAATGTTATATCAACGAATGGACCTTCCAACAAGATACTTCAACGGCGCCTCTCAATCTCACTCAATCTCTCTCTTTACTCTCTTCACTCGCTTTCTCTCTCTCTCTTAATATGGAGGTGACTCATTAAACTGGATTTATCCTATTCTCCCTCGTAATATCATAATTTTTCTCTCTTCCCTTTCTTTTCTCTCTTTCGCTTTTTGCCTCTTGAACACTTCATTTCTGTATATGCATTCACCAAGTTCAGAGTCTCTGTCTACTTTTGTGCCTATCATGGTCTTTCTTTTTTTCCTTTCTTCATTTAAATCTTGTGTTTTTGTCTAACTAAACTTTTTACGAAAAAAATGGCAACAAACGAAAGAAACAAGCTCCATCTTTAGCTTGGATTTTAAATTAAACCCGACACCGTGTTTTCACAATAAAACTAATCAATGCACTTGATTGTATAATCAATGGTTTGCCGAGGCTCAAGAGATAAACTTGAACTTTTCGTGACCAGAAAAGCCGGTTGTCTATACTTGGCCTGTGTAGTTTAGGTTAGTTGAAGCGGAAAATTTGGAAGCAACTGGCATGGCTTTTCAACTTTGCCAACTTAATGGTCGATGGTGATTCCACCGTTTTCATGGTGTATTCCCAGGCGATAATTAGAGTTACTTAGAGGAACAAGTCTATTTGGTTAATCTCTTTTCTTTTCTTTGACAACTCGACTAACCCACACCTTCATCAGTCTCTATATGCCCAGTGAAATTTGCATCTGCCAATGATTGGCTTCTTTTGATAAATTGAAGTCTGTTTCAATGAAATGAAATGTTTGACCCGAACCGATGACATTCTAACATCTTTGATCGTATTAACTTACATTTGTTAGTTACAATTGATATATTGTGGTATAGTAATTGAATTAAAATCGGAAACTTTTGTTAATCTCTTACAACGCCATCTAGAGTTGGTAGTCACTAGATACCGAAGCTAGTCGATGGATGATCAAATCACTGACTTGAAGGTAAATAAACGACTGGCGGCGGCTGAGCTAATCCAGTCGACTCAAATTTTAAATTTCAGAATTCCGTTTTGTGATAAAAAGTTGAACTTTGAAAAATTTCAGAAATCTAGTTGATGTTATTCATAACGTGTTATTAATGAAAATTTAAATATTGTTTCTTTAGCATGTGAATTAGCTATCTATACAATATATAAAGTCAAAGTATCAAATTTTTGCGTCAAGATTGTGGCCAAACTGAGCGGGTTCCAAGAAAAAAAATTACACAGTCTGAAAGCCCTGATTCAACTACAACGACGAAAAATAGGAAACCTAACCTCAGAACCTCATGACCTCTGAGAAATTCATGAAAATAGAGGATGGGGGAAAAAATGTAGAATCCGTATCCAATAACATTGAGAGAGGGGGAAAAACTTTTTGTTATTTAGGTTGATGGTTGATTGTTGGACCAGGATTTTATGTAAAACTTTGTCATTTGAGTAAAGAGTAAAGAGGGGAGACGGCTTTTTTCACCAGTTTTGTAGCGGTTTTTAATCGTATTGCCCACCACTCAATCCAACACATCTACCAAATCAACGAAATAAACAAAGTCAAACAACATCACTTTTTAAAGAAACTTTTCTCAACAAAATTGTCCATCACTTTAGAGTGGCTTTTTCCACCACTTTTTTCCGCCACATTTTCAAACAAATTTTTATAAGATTATCTACCACACAGAACTCAGATTCTTGAGAAAATTATTTTCATTTTTATTTTTTTTAATAAACCATGTTGACCACTTTTACACCATCTAGCACATCCACTATTAATCACCAAAGTGGTCAAAAATTTGGTGGATTTGGGTGGTGGATGATCTTATATAAAAATTGTTTGAAAATGCGTATGAAAAAGCCACTCTAAAGTGATGGACAATTTAGTGGACAATGAGAATCGTTGAGAAAAGTTTCTTTAAAAAGTGATGTTGTTTGATTTAGTTGATGCGGTAGATGTGTTGGATTGGGCGGCGGACAATGCCGTGAAAAGACGGTTAGCATGGGTGGTTAAAAGAAATTTACGATCAGTCATGATCGTGCCTCAGCTTGTAGAAGTAAAAAAATAGACAATTTAGCCAAACACAGTCATCTTTGACTAGCTGAGTGACTTGAAACAACTAGGTTCACTGTCTAATCACTTAAATTACAGCTTTTGTGACCATTTACTCATGGGGACAGAGTGAGTTGCATTTGTTGCGAATGGATTTTCCTAGCCACTACAAAGATCTAATTTCGCGTTTTATGACTGCTTTTTTCAAGTTTCACGTTCATATCTAAAGGGAACCAGTGACTGTCAGAGTAAATCGAGGAACACTAAAAAGTTGTAAGTTAAGGTTTTAAAGGGTAATGGGGTCAAAGCAGCAAAAGGACAAAATAGCAAATCGGCTTTTAAAATGAATATACAGAACGTCTCAAAAATAACCAACCATAGTTAACTTTTTTAAATGAAAATTAATCTCATGCAATACTCTTTTTTCATGTAGATCATTTTTCTTCTGTTAACAGCCGTTCAAGGGTTATTTAAGGATTTACGATAAATTTACGTTCTTGTATGTCATCTCGTAATCAATTTATTTACTTAAAGTCGGTTCGAATAGCTTTGATGAAGCCCACAATGACCCTGGTTGGTTATTTTTGAGAGCTACTGTAGTTGAAAATGAAAGCAGTCACATTGAACAGTATCACTATTGACTTGCCTATCATTCAGCACTATACTGTAAATCTATTGAAAGGTTTAATACCTAAATCGTTTTGAACAGCGTTAGTTTGGGCCCATAAAGGCGTTTATTGAACAAATCGAAAAATTTTATGATCGATAGTTTACGGTAAAATCACATTCAAATTTAATTCGATTGATTTTTGGTAGTTATGGGTGCATAAAGCAAAAAATGTGTCTGATTAACAGTTTCATCGGATAAATATTAGGGTGCCCGGCTCAATTTGTCACAACTTTAAGTATCGACGCTATATGGCCACAAAGTTCGAGATGCCATTTTTCGATTTTTTTCTAATTACTTTTGAATTACCAATATGTAAAGGGTTTCATAACACGAAAACCGCGTTCAAATGACTGAAACTTTTTTTCTAAGACAAAAACTCTCGAGTCAAAGTATCTTTATCCAGGGCATAGACTATTTTTTTTATTGTTAATTGCTTCTTTTCTGAGGCATATTGGAATATAAGTTAACATTTTTGATAAATGTTGACTTATTAATTGAGATTTACAAACTTCAATGGAAGTTCATTGGAAAAATTAGTGATAATCCTCTTTACATACTCGGAATAGAGCAGCTCTTTAACTCTTAGAGAGACTTTTCTTCACAAAATTGTCCACCCTTTTCATCCACCACTTACGAGTGGCTTTTTACAATTTTGTTACATAAGATTTTCCACCACCCAGATCTAACACATCCACTATTAATCGCCATTATATCTGAAAAGTGGTGAATAATTTGATGGATTTGGGTAGTGAAAAATACTGTGAAAAAAGTGGTAGATTTGGTGGAAAAAGCCGGTTCCCTTTGCCGACTTGTTAATGCGCCATCTATTGGATGGACTAAAAATTCACCAATCTACACCCCCTAGCGGCCTGCCATTAGCTGCTGCCTCCTTGCGAAGCATTTCCAATAAAATTAACATTAGGCTGATTGCAATTGCACAATTTATAAGTTTTTAGGGTAACAGTCTAGTTATACGGACACAGGGAGGAGCGTTAATTTAACACATGATTTAAACAAATCACAGTAAAGACGCTCATGTTGTGGTTTTAATAATTTTTACACAACAATGATACAATGTATTTTAACTAATATTCAATTGTTGAATTAGTGGACAAACAAATTGACCAGCAAGCCGCTTCAAAATTAGCTTTAATATCCTTCTCTATTGAGCTATTCTCAATTTTCACATTTTATTGATAATATTAAATTCAAACAGATTGTCTTGATTGGATACTGATTTAAAAGTATTGCTAGTTACGCCTTGTGTCCGTGTAACTAGACTGTTACCAAATCAAAAGATTGAGAGAAGAATGATCTATTCTGATGGTTTCATAGGTTTTTAGTCTCAAGGAGGAAACGAGGAAGGTCAAATTGAATAGGGATGATTGTCTATTTTCAGATCACTTTTAATATAATTTTTGTATATTTTTTCATGAAATATTCACGAAAAAAAAACAAAGAAAATTAAGGATTCAGAAAGGATAGAGTTGGACTAGAAAAAGTAAGAGAAAATAACATGTATCTGAAAAATCAAATCGAGTCAAATTGAATTTTGAATTTCGGTTAATCAACCCGAAAACAAGCTTGCAAACTCATTATCGATTTCATTGAGGTACGCTATTTAAATTAACCTTAGTTTGCTATTTGTGCCCGATCAATTTGAAATAAGCTCAAATAGACTGACATTTAAATTAATTGAATCATTAAATGAACAGAGGCTCAACTTTAACTGGCCATTAATGCTCTTTGATTAGTATCATTAGTCACTCTTGTTGCTTGTTGTGACTCCCTTTTGGTCAACAATCAACCATTTAACTGACCTCATAAAAGATGGTATAATTAAATGTTATCATCACTATCATCATTATCTTATTAATGAAAACACTTTTTTTATGATTATAACAAGTAATTCATTCTTATTTATTTTAATTTATTTTATTCAGACTTTTATCGTCTAATGATGATTATCACGCTTTACAAATACAAGTAGTTAAAAGTAACTTTTTTACAATTTCTTATGTAATGAAAGAGTCATGTTTGTTATGCTAACTTCAAATCAAAATTGCTATCATCAATCAATTCAATCTTTGGCTATCAATTTATTCAATCGATTCTTTCGGTCAATCTATTGTCGTGCATAGTGGCACAGGGCTTTAAAATGAGAATGTTGTCAGTAGTAGATAGATGTTGTTCCCTTCACACTCAGAAATTCTAAGAACTTATGATCCTATTCCTAATTCTCCTCAGCCATACTTGCTGATTTCCAATTTATAAACCTTCCGTATTTCATTTAATATTTAATACAAAATTGTGATTTATTAAATCTAATTAAAACTCAAAATAAAGTGCTCTCTCTAGTTAAATCTATCTTTTCAAGATTTCATTGTTCAAAGTGTTGTTAGGTTATACGTACCTTACTAGAAATCCTTACTTGAAATTTCTAGGCTAGTTTCATGTTTATTCTTTTTCAATTTGTTTTGTTCCAAAGAAAAAAATGTAACATTTTTTGTTTTTCCTCAACACTTAAACAGTTAATCGAATTGCAACTTTGAGCAAGAAATATGAGGATGCAGCTAACGATATCGATGACAAAAGAGATAATTGGGGACTCGGGGCGGCAAAGACTTTGGATTTAGCTTGTGAAAACGTCCTTTCTTCTGCATACGAACTTTGTTTGATGGAAAGTCAAAAAATGTAAAATACTTGTTTGAATGTATGGCAATTTTATCTCCATTTTATATGCGGACCTTACGACAGAAGCTACGATTGTGAATCTTTATCTTCTGACAAAGACTCAGAACTTCGCCAATCTGTTGGCAAATGCGATGGATTGAAGACCATACCAAAAAATTATGGAACCGCATTTGTACAGTTGGATGGTTCAGCAGCCGACATTGAATCCCAGATGAAAGTAAAAGACGTTAAATACGAGGTGGTCGGCGGTCCAGATTGGGATAAAATTAGTCCAGCAGCAGTTGAGGCTAATCTTGCAAAAACTTACAGCAACAACAAGAATGTCTTTAGCGACATTGCAATCTTCCTCAATCGTCTACTTGGAGCCCTTTTCCTTCTTACGCTGTGGCAAGCCAACTCGTATCATAATGGTTACATGAGATACATATACTTTGACAATGTTTATGTTACCGGTTATTTTAGGGCTCTTGACCAACGCCGATCCCTTGCCCAGCGAAATCATTTACTGCCACTTCGTCGTCTCGAGAAAAGCGAACTCGTTTATCCTCTTTCCATAAAGTTGACAACGCAAGAAAGATAGACTCTTCTATCGAATGACCATAAGTCGAGTCTTTCTTTCTTGCGTTTGAGTTCAAACCAGTAAAAGTCAAAATAGCAAAGCACAAAACAACAAAGACAGACGAGCAAAAAGACAAAATATCAAAAAGTTAATACCAATTAAATTCATGCTTTTCATGCGATGCATCGAAGAGTTAAAACTCATTTTTTCGAGAAAAATGATAATCAGGCACCTTTCTCGCTTCATTTACCAAGAAATAAATCGGAGCTTCAATTTAAATGTGATTTGACCGAAAATTATCGATCATAAAATTTTGCAATTCCAATGAATACTTTTTTGCTGATCAAACTAACTTAAATCGGTCCAAACCTTTCGATAGATTAATTTTAAAAGCGATTTGCTATTTTGTCTTTTTGCTCATTTGCTTTGGCTGTTTTGACCATTCTAGCTTTGATTAACCTTATGTTAGGAGCCGCTGTAATAGTTTCATTCGACTACTTTTTCCATGAAATTTTATCGACCAGTGATGAATTTTCAAGCAAAAAACAACCATTCGAGGTTATCATGTTTTCTGTTTCAATTTCAACCCAAAATCAACTTTTGGTAAACTTATGTATGGAATTTGATGATTTAGTTAGCCCGCTAACAATTAAAATGTATGAAACTATTGTATAACTAAACCAACACACAGATCACAATCAAAGTGCGTCAAGCTAGAAACAAATGCAATATCAGAAGAAAAATGGCAATTTTGATAATCCAATAGATGCTGACATTAATCTGATTCTCAGCAAAAAAAACTCATAAATCTTGATTCTGCAACATGATTCTATCCCCCTCCTTATTACCCTCTGCCTTATCATTTTCATCCTAATTCATCTTCCATTGAATGCACATTCAATATCTTGCTACTCTCTTACTCACCCATAGGGATGAAGAGGAAGAGATAAAGAGAGGGAGAGAGAGAGCAAAGTAAATGATGGTCTCACTGTTAATAGCTAGGAGCATGTTAGGTAGAAGCAATAGCAATGAGCACTCCTTAAAGACCGCCTTTAAAGCATTACCTTTGGGTAGGATTCGCACTTTGGATTGGTTCAATGACAAACTTCTTGTTCTCATCTTTCTCATTCCTTTTCATTCTTTCTTTTTTCTCTACTTCTCTCTCTCAGTTACACTAACAAAATGCCATTTACTCCTCCTCTTCCTTATCGACTTTTTCACCCTATTTTTTGATTCTTTTGATGAACAAATAAAATGAAAGGCATCAGGTTAAATCAACATGATACAATAGCCCATGGGAAGCTTGTGTTTCAATTTTTTGCTTCAACTTTCCTTTATTTGGTCAACATGATGTACTGGCAATTATATACTATTGTATATTTACCAAACAATCCATTCAATTCAATTCTTATTCAGCTTTCCTTTTTCCTTTTTCTTTCCTTTCTCTTCTTCCATCATCACTATCATCTACACTAACATCTTACAAGGGAAGTATCCCAGGTTTTTTTTTCTCATCCTTTTTTGATGAGACATGGCACAATCTATAGATTATGTTTATTTAAGAAATAATGTGTGAAGGCTGGTAGAGTTGACCAGGTAAATATGACTTGGGACTAAAGGCTTCCCTAAAAAGGTAAAGCTTGAAAACTTGAGGCTAGAGAAGAAGAGACTTTGATTAACTAACAAACTCTTATTTTTAGCAAAATTGAAGTTTATTTTCTCAAAAAGTATTTCTCTATACCTTATAATATATTGCGATTTTAATACTTACATTTTGATTAAAAAAAGATGAATGATTCTGATTGAATTTCTATTCTGATTTCTTTAAATCAACGCTAAAAGAATGAGAAATTATGGCCTTTCACTTGTTGTTCATGATCGTCAATGTTAAATTTTGTGAAAGTCCCCGGTCAATTCTTAGTTAAGATTAGTGAATAAACAATAATTGGATTAGTAGCTTAAGCTAAAATTTTACGATTGTTTGCTCTAGTGTCCAAATGAGTCTACTACGTTGTAATATTCTGCTAATTATTTCTTCAATGTTTCAAATTTCATTTTGATTGAATTTTTTACCTGAAAAAGACTTGACTTCAAAGATAAAAAACTTGAAAAAATGGATTTTCATTGGTGAAAAGGCCACTTTTTCAGATATATTATAATATTCAACCGAAATGTTTGAAACTCACTCACATTATTGCAAATAATTTTGAGCCTAACCGTTTGAGTTGTGACCTCTAGATTTTCTTGTTAGACTATAGTAAACAATCGTTGTTTCCAATAAACTAGATTAGTATGGATATGTGAACTGATTCAGCTGAAACACGCGAACAAAACCAAATTGAATCAGAATTCAAAATATTAGGCAACAAAGAAATCGTTTGTTAAAAGTTCGGTTGATAATTTAAATGTATTTTTTCTGAATTATTTTTCTCATTAATAGACAATTTAATAAACTTTAATCCAGTATAATTTTCATAGTGATAAGGATAAAAATAAATTATGAGTTAACAATTTACATTGATCAACTTTTTACCAATTTTATTGGGTTGCACATAAATTATGATTAGAGGTTCCTTACCTTATAGGTTGAATGGAAAGCAAATAATCTCAATTGGTTAAAGCTGGAGGATCCGTTGGATCATCTTTACAGGCTCGACAAACTTTTTTCACCAACTTCCAACAATGTGAACAGTAGAAAACTGAACATCGGTGACACTGAAATGAACCTTCATCTTCTGCTGTCTCACAAATGGTACAATATCGAGTTACCATGGTTTTAAGCCAAGTAAATCGAGTTTTTCGTGAAATGAAATTTTTAAACAAAGCAGTGTCTCTCCAATGAGCATTATCATTAACCAGTTGACGGATCTTTCTCATTTGGTAAATTGTATAAGTTTGCCGTTTACGAAGTCGATCATTGTAAAGGTAAAGGATTCGGTTTTTTTCCCGAGTAGGATAAAAGTAGGCACAAATGGCTCGACGAAAGCGATGAATATGAGCCTGAGTGAGAGCCAGCAAAATGATTCCGGTTCCACAGATGGCTATCAAATAGTAATAAGCACTGGTTTCGTTTTTTGCGTTAGGAAGACATATGTCATTGGCTTCATCAGTGTTGATTGTAAAGTTGAACAAAGCTGGCTTCAAAATTCCAGACAAAAGTTTACCAAAAGATGATTTTGGGTTGAAATTGAAATTGAAAACTTGATAACCTCGAATGGTTGTTTTTTGCTTGAAAAATTCATCACTGGTCGATAAAAGTTCATGGAAAAAGTAGTCGAATGAAACAATTACAGCGGCTCCAAACATTAGGGGAATCAAGGCTAGAATGGCCATAAGTCGAGTCTTTCTTTCTTGCGATGTCAACTTTATGGAAAGAGGATAAACGAGTTCGCTTTTCTCGAGACGACGAAGTGGCAGTAAATGATTTCGCTGGGCAAGGGATCGGCGTTGGTCAAGAGCCCTAAAATAACCGGTAACATAAACATTGTCAAAGTATATGTATCTCATGTAACCATTATGATACGAGTTGGCTTGCCACAGCGTAAGAAGGAAAAGGGCTCCAAGTAGACGATTGAGGAAGATTGCAATGTCGCTAAAGACATTCTTGTTGTTGCTGTAAGTTTTTGCAAGATTAGCCTCAACTGCTGCTGGACTAATTTTATCCCAATCTGGACCGCCGACCACCTCGTATTTAACGTCTTTTACTTTCATCTGGGATTCAATGTCGGCTGCTGAACCATCCAACTGTACAAATGCGGTTCCATAATTTTTTGGTATGGTCTTCAATCCATCGCATTTGCCAACAGATTGGCGAAGTTCTGAGTCTTTGTCAGAAGATAAAGATTCACAATCGTCGCTTCTGTTGTAAGGTCTGCACATAAAATGGAGAAAAGATGGCCATACACCCAAACACTTATTGTACATTTTTTGACTTTCCATCAAACAAAGTTCGTATGCAGAAGAAAGGACGTTTTCACAAGCTAAATCCAAAGTCTTTGCCGCCCCGAGTCGCCAATTATCTCTTTTGTCATCGATATCGTTAGCTGCATCCTCATATTTCTTGCTCAAAGTTTTAATTCGATTAACTGTTTAAGTGTTGAGAAAAGACAAAAAATGTTACATTTTTTTTACTGAACCAAACCCAAGGAAAGCAGCAAAAACTTTTGCTTTGCTAACAATCTTACAGTTATGATTGTTGGAGTCACTAGTTACAGAGCAGTTAACTTTGCCTAAAAGGTCAAAGGGTCCTTTAGACTTGGACCAATTTAAAAGGGTGAAACACCCTAAATGGAAAGAGAGAAAAAAAGTGGAAACGGAGAAGCAAAAAAGCAACTAATTGTCTAAGCCAAAGGCGATTTCCATTAACTTTTGACAGTTTTACTCTGCTTTTCACCTCATCTTTATACCGTTCACCCATCACAAATAGCAACGGTAAATTCAATTTTGCTTTAAAGCTTTTATGTAAACAAAGGATCGTTAAAAAAGTCAAGATCACTGAGACGTTTTTATGGGTTACATTTAACTGCATGTTTGGTAAAGTTGAGTCAAATGGATGAACCAGTTCAATGGTGCAACTTGAAACCTGTTCAAAAATACCGTAACAAAAATTTTCTTTCAATTTTATTGATTCTTTTGAATTTGCCTTTCTTTCAACGGTCAAGATAATGAGTTGAAAAAAGAAGGCAAAAAAACTGAAAATGGTTGCCTTGAAAGGTCAGTGTTCATTTGCGCCTTTTCTCGGTGCTGGGATACTGTAAAAGATGTTCAAATGAGAAATTTTTTCATTGAAAATTCTTATTTTTTTATGTTTTTTCCTCACTTTCACCTAAAAAAAGCTTCAAACTTGTCCCTACTCATAATTCATAAAACGAGTTTTCTTGCAAATATTGGGTGGTCAGAAAATGTGATTAAAAGGTTCAAAGAAAAGTTCAATTACACGCTTAGCTCAAATTTCAACTTTGTATCAATCATTAGCGGTTCGCTCTTAAGTAAACGAAATGACACCCAAAATGTAGCAAAATCTGACTCACTTCTCTCTTGACCAAGTCTAGACCAAAAGCTTTTGTCCGCTTTGGGGTAGAGCAAGAGTGATTAATATCCTATTACCCTTTTCGATTGGCAAGGAATTTCACCTTTAAAATTGGTAAAAGATCTTAAGCCACATTGCCAGGTGTGACTGAACTAGTTTTTGATACATTACTGTATGTACGAACAGGTTATACAGTTAATAAAAAGTATCAAATCAACTGAGAAATCAGAATTCATGTATCAAATAATGAAAATAACGATCTCGACTTAGAAATAGCCAAGAATTGCAAAGATTTTTTTCGAAATGGCCTCAACACATCTAGCCGATTGGGAATAACCAAGAAAAAAGGCCAATGAAAGAACCCAGAAACAGTATAGAAAAAACTAGAAGAGAAAAATTGGTCTTTGAAAGAGAGGAACAAGCTTTTGTTGGGTTGGTTCATCCCATAAAAGAAGAGGTCAAACTAGTTTCTCTTGTCGCTCTGCTTGTTTCCATTCATGAGTTTTCAATTTTAACGCGGGATTAACGTTATCATTGAACATCAATACTCCAATATTTAAAAGATCATAATAGATGATAGGTTTGGGCTCAAAACTGAGAAGGACAAAACAGCGAAAGCAAAATAGAGAAAGTCAAATCCGCGAAAAATATCGATGCGTATATTGCTATATAAAAGCAAAAATTTCCATTTTCTTTTTTTAATCAGTTCGTAATTAGCCATGATTGAGGAAACAATTTGATTGGTAAAGATTTGAATGAAAGAATCAAAAAAATTGCAAACTAAATGAAATAGTTGAGCCAATTCAGTTTATGACAATCAAAGCATTGTGTTTAATTTTCAGAAAAACTTTAATTAGTTTAATTATTTAGCTTCTTATTTACCCTTCGCTATTTTGCTTTCGCTGTTTTGACCCTTTACCTAGATGATAAAGCGTGTTATTATTATATTTAGGTGCTTGAATTGGTGAAAAAACTGTTTATATTTGAAAATTTTCTGAAACTGAGCAAAAGTATCAAAAAGTTCAACTTGCCATTCAGAGGAATCAAAAAACTCTGTCATTAACACACGTGCGGTAAAGGAAAGTTCAAGACTGATAAGGTTACTAATCTTACAAAAAAACTAGGAAGATAGTGTAAGACTTTAACTAATGAGCTGAAAAAGCACACAAAAAACAAAAATTTCCGTTGATAAGTGAGCAGGGAAGAGCAAGGTAGCATGGAGAAAGAAAGAAAACTATTTTTTTATCGAAAAAATTGAAAAAATTAAACAAAGGATTACTAGTAGCGCCATAGCGCTCTGCTCCTTTTCCCTGATATCATCTGTAAAAGATGTCTAACATGTTACATAAAATAAGGATTAAGGGGGTGACTTTTATTGAACTTTAGTAAACTCTAATGTGACTGCTCTCGATGTCTTTTAGTCTTAGCTTTTGTACTCTTGTCTAATCTCACTGGAATAAACCAAGTGACCAATGGTTGTAGTCTTCATTCAGCTATTGGCTTACAAACTTGATTTATCCCATTTGTTAACTGATACAATTGATATGTAAAATGAGAAATTGAATAGCAAAACATTAATCAAAAACTTTTTCATGCATAAACTATTTTCAATTGAAAATGAGTTGTAGGAGAATCAACATCTCCAATGGTTTCTCCTGGGTTTCGGGTATCAGAAAAAACTGGAGAAACAGGATTACATGTTATATTTACTTTTAATTAAATGCATTGAATTAGTATTTGTTAGATCACTACATTTGAGTGAACTCTCGGCCCCAAGGGGCCTCGCTTCTTATCCATGAATATCTCTTACTACCAAGAACAAAGGCTTTCCTGAAAAAAGTTGTATAAATGCAAATACAGCACAGAAAATTAATTTTTACCTAATTTTCGCCATTTTTGTGCTTTGAATCAACTGTTCCAAAAAGCGTAATTTTAAGCGTCGAAAACCGTTGAATTTTAGTCGCGAAATTGACTATATCTAACCGCCGATTTTGTCACTAACTATGATCAATATTTTTTTAGTTATCTAACATTTTGTCTTCTTTAATTCACTTTACTTTGTGATACCTTTCATGATCTTTTATGAATGGCTGTATTTTTAAGTTGCTTCAATGCGCAAAGATACCAAAAATTAGATAAACTTAGTTCTTTGTGCTTGTATTTTTCATTGTTAGACTTGCAAAGCGGATATTAACGCATTGCTTTAGATGCAGAGTAAACAGTCAAAATGGATGGACTTTGGCAAGTCAAGGTTTTTCTTTTGCTTTCTGTAATGTCCTTTCTCTGAATAACTATTAATAATATAATACCTAACCAAAAAGTCGCAACAAATTAGATAGAAATGAGTTTCTCAGACAATACAGAATTTTAAGAGCTGAGATTTACAGAGATGATTTTGTTCCAATGAACAGTTTCCTGTTCAATTCATGTCAAGTCTACATTGCTGATTTTAATAGTTTGCAAAAACCTCAATACTTTCCTCCTTTATCTTACCTATCTAATCAAGTTGAAAAACTGAAATGTAACATTTGAAGGTTTGATATAATAGCTGTAACTACATCAATCAATATTTAGTCATGAGCTTTTTTTGTTAAAAAAGTTATCTAACAAGCCTTGTAAGCCTCGAAGAAACAGTTTTGAAAGTCATTGCAAGCAAATTGAAATTTCAAATTAAGTTCATGACACATTGAGACGGTAATAACATGGATAAGTTGTTTGCTTTAAAAATAAAATAAATAAAACTCTTTCATTTCGAGCAGCTTTTCAAATCTAATTTTGAGAGTACAAAAACAAATGAACCAACTTGTTTGGTGCAACTTACGTTTCAATTTTTCATCCGCTGTTTTGATATTAGTTGTCAGATTTTTCTCAAATGATTTGGATCCTTTAATGGTATCAAGTGCAATTTTGCTGAAATTAGTCTTTGGATTAACACTTTTAGCTCCTCCCTGACTAATACCTGAAAGAAGTTGCATGTAAGGTCCATAGGTAAACCGCAAATGATCAACGGTAACATTACGATGATAGTTGATGGTGCACATAAAATTTCGCGACGCTTCAAAGGTATTATCAACAAGATTGGAGGCTGGCTGTGATATGGCAATGGTGAAAAAGGTTAGGTACATAAAGGATCGTCCCACTTGACCGGCAAGAGAGGGAACAAGTAACCAGGTTATGGTACGAAATTGAATTGATAAACAGTATGCAATGGTGTACAAGAGTAGAGTAATAGGAAGCAAAGCTTGAGCCAATTGGTCAGGAAAGTCTAACCGCTGGATGCAAGCAAAATAAAATAGGTAACCCGTAGCCAAGCCCCATGGGAAACACAATAACCTTCTCAGGTCCTGGTATTGTCGGCCTTTTGGGTCCAAGGCAAGCTTATACAATAGTGTAATAAATGATTTAAAGGTATAATAGCCAAATGGTGTTGATGGAGATGCTTTCTCATTCTTTAACTTAACATATTTAACCTTTTTGGAAACCATTTCAACAAAAAAAATATAACAATTTAAAGTTTGACAATGAGAGCCAAAAACGAGCAACAACGAGTCAAATAATGATTACATAAAAAAAGGAAAAATGTAACAACCATTGGAATATTAATTGACTTTTCAATCTTATTGTTGCCTTACTTTGTTTTTATTACCTCATTATTGGTTGATTTTAACTGAATCCTGGGATAAACAGCTACTTCTGGTTTTCATGGTTGGATAATTGTTGGTTTGTTTTAATGCATTTCTTTTCCCTTACAACTTTACCTCAATCTCAAAACGTGTTTAAAACTAGACATACTGTTGATACAAGTGAAGTTTGAGCCGAAGCAACCAGAAAGGAGGATCTGCAAATGAATAGGGAAAATCGCTCTTGCAATATTTTCATGAGATGCACTTTTTTGAATGTAACTTGGGTATGACCGGTAAAGTTTGAGAATAATTTTTCAGAATTGAATTGCGCCAGTTAGACAACAGTGAGATCCCAGATAATGAGAGTCCCACATAATTAGATAAATTTATCAACGATCCCTGAATTCGGAGAAGTTAATTCAATTTGAATTTCATCAAATTTCATTTTGATTTCTTTAATTTTCAATTGATTTGATTCGAATTTCTTTCTTGTAATATTAATCAAAAAACTCACGAAATCATTTTAAGGGGGATTGAAAATCATGAATTAGCTGCCCGATGAATAGTGAAAATAAGCTATTTCACAGTACTCTCATTATCTAAGATCACACTGTAGAAAATTGTCAAGTTATAGCCCTAAATGGATAGAGACGTCAAAATTCATATATTTTCAACTTCATACCAGGGTTTTGTAGAATCGATAAACTTGACATTTTTGATTCATTTTTAGCACATGATAAGACAATGAATGATAATGTTGAAAGAGGTCGCTAAGCCAGCCATTCATGATCTATGTAATCAAGGATGCTGAATATACACTTTTCCCTCGAGTTTCTTGCTTTCTTGTTATGCTACTGCTAGGAATAGGCTATTAATAATGTTAATTTAGGGTCAGTTAGTCATTCTTTTCCCCTCATTAAGCTATTTGTCATTGGCTATCTAAAGTGATGTCATTGATAAGACTTGTATGAATACCCTTTCAAAATTAAATTACATTCATTAAGCATTTTCTCATCAACATTAACACTTCATTCACATTGTCTCGTTAGCCAAATTGGTAACAGTCTAGTTACACGGACACAAGGCGTAACAAGATTTTTAAATCAGTAACCAATCAAGACAATCTGTTTGAATTTAATATTCATCAATTAAATGTAAAAATTGAGAATAACTCAATAGAGATAGATATTAAAGCTAATTCTGAAGCGGCTTGCTGGTCAATTTGTTTGTCCACTGATTCAACAATTGATTTAGATTTGAATTTATTTATGTCTCTTTTTTTTATTCACTCACCAACATTTTCTAAATTTACATTTCTTTAATAAAAGTTAGTTTAATAAACCATTTGGTACCTAAAGGCGAGATCTTTATTTATTGCTAAGATTTTTATGTTCATCCTTTGCACTGTCATCTAGAGTAACTTTAGGGGGAGATCGCGAATTCCACAATTAAAGCCATTAACAAATTTAATGACTCCCGTTGCCCACTTATCCCCTCTTAAATCTTTCCTCCATTTGGGGAGTCATTAGAGTAAGCTAATTATTTTAAATGTAAAATTTGGCGGTTTCCCCTTGTAGTTCACCTAGATGGCAGTGTAACAGAAATAAACAAAAAACTCGATGAAAAGGTGTAAGCAAGGTTTGATTCCTGAAAAATTAGCCAAACAAAGTTAAACTAATAAATCAGATTAAAATATGAATTTACTAGTGTCTTTTAAACGTAATGAAGATGCCGCAGCAACTAAAAATTATTACTCAGCACAGAAAAAGGGACCGGCTTTTTTCCACCACATCTAACACTTTATCCATCACTATTTTACAGTCGTTTCACTGTTTTGTCCACCATTCAAATCCATCACTTTTTGGATATGATGGCCGTGGAGTGGATGTGTCAGAATCGGGTGGTGGACAATCTTTTAAAGAAAATTGTTTGAAAATGTGGTGGAAAAAAGCAACTCTAAAGTGGTACACAATTTTGTTAAGAAAAGTCTCTCTAAAAAGTGATGATGTTTGATTAGGTAGATGTGGTGGGATGGGTTAGATTTGGGTGGTGGACAATATGGTAGACAATTCGGTGAGTATACGTGTAAATGTGGTGGAAAAAAGCCGGTCCCAAAAAAGTCATCAAATTTAATAATCATCATTAACTAAAACTAACACACATTAAACTTGGGTAAACAATTTTATGGCGAGACAAAAGTGTAATGTAAAATTGAAACAATCAATAACAATAACCATTAGAATTGTGTTCATTTAAGACCAACTTTCAAGTTTCATGATTAGGGACGTCAAAATCAGCGGTTAGATTTAATTGATTTCGGGGCCCAGATATAGTATTAATTTTGACGCTTAAAATTTCATTTTTTTGGCTCAGTTTTAGGGATTATCATAAATGACAAAAATTAATAAACCATATTGGATGTGAATGAAAATTTGAGCCGTTAAACAATACGCAAGTGAAATAAGTGAGAATATATTCAGACGGAACCTTATTTTTTGTTACACTTGCAAAGTAACCATTGCTATTGTAAACAAAAGTTAGATGTGAAACTGTCTGAGAGAAACTTAAAAATGAAAAAATTACAATAAAAAAGAGTTAGTTAAAATCGCCATCTTTCGGTTCATTTTTGTGAATTTCATTGATTTCGGGTTAATGATAACTCACTCCGGAATTCATCAAAATGCCTTTAAATGTATTGAAAAGTATCAATATAACTCATTCACCGAAAATTTATCCCTAGCCATGATAATGATGAACCTTTTCAAATACAGTGAACAGAATTAAATTTTACAGCAAATTTCGAGCAACAAACTAAAGAGAAACTGAAAAGACTATGGAATGAAGTAGACAAAGAAAATAACAAAAATGGCGACTTTTTCTGTCCTTCTTCTGAAAGGTTAACCAAAATTGAACCCAATGTTGCCCAATGTTATCCAATGTTACTCTATAAAGCAAACTATATCTATAATGGAAGAGAGGAAGAGGATGGAAGAAGAAGAAGGAAGAAAGAAGATGAAGAGAAGAAAAATTTTGTAAAATGGCTTCCAAGCTGGTTTCCACTTTCGCTGTTTCAGTTTCACCTTCAGGTTATAGATAATTCATGTTGTATAGATTCATCATTATCATCATCTTGAGTTATTAGCACAAGGACATTTATCCACATGAGCAATTTTATGCAACTTTTCGTTTCTTTACTTGCATCATGAAATGAAAAAAGAACATTTTTTTCCCTGTAAAGAGGCTTTTCATTTTCTGTCTTCTTCTCTCAATTTGTTTCATTAATCCGGTTTATTCATCTTTTATCAGTCAGATACATCAAGTTAGTTTTGCTTCATTATTGTTACTCCACTGCTTTGAATGGGATTAAGGCCATGTAAATGAAGCCCAATTTTGTCGCTTTAAATCAACAAAGTAGATTAGCAAACAATATTCAAACATTTCTTTGGCGAGTTTCGAAGTATATTAGGAAAGTTGCTCAGAAATTAGTTTTTATCGAATTTCAATATTCTTCTCTTTACAATAAATGAATATAATATTGAGCACAAACTTCAACTTGTTACAATCAAAACTTAATTGAATCCGCTTTCTTACCTAAAAATATCTAATAATTGCAGTCTCAAAGCCTAAGTTCTTCTTTCTTGATGATTGTCATATTTTGAAAATTGACTCAGAATCCTCGTCTCAAGCATTTTTCTGTTAAATATTTTCACTGGTATTGGTTGAAAGCAATATTCAAGGCGGATAATAGTGCGACCGACTGCCAGTAAATGCTATTTAAATAGTTCATTTATAACATTCCTTTCCAACTCAGTTTCTTGATTCAAGATTTTCAAGCCCACACAATAGTCAATGATATTAACGTAAAATAAGCAAACCTCCATAGAAAGCATAGCATTAATTGAAATAAATACACTTCAAGAGTCTACCAACTTTTGGGAAAACCTTATACAACCTTGCACCAACTGGTGCATAGACTGTCACCTATCTTCAGTTTAGTCAACTTTATTCACCAATTCAACTTCATTCCATTTTATTGCTAATGTTTTCTTCGTTTTACATTTCTTTTCAATTCTGTGTTGTATTCAAGGACTGCTTATCTTGACAGAACTATCTACTCTGAATTGAACGAAAAATGAGCTAAGCTAAGGCTAGTACCATGATGTCATAAAGCCCTTCAATCTGACGAGGGAATCTCACGACATGTTAGATCGATATCAAGATTTCATAGGTAGCTATCGGTACATTCGGCCTTCTCAAAGACCAATATAACCAAATTAGCTGTCACCATTTCGATTTCGCCATTTTATCGCCTTTTTTCTAGAAAGAAAGGTACACCCGCAGCTAAGTCAATGGATTTTAATCCAGTAGTCTTAGTATTTGAGTAAAATGAATTTTCTGTTGATATATTGTTTGAACTCTTATTATATTTCCAAACCATCCAGATATATGGTACCGACACCGACACCGACATTTGCAATTCGTATGCTTTTCTATGGGAGTTTGTGAGTTAATTTTTTCATTTGTAAAATTTTGAAACAGAAACGTACTTTTCATAGCAAGAGCATCCATTAGATGCATCAAATAAAACGAATGAAAATCTCTGTAGAAAAGCATACAATTTTTTTCTAGAAATAAGGCGATAAAATGGCGAAATCGAAATGGTGGCAGCTAATTGGTTATATTAGTCTTTGAGAAGGCCGAATGTACCGATAGCTACCCATGAAATCTTGATATTGATCTAACAATCTTGATGTCGTGGGTTCCCTCGTGAGTCAACCGATTAGCTGGACACTGAACTCCTTGCAAATGTTCAAAATTTAAATACATCAATCATAATGGAATGTAAAATCTTGGAAAATTTCAAATTTTCATCTCACTTAGTTTCATAAAAAATTGAATTGTAACGACAACTCAACTCGTTCAGTAATTTCTAGACTAAGGTTATCATGCAAAAATACTGAAGGAATGGGAAAATAAGGGTAGCTAAGAATAAGTGTTAATGAACGTAAAATGAGTTTTTTACAAAAATTGAGTACTTTATCGATTAACTGAAGTTGCAATGTCATCTTTCGGGCAAACACAAAACTTGCCTTCTTTTTGAATTTCCCTCTCAAAGTAACCAAAAAAAGAACCAGTTTTTAGCTCAACATTTTGATACTAATATCATAGATGGCAGCATGGACTTCATCATAAACGTTCGAGAACTAAAATAGACAACATGACTAAAACTGTCATTGGAAAATACAATAATATGGTCAAAGATCGTGAACATCAAACCTGATGAAAACATACAATTTTTCAACAACTTTCCATCACTGGCACCCTCAATCAACTCCAAAGCGATCTGGTTCAAAAATATGACATTTCAAACACCAACATTTTCAACTTCATCCTAACTAACAATATAACAAAATCCTTTCACTTCATCAATGAAATTTTTTCCCTCTGCATAGCTCCTAGTATTGAGGAGTACTACTTGAAAAAGCCGACAAAAAAACGTAAAACAAGTAATCCTTCCGACTAACTCTAAACTTCACAATCTTTTTTGAATTTACCTTATTTTGCATCCCAACATTCAAAACACTGTAATCAACGGGAACGCGCAACTTAGCTTCCCTTTTTTGTATCATGTCCAAGCCCGAAATAAACGTTCGCAATTGCACCAACACCTAATGACTTGTCCAATTAGTAAAGGGCGATTTTGAAAAGCCCAATAGCTGCAAAAAAAGTGCATCGAAGTTTCAACTTTGAACTTAGTTTTTCTTTTATTACCATTTGTTTAGAGCATCAAAAGACGATTACATTTTGAATAATAGCATTTGATTAAATTTTAATTTCAATTGGGCGTAATTTATTTGTGTTAATAATAATGATAATAGTTGTACAATTCACATTGAAAAGAAGCAAATTGATGATGAAAAGATTGAAATGTCGGAATGGAAATAAAAAGTTATCGGTAAAAATGATGAATAAAAGGTGTAATGAAAGTTATCGAGATTCATCATGGATTGTGTGTTGCTTCCATCATGCTGTTCACAATCCAAAGTGAATTATTTCTTTTCCCTTTATTCACAATTTTCAAAATTGTTTCAATTTCCATTTTGAGATTTGAATTTTGTTCAATCATCAATTTGGATTCAGTGTGAATCGATGGTGAAGTTGGGAACACACAGGATTGATTAGAAAAGGTTATTTAGCGATGAAAAATAGAAACAAAAGTAAATTGTTTAAAGCTTTTAATTGATAAACAAAAATCACAATGACAATGTTAATGATTGGTAATCATCTACTAATTAAAACTAATTTTACTTTCATTCACATCATCATGATCGTCAAATTTCAAAGTTGGATGTTGAGTAAAAAAAGATGAAGGAGAATGAAATGGAAAATAAATAAAATGTAGAAACTCAAAAATGACAGAAATGATCAGTTTAATCATTGGAATAGGAATTGGATCATGATTAGAGTTTAATCTTAATCTTTAGTTGACGCAAAAAGAAGGGCAAAAAGTGCAAACTAAATGATGATGTGAATGAATTAAATGAATGAATGAAAAGCAAAAAGCTATTCTTTATTTTTTCAAATGTAAATTGTGACTATTTAGCTAATGTTGAGTTAATTGTTGATATCTTTTTGTTTCGTTTACTGAATAACAATTGAATCATTATCATTATGGTTAATATCATCATGTAATGCTATAAATTTTGGTTGATTATTTGTAAGTTGATGAAATTTTGGACCAAAAGAAAATGGGAAAAAAAGTTTTCACTTCCAATAATTGTATTTATAACTTATAAATATGTATCTTTATGTATATATTTATATTTTCAGTGTTGACTGTGTGTGTGTTTCATTATTTCATCAGTTCAGTTTATCTATTCACTTATTGCTGATTTGATAAAATGAAATTTTGGTCGGAAATGAAAGGAAGAAAATAGTCGATTCGATGATTGGAAAGTTGATAAAAAAAAGTACGTTACAGTTTGCGTTGTTGGTCTGTAATTTGTGTGTCAGTGTTGGCCTTGATTTTCCTTGATCCAATGGTGATGATGGTGATGAATGGCGATGGATGATGATTTGTGTCCATTGATGATGAAAATTGAATGATGACTTGGATTCTTGTGTCGCTATTTTTTCCTCCAGTTTTGGCAAAGGATGATAAAGTATTTCGAGTATTTTCACCTGTCGATGGTCTTTGTATATGGTCTTTTGGTCTTTCCATACGTTTCATGTTATTCGTGTTTCAGGCCATTTGAGTGTTCAGTTATACCTGAACCACTTCGATGGTTGCGCGATGAGTTGGTGTTGCTTGATTGATTGTTGGATGATGATGATGATGATGTAGACTGAGAAGATTTACTTTGTGCATTGAGCTCTTTGATTGCCTGAATTTCCTTCTTCTGTTTCATCCGACGATTTTGGAACCAAATTTTAATCTGACGTTCACTTAGGCAAAGAGCGTGAGCCAGTTCAATGCGACGTCGACGAGTCAAATATTGACTTGTGTGAAACTCTTTTTCTAGCTCAAGAGTCTGATAGCGCGTATAGGTCTGACGACCTCTACGACGCAGTCCATTGCCCCCAGGGAAACATGTCATACCGACAGGAGATGCGAAAGAAAAAAGCACCATTGAAAGAGAGAGAGAGAGAAGAAGAGAAGAGAAGAAAAGGAGTGAAAGAGAAAGGAGAGAAAGAAAACATCAGATTAGGCAAATGTATTTTTTGGAAACTTTTTTTTTCTTCTTTCGATACTTTTCCATCTTTCAACACTTTGACTCTTTGGACGCAATTTTTTGTTGTAATAAGCTAATGGCTTTTTTTGAAGGTTACCCATTCAATGTGTTGGGTGAACTATTTGGACAACTAGTCACCATAAAAAGTTTCATCTTTTTAAAGACAAAAAGTATCCATAACTTTTCTTGTGCTTTTTGTTCATGCTTTTAAATCTTTTCACCTTAAAACGATTACCTTTAGGTAATAATAAAAGTAAAAAATGTATAAGTAATATAACGGTTATAGAGGCTTACATAAGGTGCTGTTGTCTACCTAAAAGGACCACCAAAGTTAAAAGTGTTTTTTGTTTTTCTCTTCTTTTTCTCTCTTCTTTACTTTCTTGGATCATCGCTGTTGAAACTGAGACTAAATATGATAATGGTCAAGCTTTTTTTCTCTTTTTGCTCCACTTTCTCATCTTTCATGGTCAATCAGTCGGGTGATCAAGTTAAATTGTTGTTCAATACATATTGAGACCAATTAAGGTTAGCAAAAAGTTTTTTCAAGAAAAGGTGACTCGAGAGGGAAAAGGTGAAAAATGATTCTTGTTTTGTCTTCTTTCTTTTCATCTCTTTAAGAGTTTGGACAAAGTTTCAACTAAAATGGTCAAATATGATCGTCATAAATTGACTTGAAGGTCACAAATTTGGAGGCTAGAAAAGTGATAAAATGAAAACATAAGGATCCAGATGAGGATGAAGAAGAAGAAACAAACGGAAAGAAAAAATTGATTGTAATTTGTATCAATAGTTTTTCAGTCTTTTTCAGCATTTGTTGCATGATTAAGAGTCATGATGAGCATCTTGCATCTCATCTTGATCATCATTTTCATCATCATATCTTTTTCCCTGTGGTTTCTACTTGCCTCTACTCTAACAGTCGTAAAGTTTTTGCCTTCTTTTTCTCTCAGGTCAACTTTGTACAACTTTTCGCCTTTTCCCTTTACGATTTTATTACTTTACATAAAAGTCAGTCAATCTTTTTTTCCGTTTCTCCTCATCTTCATCTTCTTACCATTATCTCTTTACTTTATCCTCTTATTTCTGTTTCACTTTTTCCTCATCTTCACATCATTCTCATGCTCATAACTTTTTCTCGTTTTTTCTTCTTCTCTTGCCTTTCACTGAGAGTTCCTAAAGACTTGAAATAAATTTCCTTTAGAGTCTTGCTTTACTAAGAAACATTTTCATTGAGCCCAAACCAAAAACCTAAAAACAGATTATCATCATAATCGTTATTGTTATCGTTGTCATCTTCATCATCAGCGTAACATTGAGTCCAACAAATAGCTTCAGGATGTTGCCAAATTTAAACTCTAATATTGAAAACCTTTTCCTGTTCAACTCTTTGCTTACTCAAGTACGTATATTGCGCGCTTAGCAAAATTCATTTCCCATTCATTTGAGAAAAGTCAAAGTCTATTCAATATTGAACATCTTAGTGAACATGCTAAAGTCGCTTGCAGATTTCCTGACTTAAATCCTTCGCAAGTTTCCAAAAAAGAAGCACAAGAGACAGACATCTAAGCGAGAAATTCGTGACTCTGGCCTGGTGTTACTAGGTAATAATCGATAGAAAGAAATCAACACTCCAGATAACCCATTCTAAAGCTTTGAATAGATTTTGATTCAGAAGAAAAACTTATTTCAAGATTTTCCGTTTGTAGCTATAAAACAGCAAAACTTTTAAATCAATCAAAATAAGACACTTTAATTGGTAAAAGATGAACAAATTATTCCAAATCCCATAGACGTGATATTTTTCATTTGAAAAGTAATAATTTTTAATTGAATTTGATTCATCATCGTTAATTTTTTTTATTTCAATTATTATTTTACGATCATTTACGCAAATTTGCAGGAAAAGAACCCAAAAAAACTACAATTTGATTTTATTCTTGGATAACTAATAAAATCTGATAAGTATTTTAACCTCTCTCAATCTGAACAAATAATCTTTAAATATTCTCAATTAGCGGTTAGCAAAAATTTGCATTTCATGTATTCAGATCTATTAGTGCGACCACAAGATGATTGACTTGAAATGTTGGTCACTTGAGGTTGTAAACTTGACCACAGAGTTGTCTATTTTTGTCTCATGTCACCCTGAAGACTTGGAGTTGAAAAGCATTCGATGGATGCTTCATTTCACCAATTGACGCAAAAAAGTAACATTTATGTACTGCTTGAGATTTGAAAGTAAACCCAAGTCGCTTGTAGACAAGCTAACAAGTTCACTGTTTTATGCAGGTCCATCTAAGATCGACAACTTGATCACTCATTCTTCTTTCGACTTCTTTAGTCATTCTGAATAAACGCAAAAAAGAGCAGCGAATAGACCGGGAAATACCAAACTGATCGAGATAAAGAGCGATGAGGAAAGAGCAGTAAACGAATAGCGCTTTCGATATTCTCAGCTTATGCAAGTCAACCACCGCGTGATTGCACTAATAATAGTTAATTTCACTCAAAGTACTGGACAATCTTGATGGGTTCCAATAGCCAATCAATATTCATTATAAGGCTGAAATTTTTGTCTTAAAACTTTCTTCTTTCTCATAAATTAACGGTTCCTTCAACATTAATCAACTTGATTGCTATTATTATTCATAAAATGTAATTTTTCTCTCGTTTTTCTGCTTTTAAATTTACATTTTTTTCTTCCTTTTTTCTGAATTTCTTTTTTCGGACTTATTGCAAAAGTTGAAGTCGATTGAAAAGTTAGCTAAATGATTAGTTATGAGTCTGAACTAGAATTACCTTGAATTGATAATAAATTAGAGTAACAAAGGTAACATCATCTTTAGTCACGTTTCATCAGTTTACTGTAAAGAAACGAGCGCTTTGAAAGGGTTAAGAGTATTAATTTGAAGTTAATGAAGAAACTCTTGTATTTCAATTGGATAACACATTTTTGTTAAAAAATTGATTTTGCAAAAGGCTCAAGTTGTACCTTTCCTTGACCATTCAACATTGTATATTTTATTGGTAATAACAAGGCAAATGAAACAAAAAAAGAGACTTAACCATTTAAACAGAAACTATTGCATTCTAATGATGAACATTATTATTGATATAAGTGAATTTAATTATCAATTAAGTTTTTGCAAGTTATTAGTTTAATTTTTGCTTCTCTGTTCATTTGTTACTTTTCATGTTTTACCATTTACTTTACGTTATTAGTTGATAATGTTATGTGAAGAGAAAAAGTTTTACAGTTGAATTATTTTTCTGTTGATTAGTTGATTGCTTTTCACCAACTGTATCCAATGATTAATTAACTTTGAGCCAATTGAAGCGAACACAAAACTATACTCGAAAAGTACTTTTGCTACCTCATTAGCTGCCTCATGTGCAGTACAATATTCAGTGTTAAGCAAATGTTTACTTGAAAGTTGCTCGAAAAAAGATTCATTATTTTAAAATATCAATGTGAAACAATATCTTTAGTTTAAAACTTGACTCGAATCGACAGATTTTGTTGTGCCAAGTATAAAGATTGAAATGGTTTGAATAGTGTCCACGAATAATGCGATATATAGGGATTGAACTCTATCCAAATCTATATAGAAATGGAAATAAATTTACTTCGCTTTTAGTATTTGCGCATAGAGAACTTCAAGTTTAAATTGAAATCTATTGTCAATGGATATTGATGGAAAGTACCTGCGAAACTGTCTTCTTTAGGTATCGGCAAATTGAATGTGAAAGAGTACAAAAAATGGAAATAAAAGTTTATTCGGTAAAACAAATGGTTCAACTTGAGAAGCGTCTTAATCTCATTCGGTATTGGCGACATTGCTGGACTGTTAAGTATTGGAATGAAAAGTGCGCTATCATTTTGCGATTCAACTACGGTTGTACACTTCTGTTTCATTGTTTCATCATTCATGTTTCTGTTCTGTTTCATTTCATTTTCAACTTTTCTCGATGTTTAAATATTGAAAACCTAAGAGCGTCTCTTTTTTTATTTCATGTGCGGCTCACAAAACTTGAATAGAAAGCTCTTCAAGATGTTCTCAGTTTCCAAGCATGTTTACAAAATTGAGCTATAGATTAGCATCTCGATATCCAGCTCATTTCAAATATTTTGCCAATCATTTTATGGGCAGATATAAGAACTAAAATGACTTTTTGTTGCATTTCAATCTTTCAATTTACCTCTAAACCCATTAATTAAACGTGCTCAGTTTTATGTAATACAAATGATTCTTTAGATAATGGATAATGTCAGTAGGCTTATAAACTCGTTTTCACGTCGGGTGTGGGTTAATTGCTAATTAAATTTACTTTCAATTTGATTATTTATTGGACATCTGATTAAATCTTTACTAATATTATTAAGGCAAGAAATTTATACAAAATTCTGTCCACTGATAATTCACGTTAATATCATTGACTGTTGTGTAGGCTATTAAATCTTGAATCAAGAAACTGAGTTGGAAAGGAATGTTATAAATGAACTGTGCAAATGGCATTTACTAGTAGTCGGTCGCAATATGGCCCGCCTTGCATATTGCTTTCAACCAATACCAATGAAAATGGTTGATAACAAAATTCTTGAGACCAGGATTCTAACGATTCGATTTAACTAGTTTTTTTAGTAATTTGCTTGAAAAATTGAATAAATTTTTAGGTAAGAAAGTGGATACCAGTCAAGTTTTGACCAAGTTGGTAAAATTTATAATTGCTTAGCATTCAAATGAAAGGAACCCGATGAAGTTTGTGCTCAATATTATATTCATTTATTGTAAAGAGAAGAATATTAAAATTCGATAAAAACTGATTTCTGAGCAACTTTCCAAAGTACATCGATACTCGTCAAAACCAGTAAAGAAATGTTTGAATTTTGTTAGCTAATCTACTTTGTTGATTTAAAGCGACAAAATTGATCTTCATTTACATGGCATTATTTCCGTTCAAAGCAGTGGAATAACAATAATGAAGCAAAACTAACTTGATGTATCTGACTGATAAAAGATGAATAAACCATATGTATGAAAAAAATTGAGAGGATAACTTTGTGATCAGATTTTGTCGAATCTCGCAAGTTCATCTCAAACTAGTTATCATGAATTAGTTTGGATTTACTTTGACAACAAGCTTACAATTTTCTAGCAATTTTCACATAGAAAATGAAAGCCTCTTTACAGGGAAAAAAATGTTCTTTTTTCATTTCATGGTAAAAGCAAAGAAACGAAAAAGTTGCATAAAATTGCTCATGTGGATAAATGTCCTTGTGTTAATAACTCAAGATGATGACGATGACGATAATGATGATGAATCTATACAACATGAATTATCTATAACCTGAAGGTGAAACTGAAACAGCGAAAGTGGAAACCAGCTTGGAAGCCATTTTACAAAATTTTTCTTCTCTTCATCTTCTTTCTTCCTTCTTCTTCCATCCTCTTCCTCTCTTCCATTATAGATATAGTTTGCTTTATAGAGTAACATTGGATAACATTGGGCAACATTGGGTTCAATTTTGGTTAACCTTTCAGAAGAAGAACAGAAAAAAGTCGCCATTTTGGTTCTTTTCTTTGTCTTCTTCATTCCATGGTCTTTTCAGTTTCTCTTTAGTTTGTTGCTTAAAACTTGCTGTAAAATAAAATTTAATTCTGTTCTCTGTATTTGAAAAGGTTCATCATTATCATGAAACTTGAAACTTGGTCTTCAATGAACCCAATTCTAATGGTTATTGTTATTGATTGTTCATTTTATATTACACTTTTGTCTCGTCATAAATTGTTTACCCAAGTTTAATGTGTGTTAATTTTGTAGTTAATGATGATTATTAAATTTGATGACTTTTTTTGTGTTTGGTAATAATTTTTAGTTACTATTTTATGTTACAAAGGGAATGCTACCTTTTTTAGGTTGAACCGACACTTTTCTGGTGCTTTTATTGCTTAACCAAGAAGATGGTTTAAGAGTTAATATAAATGATTAAGACTGCGATCATCATCAGCATGACAACTGTTTACGATATTTTGGTAAACTTTGCTTCAATAATTTCATTTCTAAGTGAACAGCTCTTAAAATAGTTATTACTTGTTCAACTTGAGTTACTAACGCATTTTTTATTCAGTATTCATTGTTCAGTTTTGTATCTTATTTTTGTGGCAATATGAATCTAGATGAAGGATGAAGATGTGAAAGAAGATGGTTACAGTTTTGTCACATTTTATTATTTTTGTGTCAACTGACAAGACACTTAATATGGTGACAAATTAATTGAATCTCAAATGGGTTAATAAGTAAAGTGTCATTGTTGTCAGTTTATTTTATGCTTTTGTAGTGTGCAAAGTAGTAAAGGTTTTACAATTGGAGATGATATAAAATTTAATTGTGGATATAAAACTAGCAATAAAGATATGAATCAGTTTCTGTTGATTGACGGTAACTGGTAAAGAGAGGGAAAGTTATCAATTTATGCACATTTTACGAATTCGTGTCAATCAATTGATTTTAAAGGTTAAGAAACTTTATTCCGATTCGACCTTTCAGCTGAAAGATGGGAACTCGAAATTGTTTCCATTGTATTTCACATTGAGAAATCTGTTTGAATTTGAAATTCTTACACAGAAGCTTTTAAGAACTGAATCACAAACTTAGAAGCTGGATGGAAACTCGAAATTGTAAAGTGTTAAGATTGCATTTCACATGGAGCAATATTTTAAATCTGAAATTTATAGAAGCTTTGCAGAACTGAATCAAAAACTTAGAAGCCAGTTATGGATCAGATCATTTGAGACAATTTGACTCTTCGTTTGGAGTAAATAATCAAATTTTTCAAGATTTTCTGAGATTTCCTTTCATGACCATAATTACAATTCAATTTACGCTATTTTACGCTAGCCCTGTGAAATAATTAAGCGAAATGTAGATTACAAGAAGATAACTGGAATGGTGCTTAAAGGAAAGGTGAAATTGAAGGAATCGCATCTAATGGAAGGCACAGTTCAACTTTTAACAAAACATTTATGGATTTTAATTGAGTTTAGAGAACTAAGTTTCTGGTCTATGAAATAGTAACTCTTGGTTAAAGATTTATACAAGTTTTTGCATGATAGAAGTTGGATAGCTAATGAAATAAGCTTCATTTCTATTGACATTACCAATGGACTATTTATGGACTATGATGCTATTTATTGTTAAAAAATGCGTTCTAAGAGGTAACTGAAAGATGGAAATTGATTTTGATAGAGTTTCACTAATTGATTAATGAACTGATTTGACGTGTGTTGATGAATATTTAAAGTCGAGAGAAGTGAATGAAGTGAAAGGAGTCTCAATGATTATGAATATTTACCACTTATTGGTGTCATCCAAGGATAAAAGTTTGGTGGAGCGCTTATAACGGCTTGTGATGATTGACAATAAGCTGCACAAACATCTGAAACTGATCTTGAATAAGCAGCCGCATCAAACCTCATTGAATCTCCTGGGACTGAAACATTCATTGGGACACTAGAACCACTTACTACACTTGAACCACTATTGACTGTCCCAGCACCTGCAATCCCTGAACCTGAACCTGTGACTGATGATGAACTTGCAGATCCTACAGCATTTGAAACATTCACAGAGTTTTGACCTACTGAGACGGGAGATGAATGATCATAAAGTTTACTACATCCACTTGATCCTGTTGTTGGATTACCTGAACTATCAATCCCATAACTATTACTAGGATGATTAGTGTGGTGATGATGATGATGAGGATGATGATTAGTGTTGTTGTTGTTGTTGTGTTGCGATTGAGATTGTTGCTGTGCTTGTGCTGTCTGTGAATGATGAACTTGAGCTTGTGTTTGGGCTTGTTGTTGTTGTTGTTGTTGTTGTTGATCACTTAATGCTGATGATGAAGATAATGATGGAGTTAATGCAGATGCAAGTGAAGATGACACTGAACCTGAACTATTGTGCTGATTCTTATATGCACTTGGTGTTAATGATATTCCAGAAAATTTATAAGTCATTGCATGTTGATCATGTCCTGGTTGATGATGAGGTCCAGTTTGATAGAAACAATGATCAAAATTTGTGTTCATAATTTAATTTCAATGTTTCCTATTCACTTGATTATTAATAACTGATCACTTTTAACTGATCACTTGCAACTGATCACAATTCACTGATCACCAAACACACAAAACAAACTTGAATTAAACTCGGCTTCTTACATCAACTCAACTGTCCATTATAATCTTTATAGGATTTTCATCATCAATTTTATTCCAAAATATACTTCTCACTCTTTCTTCTCACTCATATCAACTCTCCCTTACATAACCATCGTCATCATCATCATCATCTTCTTCATCTTCTTCATCTTCATCTTCGTCATCATTATGATACAATTCACGTTTATTCATAGCACTTCAACTCAGACTCAAACTCAAACTCCAACTATAACTCCAACTGCAACTGGATAAGGAAGACAAGGGCGAGTCCAAATGAACCACTTTTAACCAATCAGAATCATTCTCTTTTTGTATTCCAACAACTAAACTCTCAGTTTTCATTAACCAGTCAATCTTCAATTGTTAACATTCATGGAAATTAAAATACATTAAACTCGTTTCAACAGAAAAATTAAAACTTCAAAATCATAGTATTGCGTTAATTGAGTTGAACTTTAATTGCAATTTGGTGAATATGGTTTATTTCTGATGGCTGCTCACTTTTCAGAGGTTAACAACAAACATATAAGGCATCAGGTATGTATACGGGTACTAGCTCGATACTCGAGTCTGCATACGAGTAAACTAACGCGTAAACACTTTAACAATTTCCAGCCTTCGCGTATTCTCATTAGTGTCAACATATCAAGATCTTTGCCTGTAAATTAAACTGCAAATAATTCGAGATATTCACGAAAAATCTCAAAAAAAGAAACCAGTTCATATAATTTTTTGACTAGCTAACAGAGTAAGTCAATTCCTCGCTGGTTACCTAAACTTAGCTTCATATTTATGGTTATCTTCAACTTCCTTCAATTTCTTGAATTAAAGTCAATCAATTATTATAGTGAGACCTCCAGCTTCCCTTCATTATCTTAAATTGAAGTTTCAACAAAAAAAATTCAATTGTCACAAGAGTTGCAAGAGATGACATCGAAACCAGAAATATAATAAACATGAAAAACAGGGCGTTAACTTGGGTTAGTCAGTTTAAAAGCGACTATGAGTCACTTGAATTGAATATCTTTTGGCTGCAGCCGAGAGATGAATTAAATGAGAAGCTGGATTCAGGATCTACTTGTGTTCATCAGAATCTTGTGATCTCTCTCACTGACAATGAGTCACTCAGATTTTAAATTTTAAATTTAATTCGCCAAAATCATGTGTGTTTCTATGGCAACAATTACCTTGGTTTGTTTTTGTTTGTGCTGGTCTCTTATTGGCTGGGTTTGGATTGATTTCTAGCTTATTGCTATTTCTTTTTATTATCTATTTAACTGATTTAGAGTCATGGATTATCCTAGTTCAATGTCAATAAATTTGCTCCAATGCTCACCCGATGCTTACCAGCTCTTTGAGAAGATAGATGATAAAGTTTACAGAGGAAAATATCTTTCAACTGGCCAATTTTTAGCTATTAAAACAATTAATCTGGAGGAAACGAATGACACTCAATTGGATAATGTAAAGAAAGATATTTATTTAACAAGATCGTTAAGACATGAGAATATTTTACCATATCTCTCCTGTTTTCTTCAATTTGAACATCTATGGATAGTGTCACCTTATTGTCAATATAACTGAAAATTTTTCACTGAAAAATGAAATCTACTGTTCTCTATCATTATCGGCTTGAGCCACACTCTTGAAAGAAACCAAATTAATGTTGAGTTTAACATTCGCGACTTTTTGAAGTCGACTAACCAATTTATCTGGCTGATAGGTTCAAAATCACCTGTGAACCATACTATACTTTGGAGCAGTATTAATATAAAATATCAGTTTAAAATTGTCAGAATTAAAAAAGTCAAACACTACTCAGAGTTACCACGTATGAACATCGCCGAATAGGACATTAACGAAAAATCACTTAGTAATCTAGCATGATTTTTATAACAATCACAATCGTTGAAAAGCCATCACATAATATATAACTCTAGTCCAAAATATGTTTTCACTAAAAAATAATCGTTTTCCGACGAGCCAGAAATTTCATGTCAAAATCCATCTTTTCGAATTTCGAATTGAGTTACAAGGATAATTCAATCATGAATTCAAAATCTATTCTCAATTGGCAATTTTTGGCTGCATTTAAAGGAAAGCAAGAGATAACACGAGAGCATGGGGTTATAAGTGAGAAGAAGTTTAGTTCAAAATCTCGATGATAGATTGCGCTGCCAACCCCATGCCAGCTAACCACAGAAGACCGCTTTATTGTATCATTGATATTATATAACGTAGCATGTCGCTTTCGTACAGTAAGATAGAGTTCAAAAGACTCTTCATGCTCATTGGCTCAAAGAACAGCTTTGAATTTGCGTATTTCAGCTATAAAGCACATGCTTTTTATTTTCACTTCAACTTTGTTACACTAACATGCGCTTTTTGCGTTTAAAACAACCGTTTTCACTCAACTTATACTTAATTTCTTCTTAATCTAAAAAACACCAATTATGCCTAATACAGATGACTTTAAATCTGCGGATAGAAATCAAAATATTGGTACAGTAGGGGTTAGAGTTAAGTTAACAAATTGAAGATTTTTTTCATAGTCGCCCTCTAACAATAAATTAAAGTACCATTAGAATCGAACTTTTTTTGTACAGTTTTCTATTACATTGTTTTTTCTTGTCTCTAGAAACTAAATATGCTCGAGATGGCGACACTTAAAAATTAACTTAACTCTAACCCTATTTTGTTAACTTAACCCTAACACCTACTGTACAAACAATATAAATTTTTTATTCTCGTTCATTCTTCCGGCCAGTGTAATAAATGTGTTTTGAATCATAAAAAGACCCTTAATAAAGCCCCTTTAGAAAATGAAGTATGCCTAACAACAGGAGATGAACAAGATTCTGGATAAGAAAACGACGTTGGAGCTGACGTATTTCAAATGTGTTATTTTTCACATTTAATTATTGTTTTTTAAATTATAAATATTAGATGCAGTCAACCTCACAAGCGAAAGAAGGAGACTATGCAATTAAGAGTTTTATAAAAAGAGGAATTATATACCATAAAATTTCTATAAAAAAAGATTATTGAATATCTAGTGGAGCGATGAGGAAGATGGAATGTTCAGAACTGGGACCAGAATCATATGTAAGTATTGCTGCAAAAACCCGCAGTACCTGCGGGTTTTTGAAGTAACTATACAAAAATATCTCACCGGTTTGCATTTAAATCAGTGAAGTTGTGAGCTGGAAATCTTAATTATTTGGTCCATGAGTAGATTCTATATAATTATTTACGATTTCTGCAGAATTGAAAAAAGGGACCCAGATGTAATAAACATAGATGAATTGAAACAGAAAACAGCTGAAATCTGAAATCTCAAAAGAAAGAGAGGCGATCTCTTTAAAACATTTATCCTCTCTGTAGTAAGGATAATCAGCTAATAAAAGAAATGGACTTACTGCATTTGAATTGTGATAACAGTGGACGCAGGGCCGAAAAGATGAAATGTCTGAAACGTTAGGCAGACCTCAATGGTGAATGTACAACACCAAGTTGCTGAGAAATAATTGCAATAATAAGGATTTTTTCAATGATGAATTAAAATTAAAACGATTCGCAACATTTACATGATAATTCGATTTTTTCACTTTTGCCGAGACTTCGGTGGATTCTGTTTACAAATAAGCTGCAAAATTGTACCTGTATGGTGGCGCAAACTTCGCATCTGTTAAGAGTGGGTGGGACTTTTTTCTTCGGATTTTAAATTCTGCTTTGAATCATCTTATGCTCAATTTTCAATATTTTTTACATAAGTATCAGCGTAGACTTTTTTGTTGATGCTTCCCATTCACTATAGAACATTATGAAACTGGAACTCATTATAGATTGAATCAAAGTAAGTACTTCATTTTTCTGTTATTTAATTGTAAAGATTGGAAATGCATAATATTCTTCTACTGCAGGTTAGTGAATGTAAAATTGAGCGGATACCAAGAAAAAAAAAGTGATGCAGTCGAGAGACTGTTTTTGAACAATTCTGATTCGAAACTATACCACCTTCTTCGATTTGTACAAATCTCAATAGCTATAGTTCAACACAATTAATAATTAACAAAAAATTATTAAAAAAAATGTTAGTTTGACCACCATTTAACCTTATAACATTAAAAATCCTAATTTCCATTGATTTCATCAAATTTTGAAGCAATTCTGGTTCGAAATTATACCAACTTCTTCGATTTTTTCAAACAATTCTTCAACCTGATTGAAGTGTCTTTATTTGTTTTTCAAAACTTAGTGATCCAGCTAGGTCGCTATTATTATTCTGAATTGAAATGTGTGAAACTAGTGTATAACAAAACCAACACAGATCACAATCAAAGTGATTTGCAATTAACGTTATAGTTTAACACAATTAATAATTAACAAATTGAAACATGAAAAAAAATTTGTTAGTTTGTGCACCATTTAACCTTATAACATCAAAAATCCTAATTTCCATTGATGTCATCAAATTTTGAAGCAATTCTGGTTCGAAATTATACCAACTGATTCGACTTTTAAAACGATTCTCCAACCCGACTGAAGTGCCTTTGATTGGCTTCCTAAATTTAGCTAGGCCGCTATTTTAATTCTGAATTGAAATGTGTGAAACTAGTGTATAACAAAACCAACACACAGATCACAATCAAAGTGCGTCAAACTAGAAAAAATGCAATATCAGAAGAAAATGGCAATTTTGATAATTCAATAGATGCTTACATTAATCTGATTCTTATAAATCTTGATTCTGCAACATGATGCTATCCCCGTCCTTATTACCCTCTGCCTTATTATTTTGATCCTAATGCACATTCAATACCTTGCTACTCTCCTACTCACCCATAGGGATGAAGAGTAAGAGATAAAGAGAACGAAAAGTAAATGATAGAATAGCTAGAAGCATGTTGAGTAGAAGCAATAGCAATGCTTTGTGTGCGGAACGTGTTGAACTAGTGTAATACAAAGCCAACAGATCACAATTAAAGTACTGCACATCAGAAAAAGATGCCATTTCAAAATGAAAATAACAAAATTTGTTTTTCAGAAATCATTCGTCACAGCGAATCAAAAAACTTCATACGGAAAGTCATTAGTACCGATTAGAGACTGAGAAAAAATTAATTGGTTTATAGCGAAAGGCTTAAATGAACACATTATACAAATAGATTAAACGAGATGCTGGCGCTGCTTTGACTAGACCAAGATGACCAATAAAGTTAACGCAAGAGATTGATTACTGAGATTGATTATTACTCGAAGAGTACAAAACCAACTCGATTGGCTACTACCAGGTATCTCAGAAGATAGATTTTGAAAGCAAGTCATTCAGCTAGGCCGCTAACAATTATTCTCAATAGAATGATACCATTCCTTTTAAATTAATTGAAGTTATAATAAGTCTTATAGTCAGATATTTTTGTTTCGTTGTAAATATGACTTGCTTTTTCATTCTCAAAGCTTTAATGTGAATTCACCAACATCAACGTGAATTGATCAACATGTCCTTTCATTTATTTGAATGAATTTTATTTAGTTTTGGGATTTACTGTTGACATTATGCGCGCTGTTTATTCAGGAATATTCAACAATTTCTTCAAGAAAGAATAGTTGAATCCAGGTGTACGTGATAAAGACTATTACATTGGCAACGTATGTAGCATGCAAGTGATTGATAGACGTATTAACAAGATTAAGGTTACAAATGAACATGTAAAGAGTACAATAGCTGAAAAGCTAACACATTCGGGTCATTTCTGTGACAATTCATTTATCCAGTTTTTGTTTATATTTTACTCAACAAACACTACAACACATAGTAAATTTCAAGCGCAGTTGTAATCTTGCGACTATCGCCGGGTAATTTGTGCAACATTCGTAAATCAATCGTAACGAATACTGTTTCTTGTGTAGCAATATGTCGAGTTCCTTCAATAACAGAATTAACAGGCAATAGTTTGTCTTGGATGAACTGTACGACATTCAGGAAATTTTTATTTTGACAAAGGTGGATCCGTCCTCGTTTCGACATTCATAAATGTGGCTTTGAACATAGTGTCAGTTATGCTTTCAAAAGCTAGTGAACGATTAATTCTGTTGCATGATACACGAATAACAGGATACTGATCAATCAATAATTTCCCACATAATTTGTACAATTTTTCATAGTATTATTTCATTTGCTGAATTGACTTCCGCATTGATGATTGTCAGAAAATATGATTGTGTCACTAATCTAAATGCTTTGATGTTTGCGTAGTGCTGCTATGCGAGCAGAACACGAGTGAAATTCAACTGATTTCTTGTTCTGTGTATTGCTGCTCATAATGTGCGCTTAACTTGCCTAATTGCATTTGTAAACGCAACTAACGCGGACTGAAAGTGATGTCTTGCGTCTTGAAAATCTATCGAACAAAAGGAGTGTTGAATAACTGAATCTGTCAGTCATTTGGATAAATTGAATGATAATTTAAAAAGTACTCTCTCCCTATTGACGATGTATAATAATAGACGGCGCTGTTTATTTTGTCAAAATAAGTGTAAATTTACTGTACACACTGAGCCAACACCATATCAAATGGAAAGACAACTCCATCTTGCAATAGACTTTAGAAGTATTTTCCGCCGTTCTGAAATTTGAAAATTTTAAATATGACGAGTGACATGCGCAACATTAAAGCTGCTTATTTTTATCAAATATTTGTAAATAAACATTTGTTATTGTTAACAATCATCAATTATTTTTATATCTAAATTGTTAAAAATGCCGAGAAAACAAGCATCATCTAAGCCCAAAAAACGAACCAAAATGACGAGAAAGAAAAAGGTGTGACAAGCAAAGTAAAAATACCAAAAAATGAATTTGGATGTGAATATGCCGGTGATTTAGTGAAATTTTCAGAAGCAAAAGTAAGTTTTCTTTGATTCATTTGATTCAGAGTTTTATTTTAATTTTTACTAATTTTCTTGTCTCTTCTTTTTTCTAGATTAGAGAAAAAAATTATGAAAATGAGCACTTGGGTTGTTATTTATATTTCTTTAACTTTAAAGGAAAGAGGTTTTGTATTGACGCAACTAAACCAAATGACAGAATTGGACGCCTCATCAATCATAGCCGTAAAAAGCCGAATCTGAAAACAAAAATATTAGATCTCGATGGCAAGCCTCGTCTAATTTTTATTTCATTAAGAGAGATAAGTCCAGGCGAGGAATTAACATACGACTACGGTGATAGAAGTAAAGAAGCTATAGCTGCCCATCCATGGCTGAATACTAGTTGATTTTATTCAAACTTGACAAATCATCGAAAATTGTAAAATTTGTATTTTATTTAAAATAGCTTTTTCAACAATAAACAATTTGTAAAGAAAATATTTATCTTTAATTGATTATGTTCGTTGATTGATGAGTATTGTTTACATCGATTAAATACCCGCCCAAACTTTAAACCAGTTTCATTTATTATTACGAGAAGGCAGCACCATATGTGCTACCAGACAATCTTTGTACAGTAAGAGTCTACTAAAGACGACTAGAAGTCTACATGAGTGATATTTCTTAGCAAAAGCTAATTTTTGAGATATTTTCTTGATTTGTGTCTATTTCAATTATCTTATTAAGTGAATTCTCAATTTCTTGGATTATCCTCACAGATTTTTAAAGGTGTTGTCAGTAGTAAATAGAGGAACAGTAAAAGGGCAACTTTTGTTTTTGTTGTCTCCCTTGTTGTTTAACGATTGATTGCAGTTAAACATTGATGCTGGACAAAGTGAAAGTTTTGAGCATTTTGAGTTATTTTGAGTCAAAAGTAAAGTTAAGTACAACTAATTCAATTACAGATTACAACCGAGCAAAAAGTAATGCAAACTTTCAATGAATATTTCAACCGGCAACCAATGGAAATTCATGTTGAAATATAAAATTATTGAGAACGATTGTCATTCAGCATTTTAATATTGTCAAGTAAGAATGGTAAAGTTTAGAGTAAATTGGAAAAATTGAGTATTTAGATTTGAATGATTATGTTAAACAATTATGGGCAAAGGATCATCTAATGGTTAAGCTTCAACTTTGTCCTTTTCGTTGAGATACAATCTGACAAAATAGTCTAAACTCGACCAATCCATCTTACTCAACTAACTTTTTGTGAAATGCTCTTCGAGCACGGAATACGTACTTCGAATTACGAAATTGTTGGTTAAATTAAATTTCTCCCATTTTCTAATCATTAATGCATTTCTATTATTAGGTAAGTCCAGATGGCTGTTATGTTTTCTTATAAATGTATCATCAACGATAAATCATAGTCTCACCACGCACCTTAAGTTTCCTGAACTTTGGTTTTTTTTTCTTTTGGGCAAAATCTAGAAAAGGGTACAATGTTACTTGATTTCATCGATAAATCATCAGTTTTGCTTGCTTTTCCATGGACAAAAGTCTTTTTAACTTCAAATTCAAGGCATATAACCTAGAATAGAATAGTTCAATTTCAATAACGTGTTAAACAACAGCCCCGCACGTAATCCGCTAAAAAATATTTCTTAAAATGAGCCAAAAAATTGATTCTTCATAGCGAGTATCGGAACTTACCTAAGGCCCTAATATTCAATACTGGTGGAGCCCGCGATCCTAAATAAGCGCGAATTTCTTTTCACTGCATGCGATAGATTCAATCAGTTATAAAAGACTCAAATTCTTAATGAAAAAGCATTGCTAATGAGAAAAGCTAAAAACTAAAATATTATAAAATCGAGTTCGACAGCTGAACAAAACGAAATCCAAGTTTTTACATTGAAAGCGATTTTATTAAAATCTCAGAGAAATTTTCAAATCGCACTAATAGTTGCAGTTCTTATGTCCCTAAAAATTCATCAGATCGTGGCACTTAACTCGAGCGTCAAAATTTTAACACTTATAAATACCCAACAATAAACCTTAAAGCCATTAAACTGAATAAATTGATTCCCTCCACAATACCTTTGAATATGGATTTTCCAACCACCCTGAACATGATTTTCTCAAGTATCTTTTGTTATTGTAGTTAAATCATAGGGATCATTTAATCGGAGAATTTTTATAACACTTGCCGCTAAGCCATTATTTTGACGCAAAAATGACTGATAATGACTGAGTATGTTTCATGCTATTCAAATTCTTAGTGGGAAAACTGTCTTTTCAATAAGAAATCATAATGAGAAATCAGTTGAAATCTTCAGTATTGGTAATATTCATTTTGGGCACGAAAAAGCCTTTCCTTGAGCACACTTAAATTTTACTGCGAGTTGAGAGTTGAACCTTTGTTGGTTGTACCGCAACAAAAATGATTCCATTGATTGAATTAAATTTTCTTTGATGGGAAATCATCGACAAAATTGAGTTTAAAGTTGAAGCTGATCTCTTTTTGATCAGTTGATGCACCATATTTTTTGACCAAACTCTTCGCACGAAAGAAGGTTTCACATATCCTCATAATTCAATAATGAACTATCAACCTGAATACAATGTATTTATCCCCAAAGTCAATAGTAGTAAGAGATACTAAGAGATACGGAAGTCATTTGATATTAATGAAAACCCCAGGAAGAAAAAATTAATCGATGGATCTGTCATTAAAAGCATACGAATGGGTTCCACAGTTGCTACAAATGCTTTGCTTGAGCGTAAAGGAGAGCCTATGGCACTTTTGGTAACCAAAGGTTTTCGTGATATTCTTTATATTGGTAATCAGTCTCGTCCTTCCATCTTCGATTTGTCCGTAAACATACCTGATGCCTTATATTCTGCCGTTATTGAGGTTGATGAGCGTTTGTTATTAGCCTCTGAAAAGTGTTGTATCAAAGATTGGTCTAATTTACCATCAGCAATCGGTGTTACCGGAGAAACTGTAATCATTGAAAAGACTGTTGATGTTGCTGATCTAAGGACTCAATTAATTCAGTTGAAGTTCCTCGGAATAAATAGTTTGGCAGTTGCACTTCTCCACTCTAGTCTATTCGATAACCTTTCAATCTTCAATTTTTAGCACATTCACCCATTGCAATCAAAACTCAAATTCACCTTTGCTCAAATTTAATACAATAAATCTAACAAGGCAAATGCAATTACTTCGATTTTTTGTGCGCATCTCGAACAGACGCAAAACAATGAGAAAAATGTTTCATCGTATCGTGCTGTTAATGATATTCAAGCACTTTTCCTGAAGGATCATAATGTAATTGAGCGACTGAAGATTAACGCAATACTTTGATTTTGAAGTTTTAATTTTTCTGTTGAAACGAGTTTAATGTATTTTAATTTCCATGAATGTTAACAATTGAAGATTGACTGGTTAATGAAAACTGAGAGTTTAGTTGTTGGAATACAAAAAGAGAATGATTCTGATTGGTTAAAAGTGGTTCATTTGGACTCGCCCTTGTCTTCCTTATCCAGTTGCAGTTGGAGTTATAGTTGGAGTTTGAGTTTGAGTCTGAGTTGAAGTGCTATGAATAAACGTGAATTGTATCATAATGATGACGAAGATGAAGATGAAGAAGATGAAGAAGATGATGATGATGATGACGATGGTTATGTAAGGGAGAGTTGATATGAGTGAGAAGAAAGAGTGAGAAGTATATTTTGGAATAAAATTGATGATGAAAATCCTATAAAGATTATAATGGACAGTTGAGTTGATGTAAGAAGCCGAGTTTAATTCAAGTTTGTTTTGTGTGTTTGGTGATCAGTGAATTGTGATCAGTTGCAAGTGATCAGTTAAAAGTGATCAGTTATTAATAATCAAGTGAATAGGAAACATTGAAATTAAATTATGAACACAAATTTTGATCATTGTTTCTATCAAACTGGACCTCATCATCAACCAGGACATGATCAACATGCAATGACTTATAAATTTTCTGGAATATCATTAACACCAAGTGCATATAAGAATCAGCACAATAGTTCAGGTTCAGTGTCATCTTCACTTGCATCTGCATTAACTCCATCATTATCTTCATCATCAGCATTAAGTGATCAACAACAACAACAACAACAACAACAAGCCCAAACACAAGCTCAAGTTCATCATTCACAGACAGCACAAGCACAGCAACAATCTCAATCGCAACACAACAACAACAACAACACTAATCATCATCCTCATCATCATCATCACCACACTAATCATCCTAGTAATAGTTATGGGATTGATAGTTCAGGTAATCCAACAACAGGATCAAGTGGATGTAGTAAACTTTATGATCATTCATCTCCCGTCTCAGTAGGTCAAAACTCTGTGAATGTTTCAAATGCTGTAGGATCTGCAAGTTCATCATCAGTCACAGGTTCAGGTTCAGGGATTGCAGGTGCTGGGACAGTCAATAGTGGTTCAAGTGTAGTAAGTGGTTCTAGTGTCCCAATGAATGTTTCAGTCCCAGGAGATCCAATGAGGTTTGATGCGGCTGCTTATTCAAGATCAGTTTCAGATGTTTGTGCAGCTTATTGTCAATCATCACAAGCCGTTATAAGCGCTCCACCAAACTTTTATCCTTGGATGACACCAATAAGTGGTAAATATTCATAATCATTGAGATTCCTTTCACTTCATTCACTTCTCTCGACTTTAAATATTCATCAACACACGTCAAATCAGTTCATTAATCAATTAGTGAAACTCTATCAAAATCAATTTCCATCTTTCAGTTACCTCTTAGAACGCATTTTGTAACAGTGAATAGCATCATTAATGACAAATAATAACATCAAAGTTAGTCTATTGGTACTGTTAATAGGAATGAAACTATTTCATTAACTATCCAACTTTTATCCTGAAAAAACTTGTATAAATCTTCAACCAAGAGTTACTATTACATAAAGGGCGAGCTTTTCCAATAACCAACGTTTCTAGATCGGAAACTTAGCTCTCTAAACTCAACCAAAGTCGATAAATGTTTTGTTAAAAGTCGAAAATTGCCTTTCAGCAAATGCAATCCCTTTAATTCCATCTGATTTTAAATATCATTTCAGTTTATCTTCTTGTACATTGTCTCTGCTCAATCATTTGCAAGGCTAGCGTATAAAATAAGTTGTAAAATGTTGGTTTACATCAGAATTGAATTGAATCATGTTTATGAAAAGTAACGAAAGAAAATCTGGAAAAATTTGATTGCTACTGCAGACGAAGAATCAAATTGTCGCAATTGATTTGATCCATAATGGCCTTCTAAGTTTGTGATTTAGTTCTTGAAAGCTCCTGTGTATAAATTTGAAATTCAAACAGATTTCAATGTGATTTCAGATTTTAATTTCTCAATGTGAAATGCAATGGAGACACTTTACAATTTCGAGTTTCCATCTCTCAACTGAAAGGAGAATCGGAATAATGTTTCTTAACATTTAAAAGCAATCGATTGCCACAAATTCGTAAAAATGTGCATAACTTGTTTTGATCGAAAATACGTTTTGTTAAAAGTCGAAAAGTGGTTTTCAACCAATGCAATTCCTTTAATTCTATCTGATTTTAAAAAGATCTGTAAATTCACAAAAGCCAAAATAGAAGAAGACAAAAAGCAAAATTAAATGAGGCAAGGATAGAGTAGCAAATCGGATATTCTGAGCTGTGGAAAGGTTTAATACAGTCGTGAGTTAGTTTGGCTACAAATAGGGTGTTCATTTGACAAAGTTCATGATGATTATTTCGAAACAGAATTCAAAGTGGAAACTTCGCTAGATTTTTCGCAGTTATCCAAGACCAAAAAAATGATTATCATTATACTGTCTGATTGTCAGTACAATCGGTGAAATAAGTTTCGACTCTTCGATAATTTGTGTGACAAGGGTGCATTTGATCGAATTAATTCTTTGCTATTGCCTTATTGCTCATTTGCTTTTAACCCAGGTCGATATTAAGCATAATTTAAGTTTATCCTCTTGTCATCTCTGATCTAAGTTTGAATTACAATACGTAGTTAATCAATATTATTTTCATATTTGAACTTCCAATATTACAATTATCCACAATGTAAATTTCTAATTATTATACCATAAATGTGAAAAATTGAACCGTTTTTTCATAGCTAGCGATACAATTTGTATCAAGAATAAAAGTGCCAATTAAGCCTGGATCATGTAAAGTTTTCTTCTATTGTGATAAAAATATAAGTCGAATGAATCAAAAATATTGGTTCATCTACACATCTAAATAAACATACATACAACATGTAAAGTCAATGTATCAAGTTTTTGCGTCAAGGTTCGAACTGAGCGGGTTCAAGAAAAAGATTGCCCGGCCTGAAAGCTCTAATTCAACTACATCCAGGAAAATAGGAAATCTAACTTCAGAATTCAGATCTTTGAGAAAGCAATGAAAATAGAAGCTAGGGGAAAATACAGAATCCGTATTCAATAACATCAAAGTGAGGGGGAAAACTTTTTGTTATTCAGGTTGATGGTTCATTGTTGGACCAGGATTTTATGTAAAACTTTGTCTTTTGCTTAAAGAAGAAAAAGTTGTGTGAAAAATCTGGTGTCTCTGATTGTTTAAAAAAAGACCAAAGAAACCAACTTTTCAACGATTGTCTATCAGAGAAACTTTTAGATTGAACGGATGGAATCATTTTTATGCCTACAACCAACAAAGGTTCAAACTAGCAACTCTGAGTTAAATTTCTTAAATGTGCTTAAAGAAGCTATTTTATCTCAAACGAATATTATTTATACGACAAAAAATAAGATTTCAGTTTTTATTTCTTGATTCGTTCATGTTCAGGTTTCGTTCATAAAGAATTTGAGTCTTTTAAATGTGGATGTGCATTTATCACACGCAGTGAAAATAAATTTGAAAATCAGTCATGATCACGCCCTCACTAATATTGAATCATAGAAATGTATTAATGATTAGAAAATGGGAAAAATTTAATTTTAATTTGCAAGGAAAGTTCGTAATTCGAAGTAAGTATTCCGTGCTCGGAGAGCATTTCACAAAAAGTTAGATGAGTAAGATGGATTGGTTGAGTTTATCAAGAATCGCGATGAATGTTTGTCAACGAAAAGGACAAAGTTGCAGCTAACCATTAGATGATCATTTGCTCATAATTGTTTAACATTATCATTCAAATCTAAATACTCAATTTTTCAAATTTACTCTAAACTTTACCATTCTTACTGGGCAATATTAAAATGCTGAGTGAGAATCGTTTTCAATAATTTTATATTTCAACATGAATTTCCATTGGTTGCCGGTTGGAATATTCATTGAAAGTTTGCATTACTTTTAGCTCGGTTATAATCTGTAATTGAATTAGTTGTACTTAACTTTACTTTTGACTCAAAATAACTCAAAATGCTCAAAACTTTCACTTTGTCCAGCATCAATGTTTAACTGCAATCAATCGTTAAACAACAAGGGAGACAAACAAAAACAAAAGTTGCCCTTTTACAACTTTTATTTTTTGCCCATTCGTTGAAATGCGGTCATTTTTGGTCACAGTTGTTGTGTCATTGATGTGTTGCACTGTTAGCTTAGTAACCCATAAGATGGATGGTCAAAGAAGCAAGTCTAATTGTTTGAAGCAAGTAGAGTGACTATTAGTTGAAAATAAAAAGGTTGACTAGTTGAAGCTAAAATAAGCACCTTCATTGGGATCAATCCATGTATAAATACCGAATGAATTGACGAGAAAAATCGGAAATTTGTTCAATTTTAGTTACGGCAGTCCATAACAAGGTCAGTGAGGATAAGATAGGTTAGATGGAGAGGAAGAGCAAGATGGACTAAAAGGACAAAGATGGTGAGCCGAAAATGAAAAGAAGGTCATCGGCTTTGAGTCCATCTTCCTCTTGTAATGTGCAACAATTTTTACGATTCACTTTCATTTTCAGTGTGTGTTCACCGTCGAAACGTTGTAAAATAAAAAAACAAATTTCTGGCAACTTTGGGATAAACGTTTTGCTTTCCTCTTTCTTTTTGTTGTCTCTTGCGTCGCTCTTGTTTTCTTGTACAATTATGTCACTTAAAACTTTTGGGTTCCTTTTTTGTTGACTACTCCAAAGGTTTAGGTGACTGTGAAATTTGAAAAGTTGAACCCTAAGCCAAGCCAACAGAAGACTATGGAAGAGAGAAGAAGATAATGAAAAAAGCAAAATAAAATTTATATTTCGTTTTATTGCTTTTCCTTTCATTAGTTTCTTCTGCTGTCTTCTTTCAGTTAAAAGAAACAAAATTTTATAGCTTTTGCTTGAGTTTACAGATGACGATAAAGATGATGACGATGATAATAACAATGAAGCCCAAGTCAAAGTATATTATCAATTTTGATGAAAAAATTTTCTCCACCAAATTTTGGTCAAATGTGTTGCATCGGATTAATCAGTACAACTGGAATCAATCTTAAGCTCATCTTTTAAACTGAAAAGCAAATGTTTATTGGCATCAAATCAACTTTATTGATGCAGATCAACATTTCCAATAATCTTGATTCATTCATTGAGCAAGATATTTCAATGACTTTTTGTAGCATCTAGTTTAGACATCTAAACAGTGAATCATTTCATGGCATTAGATAAATCACTGATTTTCAACTTTCATTCCAAACTATTGACACGAAATTTTGAGTTGGTTTTTTCAGTCAACAGATTTCCTTCAAACCAAGTATTGCTACTCAAATCTTCAGTCTGAAAATTTGCTTTCGATAGTAAATTTGAGTTCGCTTTCAAATGACCTTTCACACAAAATCGTCAAGATTGTTCAAGTTTGCCTTTCAAGCAACAAGCTGATACTTTGTGGGTTTATTAAGCGTATAAAGTCAATTCATTTGCAATCTTTTCTGATTTCAATGATTTTTAATTTTCATTCAATTCTCACGATTTGATTATTTTATCCAAGAAACTCATCGATGGAGAAACTTGATGCGATCTTGATTTTACCATCAAGATGTGTTGAAATGAAATACATTGAATGCGATCGTTTTAAAGCGAAAATGAAACGCAAATTGAGAGGATAAAATTTTGAAATTCCAATGAAGAAAAAACGTTTTTCAATTAATTTGCGATTGCAATTAATTATCCTGTTAGCACACGCAATAATTAGAACAATATTGACGCATAAAAGATGTGATATTCAGAACGTTAAACAAGGAAGAATCAAATAATTAAAACATTCTGTTTTCAAGTAAATCTTTCCTGACTTTCATCGACTTCATTGATTCATCATTCCCCTAGCATTAATGTATTTAATCATCGCCTTCATTATAATGCTGACGATTTGCAGAGTTAAGCAAAAAAAGAAGTTTCAATTTCTTGAAAAAAAGAGGAAAAAATTGAAAAGCAAATGTTATTCCGTGATAAAGCTTCATATATTAACTGTCGGCACAACATGATATCAACAGACATTGGCATTGCAATTCTGATTCAACTTTTCTTCTTCGTTCCGTTCACTTCTTGGCAACCTTGTTAACACATTTGTTTGCTTTGCAAGAAACTTTTTCAACTTTTTTTATTTGCTTTTTACTCAAACTGAATTGAGATTGATCAAAATTCAGACAAGGTGATATTTATATTGAAACTTGTCAGTTGCAATTTTATCTCTTTTTTGTTTCTTTTTGTTTCTTCTTCTTCTTCTTGAGCCAAAATTTGTTCACTTTTCAGTCTTGCAATTCATGTTGATGCTCATAAGTCACCATGCATGCGTCTACATGTTTAGCATAATGAATCCTCATTTCCCTTGAATTTTCATCTCAAATGCAACCCTTTTTCCTTGTTCAACGTGTTCAACTTCATCCTTTCAATGAACGATTTAATGATCAATTTTTTTACCTTTTATTTTGCTTCTTTTTTCATCATTAAATTGAAGGTTCAGTTGATGAAATTTATATTTAAAGCACATTTTGTTTCATTCAAATTGTTTGTTATTTTGAAATTCAATTCAACTTGAATTTTATTTCATCAATTAATCTTGTTTCAACAAGTGTAATTGATTCAATTAGGATGTTTAACTACAAGTAATAACTGATTAGATAAATGAATGGCTTGAAAGGCATAAAATGGTCACAATTAAAATTATATTTTGTCATAACAAGTCATCATTAGATTATCCGATTTTGATAAATTTTCAAATGAACCACAAACAAAATCATTTTGATGGCCTTTAATCAACGTTGGTAACAATCAGTGAAATGGTTTAAAGTGTCAACATCAATTTATCAGGTTCAATTTATGCACGTTCAAGTTTATGCGTTTTCACATTAACATTGAAGTAATCATCGTTTATAATAACAATAATGTTTACCCTCGTTAGATGCGACCTCGCTCAAAGCGCTTTTTGACCTTGCCAATGGTTAAGATTGATTTATATTGACATTGTTTATGAGCATTTCCTAAGACAAGATGAAGATGGAAAAGAATTTCGTTTTTTTTCTCTCTCTCTCTTTTTACTTCCCATTCTGGCCTCATTTCATCCTCTTTAACTCGGAATAAATTCCAACTTGGCGCCAACTTTAAATCTTTGAATTAACTTTTACGATTCTATTTTTGTCTCTCATTATTTTCCTTCAACTTCCTGCGTTAACGTTGATCATTATTTTCATGATTACCTTCAACCTTTCCCTTTGCTCATCTTTAATCCCTTAACAATTTTCCTCTCATTTTCATCATTCCCTGTTTTCTCGGGAATCTCTCATTTCCAACCCTTCATCATTTTCATCCTCATCAACATCTTTATTATCATCAATTTTAATCTTTTTTGTTGTTTTCCTTTAATCTTTTTCTTCTCTCTTTTCCTTTCATTTCTCTTCTTCTCTCTGTTCCGAAAGACGATTTAGCTGCAGCAGTCCATCATCATCATCACCATCACCCAGAGGCAACATCTTTACTTCATCACCCTTTCCTGCCCAGCAATGGAGTTACCCTTGACTGGTCCAGCCCATCAGCAGTTGCCTTTTCAGCAGCCGCAGCATCAGCCAATAACACTAGCCTATTGTCAGGCTCAAGCACAACCAATGGACCCAGTGGGTTAGGTGGTGGAAGCTGTACCAATAGCAGTAGTAGCAATGGATTGACACCGAGTCACCTTCACCCTCATCACCATTCACACCTTCACCACAGTCATTCAACGTCAACCTCATCTCTTCACTCTCACCATCACCCGCACCACCATCATCACCATCACACTCATTCACAGCGTAAAAAGCGTAAACCTTACACCAAATATCAAACGGTTGAACTGGAAAAAGAGTTTACTGTCAATACCTATGTAACCAAACAACGTCGATTTGAACTGTCCCGAGCTTTAGGACTTTCAGAGAGACAGGTTAAGATATGGTTTCAAAATAGACGGATGAAGAAGAAAAAGATCAATACACGATCAGATTCTCATCATCACCATCGTCGTCATCATGAAATAAAAATTGAATAAAGTCTAATACCAATCATTTCACCTCAAATTTTTACCTAAATGTTTAACTCGATTTTTTTTGGGTAAACTTTTGACTCTCTTTTATAGGTTAATATTGACAATATTTGGTTGATTATTCAATATCAAAGGTATAGGTTGAGATGAATTGAACAGTTTCAACCCAAATACACCCTATAGGCTGGTACACTATAAGGATGACGAGGGAGGAAGATATGGATGAGGATGAAAAGCACAACTATAATGTTTACTCCTTTTACTTTCATCTTTACTTTTCAAGTTTACTGTTTCTCTGTGCTTTTTGTTTCCATCATTTTTAGGTTACTTTGTTTAAATTTGATTCACTTAAAGTAAATCACCAATTTAAACAATCAAAACATTGGAATAAATTGAAACACTTGAATTATCTTTTAATTTGTAAATATTGAGCTGAAATTATTTATAAATACTGATTGTAATTTCAATTGAATCTCATTCTTTTTTCTTTGCCTCTCATTGTAATATAATTTTAATTTCAACATTTTTCATTGATTTGGTTGATAAATTGATTTCCTCTTTTCATTCAGTTCATTACTCTTTTCAGCTTTCATCATCATGACTATCATTACAATCAACAGCAACATTCAATAATATATATTATTCATATGTAATCATCTTCATTGTAATTTTTGTTTGTCTTTACAAATTCATCTAAATATGAATTATTAAATGAAAATTATTACTTGCCAAAGAGGTTTCAATTTTGTTCATTTGTTCAAACTGGTTCAGTTTGCCATTATTCAATTGAATGTTTTCACTGAAAGCAAGTGGCTTTGATTGTGACTAGGATTGACAATTAACTGGTTAATAAATACAATATAAATTGTACGTGTCTCTTTCACTTTGTTTTTGTACCTTTTGATTCACATGAAGAGTTACGTTAATTGAAGCTAATCAAAAGTAAAAAAAGGTTCACGCAATAAAAAATAAAACATTCAAGTAATTATTATAAAAGCTCATTTTTGGGTCCAACTATACAAAAAATTGCATTGAACCGACTTAACATTTGGTCTTCTTTTTTGTATCTGTTTTTATGTATTTTATTGTTTCCTTTAAATTGTTTTTCTCTGTCGATTTTTGTTCATTGCATTCAAATGAATCTATCATCAAAGATGAGTTACATTTTAATCAACAATTTTAGCTGATGGTGTGTTTTTAATAACCAATGTCCAGCTCTGTGGTTTCATTTGACAGCCTTTTTGTATTTATCATCAACTTGAAAAATCTTGAATCTTTATATTAATTTTGTGTATTTTAGATAATCTAATTGTGATCGGTTGGGCTTAATTATGAGATTTCCGTTGATATTGGGCTTTTAATGGGTTTGATTACTTTCTCCAAGCCTTTTATTGATCCTTGAGTCTGGAGACAATGGGTTTTGTTTTCCAAAATTATACCAAATTTGTAGTTGATTTTGTGATTGTTGTATTTTCATTGTTTTTTGAACCATTTTTTACTGCCGATTGATTACAGCTCAGGAAATTCAGTGCTGTAAATGAATCAAGGTTGGTGAGATAAGATTGTACCGAGGAATGAAATATTCAATATCAAGTGTGCAAGGCTGGCCAATTTGATGATAACTTCCTTTTAAATTTAAATTTGTGTGACAATCAAGAGAAAAAAAAGGGAAAATGATTGAATTCACTGGGATAACTGAGCTTCAGGCTGGACTTTGTTAAGTTATTCAGATGATAAAAATGTTATAAATGACATAGGTTAATTGCCGTAGGTTGACGTAAGTTGAATCAGTTTTTTATACGCATTCAATTAAAGTTGTTGAAATGGATTAGCAAAGAAACTGAAGTTAAAGTGAAAGACAAATTAGACAGGATTAAGATCATTTCGATGATATTATTGAATGAATGCGCTTTGCCTTGAGCTGTTTATAGCAGTTAATAGCTGACTTTGTCCTCTTCTTCATCATCCATCCATTTGGTCGTCTTTTCCATCTTGAGAATGCGCAATTCTTGACATCAAAATCGCATGGAAATGATTAGTCAACCTATAAAAATATATACCAAAGACGCAAAGTAAAATTATACATTAGTTTTAGGATGAGACAGAAACTGATGGAAATAATGTAAACTCAAAATAGGTTGATATTTGATTGTCAGGTCACAATTTGAAAGATTTAAGTTGAAAATAAAAACCTGACTATTTCAATGATTTGATTTGAATTGTTTTTACTCTTAAAATACATTAACTATAAGTGATTATTATTAGTAGTATATTTTTGGGTTCAGAGAATTGAATTCAATCTTTAACCGTAACATTTCATCTTTTGTTGTTGCTGCTGATGCTCTTGAATTAGCTCAGCTTTTAAGATGTATTTGGTGTTATCTTTAAATTGGTTAATAGTGAAGCTGAATTTTTGCTGTTCTGCAAATGAACTGGAGTAAATTGAGCTTAAATTAACCAAGGTAGAATTGAGAAGATAAAAGAAGGACAAAATGGATGAGCAGAAAAACTTGAGATGAGAAGATGATGATAAAATAGCTTGCAAATTGGTGTATCATTAAAAAGTAATAAAAACGCTCACTTCATAAGGAAAATGTTTTCTCTGAAATGGCAAGCATCTTCAATATTTTGCCAGCACCATGTATGTCTTGAGTCCAATGTTTGCCTCTAATTTATGGAATAGTTTTTGAGACTGATTCTAATGATCGAGTTCAATGATCAGGTAAATTTAGAGGTTAACATTCACCAGGTAAGAAATGGACGTCTCATATTGGTTTCATTGAGTGTGAGTGATTGAGAAATGAGTAAAGTCGATTATCGGAAATAGTGTCATCAATTATCGATTTGTTGCCTCTTGACTTGCTTCTTGTTTACAATCATCAATTAAATTGTATTGCTTGTTTAAGGTTTAATCTGCATAAGGTTAACACCATTCTGATTACAATTGTTTCTCCTTCTTGTTAAAAACCGCTGCATTAAAGTCTGTAAGGTAACGAGAAGCAAAAAAAGTGAAAAGTTAATTAAATTGATAGTAAATTGTACATTAGTAACGGATGATTATTATAACTATTATTATGATTATTATCTAATTTACATAAGAGATTTGAGCCAATAACTACATGAATTAATAGCACCATTATGATCATCCTTTGATTTACAATTGTAAATGTTTTTACTGTTTCTTCATTTTATACTAATTTATATTTTTGCTTCTTCTTCTTTTTGTTTCTTACCTTACAAATTATCCATCCATCCACATCTACTGTATTCAAGTTAACTTTTATTTACATTTGGATACGAAATAGTTACCATTGACCATCATAGAACTGTAAAAACATTAAACATAAATTAACTGAGGCTCTCAATGAAGACAATTAACTTAAATTTTTTATTCTGATTACATGTTCTCTTTTCTTTGACTTACCATTTACTCGTCCCAACACAGGTATATAAGTATATATGCCTTTGATGAGCACCTTTTTATTAGTATTTTCAATGATCTTTCTTTATTTTAGCTTTTACTTTGCATTTCCCATTAGCTATTTGAAAAACCACTAACAGCGTCAATAAATCTTGTTCCCGATGAGCCAACAAAGTCACCAAATGTAACAGTAACTGTCAAGGTAATTAGAAGAGAATTAGAAAAATGTTACTCTAAAAATGCAATTAAAAATAAAACAATTTCTTTGTTTCAAAAATTGATTCAATTGAAGTTAACAAAACGATATTTACTTACACTTATAGGATGTATCTAGAAACCAATAGTTTTCATTCACAACATTGTTAGTTTTTAATAACAGCTAATATAATTGATATGAAGGCATAAAAAAACTAATTTAAGCTGACCATAATATAAACAAATGGTTGATATAATTGTAAACACATAATTAAAAATGAAATAATTTGAAAAAGAGTAAGCTCAGGTTATACACCGATCCAACAGTGAGCTTGATGGTGAATATGATTGATGTTTAAATGGTAAAGAAACAAAAGGATTAAAAATAAAAATAATATTTGTCATAAATGGTTTGAAAGAATTGTAAATCATAAACTAGGATAACTCATTTATTAACTGTTGATGGAAATGGTTATTATAACAATTTGATTTAATTAATTATGAAATAAATAATGTTGTCTGTTGACTTAAAGACGCAAAATTTTTAATGTGACTATTCAACTCTTATTGGTCTTACAACTCTTAGCGGCAATTTCAAAACAAAGCTGTAAAAATAGCAAAGCTTTTTTTATTGTTGATCCTTCAACTAAAAAGTTTCAGGTCACAATATAATTTTGTTCAATACTCCAATTTATTTTTGGGTCCCACCTTTTGCACACAATAAATATTGACCATTAAGGATGACCGACCAAAAGAAAGTTTGCAAGGTTTTATCAATACTCTTCTCTAAAAGTAAACAACACAGAATAGAAACAAAAAGCGATGAAAAATCAGCTGTGATGGATTTTTTATTGATCAAGTTTACCCTTTCTTTTTTTCAGTGCTTGTACATCGTTAGATTGGATAATTTTTGTCATCATTGGCCCATTTAATATTGTGAATTTTATAAAGAAAATGAAACTAAGCCAGAGATATTCTTGGTATCAGCATTATTGAGTGAACGTCTATTTATTTACCCGCTGATTCGGTCATCACAATATTTACTATCGTTACGGGATGAATTAAGGTTTGTATTTTTCATATCTCTTGATGAAATTTTGAGGCATGAACTTAAAGTTTGTTAGTTCAACTCTTGAATTATAGGATGCAAGCAAACTTTACCGGTGAAACCTTAGCATCATCTGATTTTAATTTCAATTTTTTGATGTCGAAAAACTCTGCCAAAGCATGGACAGTGTTTATGACTTGTCTTTTTCATTTCATTAAAGATCGCAATTGTATAAAGCCAGGATCTTTTTTGTTGGATGACCAATATGGATAATCAGCTGAACGATCGGTGGACCCAATCGGTGTAAATGTTGGTTAGTTGATACGATTATTTTTTATTGCTATTTAGATTTTGGTGATTTTAACGATGTTCTTTTCTCAATATAATAATGATTTATTCTTTATTTCTCAGGGTCAAAGAAATCGATTATAAGGATCTGTAGTGTTTTGTTTGCGTTTGTTTAAGAACCAGTTACATAAACATTTTGATGTTGTGTTCATTATTGCAAATGGATTAAAGCTTTTAGTGTTGTATCGAAAAGACTAGGACTACAAGAGGAAAGAAAAGAAATCGACTTGGATTGTGAATAGTGACCAATTGTAAATTTAGAGTTGCTATATAACTATTATTCTTGGTTGCAAGTTTCTTCTTTGGCAGCTTGTGATTCAGATGATACGGAGAGGACAGAGACATAAAATTTCTGGTGAAAAAAGGAGAAGGAGTTTTTAATGGATAAAAGTAAAGGGAAAATAATGAAAGAAAAAAAAGGAAAGGAAGAATGAAGAAGAAAATCTAAAGACGAGCACAGAAATGGTGTAAGAAAAGAAGGAAAAAAAGGACTGAAATGTTCAGTTTCTTGAGTCATGAAATAAGATTGTGCCAACCTAAGCTAGTTTTGTCTATAAATGAAGTCACTTTTTTTCCTCTTTCCAAAGGAAGATGGAAAAAAGAAGAGCAAAAGAAAGAGGAGAAGATAAATGTTGAGACTTTAACGAAGGTTGCATTAAGGGTGAGGCAGCGTGAGGCAACATAAAATTGTTAGCTAATCCAAGTAATAAAATGTTGGAAGAAAAAGGGAAAAAATTGGAAAAGGAAAGGAAAAGGAAAAGCATAATGGTGAGTGAAGGGAAAATTTGTGAACACGATTTGGTAACTTCCATCATCAAAGTCCATCTTTCGCTCCATTGGAAGAAATTGGTTTGGATCTTATCGATCATTGAAGGATAACCAACCTTTTACTGAGGCCTGTGTTTGTATTCAACTTTACAATTACATTTTATATTTCAAACTTGTCAGCCTATCATTTCACGGCATGGAATATTTTTATACTTTTTTCTTTTCACTAATCACATCGATCCGTCGAGTTAAATAAAAAGTTAATCAGAAGGAAGAAGAGGAAGAGGAGGAGGAGGAGGTAAAGATAATGATGAAAACGCAGTCCGCATGTCATATTGATTCAACTCAATGGAATCCATTGGGTCTAATAAAAACTTTCATCTTTGCTATTTTTTCACGACCTTTTCTTCTTCTCTCAACAAAAGTTCAATAAACAGAAATTTTTCATGATTCCTCTTGAAGCTTGATCTACTGGATTGATATTATAAAAAGTTGAGAAATAAGAATTTGAAACATGACTTGACTCTAAATTATGCTGGGTTTTTGTAGAAAATGAAGAGGTAATTTTTTCGGTTGTTGGCATTTAGAACTTAAGTAACACTTTTGAAGGCAATTTACTAATCAAATTCGGTTTTAATATTTACTTATATTTGCAGAGGAAAACGAGTCGTTGCTATGTAAAAAAAAATTTTGCTTTGAGGTCTCTTTACAATATGTATTGATGAAAGCTTACATTAGATGGAATGGTCTTTAAAATGGATTTCTGTCATGAGTAGTCAAACTGTTTTTAAATTATTAAGCATTAAAAAAGCTACGATGAAAAAATCAAGGGAAAAATTAGGCTTGAGCTTTCATTTTACACAAATATCTTAAATGTAAGACTTTAACATCATGATCTGTGTCCATTTGACAGACACCATCGACACCATCAATACTTAAAAGAACTCCAGTTTGTTCTCTTTCTTCACCAAAGATCACTTTAATCCTATCCTTTGGCTCCGGTGAAATAGGTTCTAATTGATATGGGAAACAGTTGACTACTCGATCCTCTCTGATAAGGAAAACAGATACCATTCCACCATTGATTCCAGTAATTTCACCAGTTTGTCCAATTAAATCACCATCAGGGTTTTCTTTTATTCTAACCACAATATCTGTTGTTAACCAATCAATATTGATTTGATCCATACCAGTTCCTGGAGTTTGCGGATTGAACATGGGAGATGGAACCATTGGTGAATAAGCAGCAAACTGTGGACTTGGCGTCATACCACCAGACCCATAACCTCCTGGGTTAGGTGACATAAAAGATCCACTGGCAGGGCTGGGAGCTGATTCTTGATAACTGGCTTCAGATGGCGATGGAACCGGTTGATATGGTGAATATGTGTGATCTGAAGTATACATGCCTGGAGTTTGAGGTGTATATGCTCCAGCTTGAGGAGTATCTGGACCAGTAAAACCTGGAGTGGGTGGGTTATTATAATTACCGGAGTTATCACCACTCCAAGCATCATCGTCAAAGTTAGGTCGAGGCGTTGCTCCAGTATTCGGGTCCCAAACTGAACTTCCACCATGCATTGGTGTCCTTGATCCATCGTGCATTGGTGTTTGACCACCTCTTCCAGGAGTTCTTCCTCCGAGTTCATATGATGGAGTTTGTGAGCCATACATTGGTGTTCTTGCTGAATAAGTTGAAGCACTTCCCGTTCGTTGACCTGTAGTGCCTCCGACTACATCAACACGAGACTTATCTACATTGATAACTTGACAAGTAGAATGAAGCTCAACTCTGGCTGTTGTTGCCATTGCATCTTTAACTATTCCAATATGACCCTTGTATGGACCTTGGATGATTTTGATTGTTTTACCAATTAAATCCAAATCTGATCTATCTCTTCCTCCTTTTGTTGCTCCAAAAGGCCGTTTACCTCCACCAGAATGTGCTGGTGATGAAAGTCTGGGTGACATGAATGGTGCTGGTCCTCTACCTGTCGAGACAACAGAAGTTGACCGAGAACCTCCGGAAAGTTGAATATTCCTGGTTTTACAAACAAATATACCACCATTTTCCATAAGTAAACGATCATGTATAAATGCATAATTACGATAAAGATGTCTGATTTCTCCTTTACGACCCGAATGTGGACCATCAACAACTTCAACATGGTCTTTAACTTGTATCTGACTTTGATCACAATCCAAAGAGACAGCTTTACGCGTGTCACGCTTCTGTTTTACAGCTTGATGCTTAACATGTATTAATTTACCGTGCATATCTAATATTTGAAAATTTTCTTTTTCTAGTCGAACAATAACTCCAACAGTTTGACCATCAAGTTGAACTAGATCTCCCCACTGATATTGTCCAAGACTGTCAACACCGGTAGCCATATCAGGACTTAATTGAAGATCTTTAGGTAAAACTTTAATTTCGTGCATTGACAGATCAGAAAACAGTATAATTTGATTTTCCAAAACTCTGACTACTAATCCTGTATCACCTTCGTATCTTCCAGCCATAACTTTAACATGATCTCCGACACGGAAATATTTTTTTAGTTCATGAGCTTGAAATTCGAGTGGATCTTTGAGATCATCATGCTGCGGAATCATTGTAATTTTACTTCCATCGACAGCTACGACTTTACCTTGGAGATGTACAAGTTCTCCCTCACATACTTCGACATTATCTCCTGAGCAGATACCATGAGACTCTTCGTCATCAGCAGCACTTTCATTTAATTCAACTCCTTCAGGATGTTCTTCAAATTTTTCAAGCTCGTTTAAAGAAGGTTTAACACCATTTATAATAAGCGAGTTCAATGGAAAACTTTTGTACAAAAATCCTCTTCGATATCTGTTTCCTTCAAAAATAACAAAATCACCATCATTACTAACTTCACCACCAATCGATCGGATCGCATCAATATCAAAAAGTTTGGCAGCAGGTCGTTTTGTGCGCTTCCTTTTGCCAATGTCAGTCTCTGTTGTTTTGAGAGCACCTCTTTTTCGTGTATAGTCAATTCGAGGAATAAGTTTGAGATGGACTTGTCCCTGACCGTGGTCAACGTAGTCTACTTGGGCTAAATCGTCTTTGTAAACTGATCTTTTCAATCTAACCCAAGTACCGGGTTTGATTGAAGCTTGTTCTTTGGTCACTTTAAGAACATCGGTCATTTCATTTATAGGAACCATAGTTTGTTTATACAGGCCTAATCTGAGATTTCCAATTCCAGTAATAGCTTGTTTCACATGAGTTTGTTTATATGCTTCAATGTAGATGTAACCCTTTATTCCTTCTGGGGCAATAACTGACTTAATCAGCAATGGTTCCTCTGTGGTCGAATAAGCGATAAATTTTCTCATTATTTGAAGAACAGTAGATTTCTCTTCTCCAATCCTGCATTTAACCATCCAAAGATTAGGATCTTTAACTCCAGGCATAAAAGCTTGTTGAGCAATATCATCAGGTAAATCTCCGTCAGCATCATAAAGACCTTTCTCTGCTGCAGTTGTCTCGGCATACTTTCTTTTATAGTATTCTTCAATCTCATCTTCCTTTTGATAATTCCACATCATTTGAAGTCTACGATGACTGTCGAGCTCACGAGATGAGCTGGATTCTCCAGCTTTGTTTCGATCAATGATATCCTCTGCTCCATCTTCCCACTCTTCATCTTCTTCAACTTCATCGTCAACTTCAGCCTCATCCAAAATGAAACCACCATGACGAGGTTTCTTTTTCGGCCTCTTTCTACCCATTTCTTCCTCTTCGTCTTCCTCTTCTTCATCATACTCTGCTTCATCTTCTTCTTCCTCCTCTTCTTCCTCGTCAGCTTGATCGTCTAATTCCTCTTCACGGCTGTAATCTTGATCGTCTTCATCTCCAGAACTCACTGTGAAATAGAACAATCATAGAGAAATAGTTAAAATAGGAAAGATTCACTTTCTGTCCATTTGTTTGGCTAGTTGAAATTCTCATTCCAAAAAAGACTTGAAATTGCTCTACTTACTTTTGACGACACCTTTAAAAATCTGTAAGGATAATCCAAGAAATTGAAAATTCACTGAATAAGATAATTGAAATAGACACAAATCAAGAAAATAGCTCAAAAATTAGCTTTTGCTAAGAAATATTATTCATGTAGACTTCTAGTGGTCTTTAGTAGACTCTTACTGTACAAAGATTGTCTGGTAGCACATATGGTGCTGCCTTCTCGTAATAATAAATGAAACTGGTTTAAAGTTTGGGCGGGTATTTAATCGATGTAAACAATACTCATCAATCAACGAACATAATCAATGAAAGATAAATATTTTCTTTACAAATTGTTTATTGTTGAAAAAGCTATCTTAAATAAAATACAAATTTTACAATTTTCGATGATTTGTCAAGTTTCAATAAAATCAACTAGTATTCAGCCATGGATGGGCAGCTATAGCTTCTTTACTTCTATCACCGTAGTCGTATGTTAATTCCTCGCCTGGACTTATTTCTCTTAATGAAATGAAAATTAAACGAGGCTTGCCATCGAGATCTATTATTTTTGTTTTCAGATTCGGCTTTTTACGGCTATGATTGATGAGACGTCCAATTCTGTCATTTGGTTTAGTTGCGTCAATACAAAACCTCTTTCCTTTAAAGTTAAAGAAATATAAATAACAACCCAAGTGCTCATTTTCATAATTTTTTTCTCTAATCTAGAAATAAAGAAGAAGATAAGAAAATTAGTAAAAATTAAAATGAAAACTCTGAATGAAATGAATCAAAGAAAACTTACTTTTGCTTCTGAAAATTTCACTAAATCACCGGCATATTCACACACAAATTCATTTTTTGGTATTTTAACTTTGCTTGTTACACCTTTTCCTTTTTCGTCACTTTCAATTATTTCAAAGTTGTCAGGATCGACATTTTTTTTTAAATATTTTTCTTTAAAATCTATTTTTTCATGAGTTTTGGTTGTGGATCTGGTGACTCTCAGGAAATAATTTTTCACTGATGGTGTTGTTGATGGAGGCTTTGTTGACACTTGTTTTTTGGGCTTAGATGATGCTTGTTTTCTCGGCATTGTTAACAATCTAGATATAAAAATAATTGATGATGATGATGATGATTGTTAACAATAACAAATGTTTATTTACAAATATTTGATAAAAATAAGCAGCTTTAATGTTGCGCATGTTACTTGTCATATTTAAAATTTTCAAATTTCAGAACGGCGGAAAATACTTCTAAAGTCTATTAAAAGATGGAGTTGCCTTTCCATTTGATATTTTGCTTCTTGAGTGCGGCTTAAGCCGATATTGATAGATGTCAGTTGGTTTTATTTTTTTAATCTGTTTGTTTCTTGATTATTTTATTTATTAATGATTAGTTAATTTTAATTATTTTTTTATTTACTCTTTTTCTCTTTAATTTGTTAGTGAGTGCTTCTTTTCCTTTTTTTGTTTCAAATGACCCGTGATCGGTTAGCAGCCTTGAGGGCTGCTCGTGGTGACCTAGCCAATGATACCACTGATGGTGAAGTATCTATAAGGCTAGAGGAAAGTCCAAGTTTCATGGAAAGTTTTTTTAATGAGGTTACTCATATTCAGGAATCATTGGACCATCTTTCATCACAAATTGAAGAATTAAAAAAGATTTCTGCTGCCATTGCATCGCCTTTAAGTGAAAATGTTGATGAAAATTTGGAAGCATTAATGTCTTCTATTAAAAAATCTGCTACCAAAATCAAAACAAAGTTAAAAGATATTGAAAATACCATGGAATCTATTGAAGGACAAGATAAATCTTCAGCTTTGTATCGCATCAGATTCACTCAACATGCGGCCTTATCAAAACGATTTGCTGATATTATGCATCAATATAATAATGCTCAGATTGAGTATAGAGAAAAGTGTAAACAAGTCATCAAAGCGCAATTAGAGGTTACTGGTAATTTGACAACTGACGAAGAATTGGAAGAAATGTTGGAAACAAAAGATCCAGAAATTTTTACCCAACGTATTCTAACAGATACTAAAGCAGCAAAACAGACCTTAGCAGATATAACTGCTCGCCATGCGGATATAATCAAATTAGAAAAGAGTATAAAAGAGCTTCATGATCTGTTCATGGATATGGCTGTGTTAGTGGATTCTCAGGGAGAAATGATTGATAGGATTGAACATCAAGTTACCGAAACAAAAAACTATGTAGCCAAAGCTAACGAGGAAACCGCAAAAGCCGTCATCTACCATAAAAAAGCTCGTCGAAAAAAGACACTCATTTATATCTGTCTAGTTATAGTTCTTATTGTGATTATAACCGTAGTTACACTATCTTTGCTAAATTAAATTTACTAAATTTGCACTAAATGCAGAAAATTATTCTAACTTGATTGTATCCAATATGTATTTATTTATACATTTAAATATTAATTTTATTTGTGAATCAACCTTAATTGTTAAAGTAATTCCTCTTTCTCTTTTTTTCTGATATGATAGAATGATGGCTGATAGAAAGTCAATTTTTGTTGATTAAATTACTGTCTGATGAATGTCATATCTCAATGAAAGCCGCCTACTAACATAATCTTTGTTCTCATTCATGTACGTAAACGTCATCCGCAATATCAACATTGATGTGACAGGAAAAACTAAATTAGAATTGGTAAGAATATTTACTTATTTACTCTACATTCTTATAATGGAAAATTTAAGTACCGATACAAAAAATTTAAGGATCCCACAAACCAGGCGAAATGAATTTTGTTGCAACGTATAATTAATTCTGATAACATGATGGCACAAAAATAAAGATGATAGGACAAAACAATTGAGTGAATGTCTTTTACCAATAGCTTTTAAATGGCAAAACTGTTTATAATTGCGTTTGTCCAATGAATCAGTTGATTAAGACACTTTTCTGTCGATTTGTTTTTCGTTCACTAAACTAGAAAACTAGAATAATTTAGAGGCAAGTTTAATATTATGCTTGTCTCTATCCATGTTTTTATGCATTTTGAGTCGCTGTGACTGAAAAATAACCGTGAAATTAATTAAATGGCTTTGAAGGTAAACTTAACTGATGATTACAGGTAAACAACAGTTGAAGTTTACAACAGAGAAGAAAATGAAGAGAAATAGAGATGAGATTAATTATCAGCTACCCTTATCCAACACTGTCAGCAAGTTAATACCAGTATCCAGTTTCTTTAATTGTTTGAAAAATTTATGGCTGAGCAATTGAACAGCAGCAGGCCTAAAGGAGAAATTAAAAAAAAAGGTTTAAAAAAGTTCAAATTCAATAGATTATTTAGATTGAAATTAATCTTGTACCAACCTTTTGCCTGGATCATGATGGAGACAAAGCTCAACGGTGAAAGAATGAAAATGATTGCTGAAACAACGGTTCCGATAAACTTCGTAGCGAACTCGCTCTTCTTCACTTAAATCTATGATGAGATGATAAAAAAAGTAGATGAGTTTTCATGGTGTCATCTTGCGTAGAATCGATTATGAAATTAAATATCAGCTGAAACGAAATGTTTAGCATATCTGATATTTGAAAAATTATTAACTAAGCTCGAGTAACTAGAGCTAGAGAGAAAAAAATATTGCTTGATGACAAGAAATGTATATGGAGTGAATGTAAATGATAATTACCGTCAGTAGGCAATTCAAAGAGCTCTGCACAATTTGAATCAATAGGTCTAGGAAAGTTTCCTGTTAATTTATCTAATAACATTTCAGTTGGTTGAAGATCAGCAAACGGAACACAGCCATTAGCAAGCTCACAACAGGTTATACCAAGAGAATAGATGTCAGAAGTTGTTGTATAACCAAGAAGGTTTTGCTCCAATAATTCAGGAGCAAGCCAATTAAGATTGGGTTTAGCATTGTTAGGGTATGTGTGGATTGATTGTAGTAATTTTCCGTCATGCATTAAGCTTGTCGCATATTGAAAACCGGTTAATAAACATCTTCCGTGAGGACCATAAACTAGTAAATGTTGACCGCGAATAGCTCGATGAATTATTCCCTGGTTATGAATATATTCTAAGGCAGAAAGAGTATCACGGACAATAAATGAAATGGCAAGCTCAGATAATCCAGATGGTTTACTCAGTTCGGATGCAGAACCATATTGACAATAAGGTGACACTATCCATAGATGTTCAAATTGAAGAAAACAGGAGAGATATGGTAAAATATTCTCATGTCTTAACGATCTTGTTAAATAAATATCTTTCTTTACATTATCCAATTGAGTGTCATTCGTTTCCTCCAGATTAATTGTTTTAATAGCTAAAAATTGGCCAGTTGAAAGATATTTTCCTCTGTAAACTTTATCATCTATCTTCTCAAAGAGCTGGTAAGCATCGGGTGAGCATTGGAGCAAATTTATTGACATTGAACTAGGATAATCCATGACTCTAAATCAGTTAAATAGATAATAAAAAGAAATAGCAATAAGCTAGAAATCAATCCAAACCCAGCCAATAAGAGACCAGCACAAACAAAACAAACCAAGGTAATTGTTGCCATAGAAACACACATGATTTTGGCGAATTAAATTTAAAATTTAAAATCTGAGTGACTCATTGTCAGTGAGAGAGATCACAAGATTCTGATGAACACAAGTAGATCCTGAATCCAGCTTCTCATTTAATCCATCTCTCGGCTGCAGCCAAAAGATATTCAATTCAAGTGACTCATAGTCGCTTTTAAACTGACTAACCCAAGTTAACGCCCTGTTTTTCATGTTTATTATATTTCTGGTTTCGATGTCATCTCTTGCAACTCTTGTGACAATTGAATTTTTTTTCTGTTGAAACTTCAATTTAAGATAATGAAGGGAAGCTGGAGGTCTCACTATAATAATTGATTGACTTTAATTGAAAAAAATGAAGGAAGCTGAAGATAACCATAAATATGAAGCTAAGTTTAGGTAACCAGCGAGGAATTGACTTACTCTGTTAGTTAGTCAAAAAATTATATGAACTGGTTGTTTCTTTTTTTGAGATTTTTCGTGAATATCTCGAATTATTTGCAGTTTAATTTACACGCAATGATCTTGATATGTTGACTCTAATGAGGATACGCGGGGGTTGGAAAGGTTCAAGTGTTTACGCGTTAGTTTACTCGTATTCAGATTCGGGTGGAGGTAGTAACTAGTAGTTATTATTGATAGCTTAATTTCTGGTTAGTTTGATATTTTTGTTCTTTTCGGGTACATTGATGAGTAAAAAATTTCCGAAGAAAAGACCGGTGAGGTCAGAATTGACAATTACTCCAAACTCGACTGGAATCGCACTTTAAACTGCGCGGTTGTTAATGAATGATGGCAAATGTAGGCAATAAATAATTATCTACCAGTAATAATCTAGCAGATGAACTTGATGATTGTTAACTTTTACCGATACCTATTTTTTGATCAATAATAAATCAGTTTTATCATCCATCAAAAAGTTTTTTTCATAAACTTTCCTTTATTGGTGCTGTCAACTAAATTCGAATCAACTCTAGAAAATAATTCATTGATTGATCTGCGGTTTGCAATACAGTCTCATATGAATCTTCAAGAAAATATGTTGATAAGTAAATAAACAAGATGGAAACGAAGATACAATTGTAACTCTTGCATGAGTGACGATCATCCGTTTCATCTCTAACATATTTAACATTAATTGTTAAGTGACTTTCTCTTCGACTTTTTATAAGTGTTTGGCATGATGTCTCGATTTAATGAAAAAGGTTTTGAGTTTTGTATTGATCGAGGTGGTACATTCACCGATGTTTACGCCAAATGCCCAGATGGCTCCACAGTTATTTCCAAATTATTGTCCTGTGATCCTGACAATTATGATGATGCTCCAAGAGAAGGTATTTATCGGATAATTAATTCATATTATAATAAGTCATTTGATATTAATGAAAACCCCAGGAAGAAAAAATTAATCGATGGATCTGTCATTAAAAGCATACGAATGGGTACCACAGTTGCTACAAATGCTTTGCTTGAACGTAAAGGAGAGCCTATGGCACTTTTGGTAACCAAAGGTTTTCGTGATATTCTTTATATTGGTAATCAGTCTCGTCCTTCCATCTTCGATCTGTCCGTAAACATACCTGATGCCTTATATTCTGCCGTTATTGAGGTTGATGAGCGTTTGTTATTAGCCTCTGAAAAGTGTTGTATTAAAGATTGGTCTAACTTGCCATCAGCAATCGGTGTTACCGGAGAAACTGTAATCATTGAAAAGACTGTTGATGTTGCTGATCTAAGGAATCAACTAATTCAGTTGAAGTCCCTCGGAATAAATAGTTTGGCAGTTGCACTTCTCCACTCTTATATTTATCCCGATCATGAAATAGTGGTTGAGAAGGTTGCTCGAGAACTAGGTTTTGATTATGTCACATTATCTTCTAAAGTTATGCCGATGGTTAAAATTGTTGATCGTGGCTTTACTTCATGTGCAGATGCTTATTTAACACCTGCAATCCATCGATATATTAGTGACTTTGCCTCTGGATTTATTAACGGATTAGAGTCTCTTCCCGTTTTATTCATTCAATCGGATGGTGGACTGACTCCTGTTAATCAGTTTACAGGTTTTAAAGCCATTTTATCTGGACCTGCTGGAGGAGTAGTTGGCTATTCACGTACAACTATCTCAGATTTAGGACCAAATCAGGCTGTAATTGGTTTTGACATGGGCGGCACATCAACCGATGTGTCTCGATATCACAATACGTTAGAGCATACTTATGAAAATGTTACTGCCGGAGTTGTCATCAAAGCTCCTCAATTAGATATCAATACTGTTGCTGCTGGTGGAGGATCTCGTCTATTTTATCGTTCTGGTCTTTTTGTTGTCGGCCCAGAATCAGCTGGGGCTTTTCCAGGACCTGTTTGTTATCGATTTGGTGGTCATTTAACTGTGACGGATGCGAATGTTGTTTTGAATAGAGTTTTGTCTGATTATTTTCCAAAAGTTTTTGGACCCACCAAAGATAAGTCATTGGACAGAGCTGCGTCAATAAAATCAATGGAAGCCTTAACAAGTGAGATTAATCGTGACTTGGGAACATCAATGAGCGTGGAAGAGGTCGCATTAGGATTTATAAAAGTTGCTAATGAAGCAATGAGTCGTCCTATTAGAGCCATTACTGAGGGTAAAGGTTATTCAGCCTCATCTCACGTATTGACATGTTTTGGTGGAGCTGGAGGACAACATGCTTGCTCTATTGCTCGCTCACTAGGAATCAACAAAGTATTCATCCATCGATATGCTGGTATTTTGTCTGCCTACGGAATGGCTTTGGCTGATATTGTCCACGAAGAACAAGAACCCTCCGCATTTGTTTACTGTGAATCCAATTTTAAAGCCATTGATGATCGTTTCATGCATTTAATTCGTAAATGTGAAGAATTTCTTCTAGAACAAGGATTTAAACGAACCCAATTGCAGTATGAATTGTATCTGAATATGAGGTATGAAAAAACCGATTTCCCTTTAATGATCCTATCCTCTGCATCTTCCAATTGTCTTTCAACTATTGCTGGCGATGGAAAATTTTGCATGGTTGGAAATTTCGGGGATACATTCAACTTACGATACCAAAAGGAATTCGGTTTCAAAATGGATCCAAAGAGAAAAGTAGTTATCGATGATATTCGTGTTCGTGGAATAGGAAAGTCAACTGATGATGACAATCTAACTAAAGAAGAAGCTAGTAAAGATAATTTCAACGAGGCGGAAGAAACTATTCAATGTTACTTTGAAGACGTTGGATACATGGCAACTAAAGTTTATCGCCTTGAAAAATTAGAACCAGGTCAAACTATTGGTGGTCCAGCTATCATCATTGAAAAATCTTGTACTATTTTGGTTGAACCTGAATGTATGGCTAGAATCACGCGACAAGGAAATATTGTTATAGATTTACAGCAAAAAACTTCAGATGAATTATCCATGAAAAATACAAGCTCAATTGATTCAATTACTTTGTCCATATTTTCTCATCGTTTTATGTCGATTGCTGAGCAAATGGGTCGTATCCTGCAACGAACAGCAACATCGACTAATATAAAAGAGCGACTTGACTTTTCTTGTGCTCTTTTCGGACCTGACGGAGGTTTGGTATCAAATGCGCCTCACATTCCTGTTCATTTGGGCGCAATGCAAGAAGCTGTTCGTTTCCAGTTAAACCATAGAGATGGAGATTTAAAACCTGGCGATGTATTATTATCTAATCATCCTGGTGCTGGAGGCTCCCATTTACCTGATTTAACTGTTATTACTCCTGTTTTTGCTGAAAATCAAAAATCATCGAATCCTGTGTTTTTCGTAGCAAACCGAGGTCACCACAGTGACATTGGCGGAATCACACCAGGCTCAATGCCTCCTCATTCTGTTAAACTGTCTGAAGAAGGAGCTGTATTCATGTCTTTCAAGATTGTAGAAAATGAAGTTTTCCAAGAAGAGAAATTGGTTGAAGCTTTACAAGCTCCTGGTAAAGAACCAGGCAACTTTGGATCACGAAATTTATTTGACAATATCAGTGATTTAAAAGCTCAAATTGCTGCAAATCAAAGAGGAATTTTATTAGTCAATGAAATGATTAGACAATATGGTTTAGAAGGTGTTCAAAAGTACATGAAATACATTCAAGAAAATGCTGCTCGTTGTGTTCGTGATATGCTTATTTCTATCTCCTCTAAACTCAAAACTTCTAACCTGGAAGCATCAGAATTTATGGACGACGGTACACAGATTAAATTAAAAATTGAAATAGATCCAAAAATTGGAAATGCTACTTTTGATTTTACGGGAACCGGTATCGAAGTTTATGGCAATTGCAATTCTCCTAAAGCGGTTACATTATCAGCCATAATTTATTGCCTTCGATCTATGATTGGCTATGATATTCCATTGAATCAAGGCTGTTTGGAACCAATCAAAGTAATAATTCCTCAAGGGTCAATTCTGTGGCCAAGTCTTGAAGCTGCAGTTGTTGGTGGCAATGTTTTGACCTCTCAACGTGTTGTTGATGTAATCCTTAAAGCTTTTCAAGCCTGTGCTGCTTCACAAGGCTGTATGAATAATATTACATTTGGAGATGAAACTATGGGTTATTATGAAACTGTTGCTGGTGGAGCAGGTAATTTCAATCTGGTAAATTTGAATATTCCAACAAAAATGCTCATTTCATTTCTTTTATCTTTCAGGAGCTGGACCTCACTGGAACGGGCGAAGTGGTGTTCATACTCATATGACCAACACTCGCATCACTGACCCTGAAATAATGGAGAAACGTTATCCAATTGTTTTAAGAGAGTTTCATCTGAATCCCGGCTCTGGAGGAAAAGGAAGATATAAAGGTGGAGATGGAATCATTAGAAAAATTCTTTTCAGAAAACAAATGATTCTATCTGTGTTAACTGAGAGGCGAGTTTTTGCGCCCTATGGATTACATGGTAATTATAATTTTGCATACACATAATGAATGTAAACAACAAATTGGATTTTTTAATTTTACTCTAATTTAACTATTCTTTTTTAATCAGGCGGAGAACCAGGCTCTCGAGGGTCCAATGTCATGCATTTTTCAAGTGGACGACAAGTCAATTTAGGATCGAAGTCTTCAATCAAAGTTGAACCAGGCGATACATTTTGCCTCACTACCCCTGGAGGAGGTGGATATGGTTCATTAGATTAAATAACTTGAACAAAATTAAGAAATCCGTTTCTGAATATGTTTCTTGTGATAGCTTTCTTAAATGTCAAATAGTTTCAATCACTTAGATAAGCCGAAAGTTTATTTCATATTGATAGATTTTATACTGTTTTGTACCCAAGAATCTGAATAAATATCAATATTTATTCGGAGTAAATAACAATTTTTTCATCTCATATTATACATACTGTATATGTACATTGAAAAAATGAATAGACGAAAGATGAATATTAACTGTACTCATTGCTGTGGTAACCAACTTTTGTTATGTTATTATTTCATTCGTTCTCTTCGAAGTCAATTGATCGCAATAAAAATTATCAAACAGTATCTCTACTTTCAGTTGAAATAAACAAAATATTAATTCATCTCAGAAAATCACTAGCACAAATTGTCACTACAACTTTGATAAATTTTGCTTCACAATATTCAATAGCTGATATCATCGTACATTCAATTCGTGTTTCAGCTCAAACATTGGTAACAAAAGTGGTAAACAGGTAAGACAAATGATTTCCTTCTGGTAAACTAAGAATTGCTTTCAATTTTTCAATTTGTGATTTGTTGGTGTTAACTTTCTGATTTATTGAGATTATCTATCGGTAACATTGAACTATTTTGCCATCCTTCAGTTGTTGCTATTTTTACGATTTTCTGTTGCTCTTCTCATAGTCTCGAAAGTGCTTGCAGCTAGTCGCTATCAATATTACATATGTGTACATTAAGTATTTAAATCAATCAAGTTTTTTATTGATCGCAAGACTTGACAGAATCTTGATTCAGTCTTTTTGTTATTGTCACTCATTTCTCTGTTTCTCATCCAAATACAATGTACGATTCAATTAGATCGAGATTACTATGTCAATATGCAATTGATTATTCGGTTAAACATTAGAGTAATAGGAAAAATTCAAATAGATCTATTTTAATTTCAATGAGCTACAAATTTAATAGCTTTATTTTTTAAACCAAACTATCAATTTACACACCAATTATCGCAGGTCATGGAAGCTGAAACGAGCTGGGTTCTTGACTCACTCGTTGGCTTCCTTCAAGGGCCAATCTGGAATATTCCGATTAATAGTTTCATCGAGCAGCGTTCAATAGGTAAGTAGTGTTAGTAAGATCAATGATGATTGAGTAAATAACAATTAATATAATTTTTTTCTCTAATAGTTTTTGAGCCTGAATACGACGAGGAAAAATACAAGGAAACCAAAGATGAAAGAGAAGCTGAATATCGTAAAATTTTTGAGGAATATGGTATTCTAGTTGATCGATTATTGAGTGCCCATATGGAGGATCTTTCAATTACATTGGAACAATTTGAAGAAGCTTGTCATAATGCAAAAGGAAGTTTAGGAGCAAAATTTCAACAAACATTATTTGAACAAATCTGGGCTGCTAATGATTATGATATATTTCGAGCCTTGATGGTTAAACGTAACATTGAGCTCAACTTACAAGCCATGAATATACTGACAACCTCTTTGAGTCACCTGAGCTCCGATGATGCTGCAAAAACAATAAGTTTTCTTATCGACGATGATTCACTGTTGGAACAGGTAATGAAATTATCACTGGAGGAAGCTCGAGAAGAACAGGATGCATTGGATGAGACAGTTAAAGAGGATGTGCTTCGCATTGCTATAGAAGAGAAAGATCGATTGGAAGCTGAGAGAGCAAAAGAACAGATCAAATTGGATCGAGCATTGAAAAGAGTAATGAATGGCAACACGGCTGAACTTGCAGAGGATCTAGATAAACCAGCTGAGGGGCAATCTGGTAAAAACAATGAAGATGACGATGATGGAGTTGAAAATAATCTTGATGTAAAAGTGAAAAATCAAAGTGTAAACAGGGCTGGTTATAAATCGCTAAAGACTGAAGATGATGAAGATGAAAGGAAACAAAACGAACTCGCAAACGAAGGTGAAGATGAAGAGATTGATGATATAAAAGAAGCTCTGCTTAAGCCAAAAGGACCAACCATCAATCCAGAAGAGATTAAAGCTCGCCAAGAGTATTTGAGACGTCGAAGAGATAAAATTATTGAGACCAAAAGGAAAGAACGACAACGACAGGTAGAACAGTTGGAAGAAACTGAAATCAAAGAGAAAAGACCCAAATCGGCAAAAGCAGTTAAAAGTGTTTTAAGGGAAGTTGAAGATGATGTGACAGAAGAGGATAAAGGGTTGAGTTTTCGTCGCTCACTTGCAGCCAAGTTGAAAGCTGAAGTAATTGGTGAGTTTTGAATAAACCCTTTTTGAATACAATAATTAGTATTAATCAGAAACTCTTTAATTTATTTATTGTTACAGAGAAGAAGAAATGATCTATGACAGTTCAAATGCATACCATCAGGTCATTAAAGTAAGCAACTGTACTTCTGATTTTATTCATAATTTTGGTTTAATAAAAAATCTTTCCAGTATTTAAGTGTTAAAAAGGTTTATTTATTTGATAATAAAATGCAGTTGAATAATGGCCTAATAATTAGGAAGAACAATTGTAGTTAATTAATATTACATCAAGGACTATGTTTTGCATTTTAGCATAGTTGGCAACATTATTTGTTTGCTTTGAATAATATAATTGAAAAAAACTGATTGCACATACTTTACATGTTTAAAGAAACACCGAAATTGGAAGATATTTTGATAATTTTAAAATGAAAAATTGTTTGAATTTGATTCAGATTTTTTTGGACCTTGAATGATTAGTTTGAGGATATGTTATCATTACGAGGACAAATTATTACTAGATATGGAGAGAAGATATGTAAAAAATTGAATCATGTTGGTATAATTTTTTGGTATGATTTTTGGGTTGATTTTTGGTTGGCTTTTGATCTGGTTTGATCGTCAATGTTTATGGAAGATTCGGTAACTTTATTTGTAATTTAATTTACTTTCTTCTTTTTGGCTGAATTTGAAGAGGAAGCTTTGGCCACTGTTGAAGACTTGACGATGGCTCCATTGGATTTACCAGAGTGGGCCATTCTGATATGATTATTGAGTTGATTAGGCTCAAGGAATGGTTCTTTACATATATAACAAAATATTGCTAGAAATAAGAGTAGATTGCGTGTTAGAGTATTATTAAAAGCTGACAATTTTAACATTTTAATTATAAGAAAATATTACCTTTACTACGATATGATGAACAAGTTCGAGCATGTTTACGAAGAGCTTTTATTGCAGTACATTCTTGGGAATAGTTGTCAAATACCTTTCCACATGGACAACTTACAATGTGTCGATATTTTTCAAGTAATTCAGGATTTTCTGGGTGAATTCGGCGAATATGAACTTTCAAACACGGAATGGAATGGAATGGAGCATCGCAAATATCACAGACAGCACCTATTGAAGGTAAATTGAAAATAAAATGTTAGATTAATGTGAGATTCAAGCAAACTAGCCTGGCTTACCATTTTTCATATAAACACTGCATCTTGCGACATGTTGACGGAAACTATCATAAGCAGCTTTATAACCCAGAGTATTTTTACTGAACTGCTGACCACATTTGCAAGTATAGAACTGTCTTTTGATATCTCCATTTGTCCCATTTGTAGTTTCTTTTGTTTTTTCATTACCTAATGTCCCTGAATTTTTAGTTGAGTCAATTGTTTCGTCTTTACTATTTTTATTTGTTCGATCACAGCTGTTTGGTTTTGTTCGATTGTTTGTTGGATTTTTTGAGCTTTCCAAAAGCTTGAGATAATCATCATTTTTGACCAGCATGACATCAGGTCCATTCAAAGGGAATGATGGATGAAGTAATTTTGCCTGTTCCAATTTTCTTGTTAGGTCAAGATTTCGTTGTTTCAAATGATTGATAAAATCGTTTTTCAATTTTTCCGTTTTTTCATTACCTTTACAAGCCATTGTCCTAATGGTTTGTGTCGCTTTCTCAGACGAAAATCTTGATCTTGAATCTTGAGACATATCCAAGTTTGTCTTACTTTGTACAACATAATCGCAATCTGTCTTTATGGATTCATGAACGATGTCTAACCTTTTGTCCACTTGATCATGAAACCTGTTCTTAAATGCTCCGAAATACCAGGATCTCAAGTGAACATTTTGATCCAGATACCGTTGTTTTTGGCACATGATTTCCCCAATTTCGTTTTTTAATTGTGATCTACGATTGAAAATAGATGAGTCTTGAGTTTGAGCCAGTTTCGATTTTATTTGTATCATTTGTTCCTTGAGTATTGCATTGGTTTTTTCCAATTGTTCATAAATAGCTTTAACATCTTCCTTTGTGATTTCATCTTCATCACTATCACATTCTTGATTATTATTGCCATCAATTTTACCATTCATCTGATAGTTTTGGTCACATATGTTTTGATTATCTGAGACATCTTTGGTATGAGTATAATTGTCAGAATAGCTCGTACTGATAGCTGGTTGCGGTCTGATATGGAGTTTTCTTCGTTCTTCGCATCTAAATTCATAATTTATATCAATCTCGATTTGCTGTTCTTCTTCTTCGTCATCATCATCGATCTCAGTAATTTCTTTCTTGATATGTTCAGGACCAATCAGGAAGCTAGAATTTTCTCCTATTGAAATTAAATAAGAAAATTATTAATCATATTTAATCTAGTCAATGAATAAAATTACTTTACCTTGAAAGGCAGTGGCCATTTTATTTTAGGGAAAAATTGTCTTCACTAATTTTCACATGAGAGTAATAAAGGGAAAGTTGATTACAACCTCTTTGATACTGACGTTATTAAAAACGTTTGATTGATATGTTGAAGTCGTAATGACCATTGATTGTATTTTAGGTAGAAGTAATCAATAAGAGTCAAAGATGATGGACAAATTATTAATGGCAGTGAAGATCACATTATCAAAACATTGATATGTATATGGTTTGTGACAGGTCACTTCTGTTGATTGAATTCAATTTTTAAATACTGAACTGATAAAATTAATCACTTTGAGTTGAACAAATGGGCATAATAAAAGGATATTTTTGTAACATACCAACACAATTTAAGAATTTTAAACACGATGATTGTAATGGTGAAAAAAGCAAAGAGACTCAATGTACAGTATATAGTCCGTATACAATATACAGAATATAGTCTGCAATGTTTTCCCTATGTTAACCACTTTGGATTAACTAGCCAAGAGATCAAATAATTTCATCAATTACGGGTATGAATTAGATATGTCAATTAATCATATAATAGAACAAAGCTTAAAGTAATTAAGAAAACTAGAGAAGAAGCAATTAAAAAGGAGCAAGATCAAAAATACACAAATAAAGGTGAAAATGTATGATAAGCAATATGTCCCGGGTATGTCCCTACTAGGCAACTCGAAAGACATAAACAACTGTTTCTCTTTCTTTCCTTACTTCACCTTTATTGTTACCAACAGAAAATGTTCCCTCGTTTTTTTTTCATTTCCCAATTTTAATTTGCATCTTTTATTATTTTTCCTGTGTCTTTTCCTCATCATGTATGTTAATTATTTCATTTATGTAAACAACAATAGATGGATTGGGTTAATACAAGCAACAATGGGTAATTTGATGGTGAGTGATCTAAGCTCATAATGTCTTTAAACTTTGAGTGATGATAAGCGTATCACTATTAGGATGGACTATCTATCAACATGAACCCAATATAATTCAAAAAGATCCAGTTAAACTATGTTGTGATTAAAAACAGGTGATGTTTAAGCCCCGTTAACTGCATAATTGACTGGCAGATAAACCAGTTAACAATAGGAGCTTCACTTCCTTTCAAGCGATGGCATTATTCATGTTTAACGTACGTAATATATTGCCATTGGATCTGAACAGGTTTATTTAGTTTCTTGAAATAACATTCTGCTGAATAGGAAAGGATAAATGAGTTCCTGCTCTTGATTTCCAATTTTCTGGCCATCATCAAATTTTATTATCAACACGTAAGCGCCTTGCAATGTGAAAGTAATAGTTTCAGGCTTATCAACATGAAGGTCTACGATTCTGATATTTACACCCAAACAAGAGAATCTCCTACTCGTTTGCTATAAATGTCAAAAATATTTTCATTCCTATTGAAAAAGGATGGTACCTTAAAATCACACCCAATAATGAATTGGAAAACAAAGTGAAGGCATATTTTTTTGTACAATTCTGTTTATTTAAAGCATTGAAATTGATCATAATGATTTGAAAGTTTGAAATTGAATCTAGGAATGGTAAGTAGATGCCCCAAATCAATGAGTCTTTTGTTTCTCGATTTAATAAAAGAAGAGGTTACGCATTTTCTTGATTGGAACACGAATTTCGCATTAAAATTGAAAGATATAAATATACATACATATTTATATTTAAATTGTACTGTTAAAAAATGAAGCTTTCAATACAAGGAAAATATTGAACATGGCTGACATTTGGACGCAAAAACTCAATATGAAATGAATAAAGTAGATTGCATTAATGATGGTTGACAAATAAAAAGTAGACAGATCTAGAAATGCAGTGAAGGTAGGCGAAAAGTTGAAAATGTTTTACCAGGTTTACCAACCAATCGATCCACAATTAATGACAACAAGCGTAATACCGTGGAAACGAGCAAACAAAAAGTAAAACCTAACTGGTAAAACATTATGTTGATGAGGATAACGCTGGAATTGAATGTGATCTCAGGCAGTTGAAGTTTTAGCTTTTGTAGTTTGTATGTTTTGTTTTCTTCTGTTAAAAACAGGAAGAGAGTTAATAGTTGAGTTTTGATTAAGTACAAAATCCTGTTCTGCAAGGTTATAATGAACGAGAAAAGGTGAAGTGGAAGGTGGAGATCACCTCTTAATAAGCTTCCAGAATTGATTTGCCACAGGTCAAATTGAACGTGTTTAAGTTGAGCTTCTTCTCTTCCTTCTCTCAGCTTTCCATTACTACCATGAAACAACGGCAACAGGATTGTTTAATTTCAACTCTTTTTACCATTTACTTTTTTTTGTTTCCCAAATTGAATACTTTATTTAGATTGATAGTAAAAGCACAGGTTAACTGGAATCAAGCAAAGCCAACATGAAAGGAAATATCTGCAATTTGGTAAACTTCATTTGATAATTTCATGTGACAATGGCATGTTGATTTGACAGTGCGATTGTAAACAGTTGCCGTTTTTATTTAAAAAGTCATCCTTGAGTTATTCAGATGAATAAAAAAACGGAAACCACTGTTTATGCTGCTTTAAACCTCCGAGTGGGAGTCTCAACGCTTTTTTACAATCAAAACTTGAGAAAGGTTGAAAAATGGTTCTTTGCATCAATCATCTGGCTTTATCTTTTTTTGGAGCTTTAACAACTCATCAACTTTTCAATCAACACTCAGTTTTGAAGATGATCATCAGCTATAGAGAGGAAAATAAACCATCCGGCAATAAAATCAGCACGTCAATTTGCCTTTTCTTTTCCAATGAATTATTGAGAAAAAGTTAAGAAAGGAAACAGAAGAATCTGAAATCAGCTGAAGATGATGATAGAGCAAGCATATTGTAAACTTTGATGAAAATAGTGATGAATCTTTTGAAGGAGAGATAAAGTGAATTGAAAAAGTGGCATTTGGTTGGTGTGGAAATGAATGGTTAATACAAAGATCAGGTCAGCTTTTGAATGTTCATTTTTTTACAATCAACTCGACCCTTTTGTTTCCATCACAGAGTAATTATGGTTATCGTTTAGTCTTTAAAGTACTCTCAGTCTGTGACAAGACATCAATGGAATGTTGAAGTTGAAAATGGCGATTCTGACTGTCACGGTGATGATTATAATTACAATAATGTCCTAAGTAGTTTGAATGTCTTAATTCTGTTCCATTTTCAACTTTTCCTTTCATTGACTCGGCTTATTATTTCTCGTTTGCTTGTCTCTTTGTTTTTTTTGTTGCCTTTTTTCCTCTCCATCCCTATTTAGTCTTCCATCTCTTCCATACGACAATGGATTGCAGTTTCAACAACCTCTAAACTTGCATAATCAAGCTCTTTGATGAGACACAATACAGCAGATAATATGTTGGCATTCTGTGAAAAGAAGGAGAAAAAAGAGAAACAATTGGATGAGTAAAACGATGAAACAAGAGAATAGAAAAAAAGTTGAAAATGTTGAAAGTAAATTGAGCCTAATAACCATCTTGATTGACTTTGTGAAATTGTTGAATAATGGGTTGACCATTGAAAGATGATTTCCATGTTAAGGGATTGAGTGTTAGTAAATATGATATCCAAATGAATTCTGATAATGATCATCTTTAAGAATTGAAACATTGCCTTACCCTGTTTCGACCGCCTTTGGATAATGGCTTTTGTTGACTTGATATTGATTGAATTGATTGGTAACCATATCGTCTACCTGCGCCACTCCCATTTCCACTTCCTCCACTACTTCCACAGCTGCCAGATCCTCCTCCAACATTGCCTCCATGAGAGGACAAAGGTGAATATCGTTCATTTCCTGAACCATTTTCATTGTGATATTGGTAAAGATCATGAGTTTGATCGGAAATGCAACTTTTGGTATCGGTTGAACGACAGTGGCCAGCTGAATTGTTGCAATTGGATCCATTGTACATATTATAGTCACTAACGCTTTGTGACCTGCAGGGTAAAACAAGGAGAAAGGGCAATGAGAATGGTTCATTCAAAACATGATAGTTATATGAAATTTTTCATTTTTTCAAGGTTTTTTTCTGCTTTAAAAAAAATACAGAGAGAGGCGTTGAAAGATGGCTTTGAGTTTTGATGAATTTGTTGATTTTAAATTAACAGACTGTCAGAAATACAAGGTTAGATGATGCGATTTTTTCATTCATCTGACAAAAAATGACAAAAGTCAACAGAAGTTGAACATATTCCCAGTCAAAAAAGGAATATCTCTGAATCCTCTCACGCAGTTGAAATGATCAGAAATATATTGAAATATCCAACTTGAGCCATAAATGGATATGAAGCAAATTGTCAGATTTTCCCATAAATAGACAGACTTCAATAATTTCTCAACATGAGCAACTACAATGATTAAAATGAACAAAAGCAGTAAAATTATTTGCATCAGGAAATAATAATGAATGAATAATATTAATGAGAATTGAATTGAATTGTATAAAAAGCTATTTCAACAAGCATACCAATCTATTAATACAGTGATTAGAGGAAGTATAACTAATAAAGTTGATTTTCTGCATTTTAGGTCCATCACGGTCAGGTTAAAGCCATGGTCAAGCAGAAAATTAAAGTTAAATGACATTAAATTAGCATAAAATGTTTTACTAATGAAAAACTTGATCATAATGATATCTCTGAAAGAGTCTTCAGTAGTTGATAGTTTCAAGTTTCCTGTTTTTTTTTGTTTAAACCTTCAGGTCATTTGAAATAGGAGACAAAGATGAGTATCAAATATTAATAAATGATCAACAAAGATATAAAGTGCAATAAATCATTTGTAGATGATTTAACCATCTAAAACCTTGTTTACGAGCTGATAAAACATTAATGGCGAGTTGAAGCTTCTCAAAATTATTCATGAAGAAGATGCAAAACATAGGATTGTTTTGAAGGAAATGAATATTATTTAGTGATTCTGTTGGGAACAATCAGGGTCATTAGATGAATGAAAGTTGAAAAGCTCAGACCGATTGATTGTTTTGTGATGATAATTTGAAAAAATAAGGATAACGTGATTGGTGAACTTGAAGAAAGTTATGTTTTTTAGGTTAGCGAAGAAAAAATTTCATTCATCTTCCATTATTCAATCAATCGTCAACTAATTACATTTACTTTCATCTTATTGTCACGGTAGTTGAATTGAATTTTATTATGAAGACTTACTGATATTTTTATTCATTGAGTTTGACACGATTCAGATGAAAACGTGTCTTCCAATGTTAATTTTTTTTTATCATAATTCAGTAGTTGAACAACTTGTTATTCAAAGAGTTAAATGGTTCATTGGATTGGGTTGATTGGAAATCGTTGAAACATTGTAACCCAGTAACAACTAACTTGGCAATTATTACGGACCAATAATCAAAATATTGATGATATATTTTCAATATGTGATCGACTATTCACTGTCATCATTCATATTGATCATTTTAAACTATTTTACTTTTCAATCAACTCTTATTGAAGATTGTTTTTGCAACAACCTTTCAATTAATTAAAGTTGCTCCAAGCAATGATAGGTTTAATTGATTGATTTACAATTAAAGTGAATGGTTAGTAAATTGTTAATGACACCTACACTTACAAGCTGAATGAAGGTTTGATTGATCTGATGAGAAGCATTGCTTTCATTTTATAGTTTTATTATTAAAATATTGAGCATTTTTATACGGAAGTCAATCAAGTTGATTAAAGGTTGATCATGGATAAGGCAAAAATTAGGCTAATTTTTGTTTAATAAACAGTTTTTGGTGCAAAGAATTAAATTGGAAATAAAATGATGCAGAAAATATTGAAATTGATGGTTTTACTCGAGATTTATTTGCTTTTTATCTTGATCTTTACTTTTACACTGATTGCTATTTAACTTTGAAACTTAATTGTTGTTTTCATTTGGTTTGCATGAAGGAACATTGAAAATATCAAATGATAAAGAGAAGTTTCGCTTGACTGAATGACCAAATTTTGGTCAAAATGTAGTCATCTGGAAATGTAATTTTGAAAAATGGTTTAAATTTAGTGTGTTTGGGTTAAAATTTTAATTGGTGAGTTACAACAAATTAACTAATGAGTGAGTGAGAGTGCTAAAAATAAACCCAAAACAAACATAAACCAACGCCATTGTTAAAATAATCACAAATTAAACAACTATTAAGCTAACACGAGTCTTGACAGAAACTGTCAAATTGATAACTGAAATGAATCAATGTAATGGTTATATTTAATGATTTATCATGAAAATGTGTATAAAAGTCAATGGAAGGCTAATTTTTTACGCTTCTTTCAGTCAACACGTTAATTAGCTAGTTAGTGATGTTTGCAAATCACAATCATTTAATTGGTAGCAAGATTTACAGACAAAAAATAAGGTCGACCTTTTTCTTTCAACTATTTTCACCAAAACACTTCTACTTTTCGCATTTACTTTTAAATACAATCTCACAATTAACCGACTATTAAGCAATGGAAACCTTGCTCCAGAACTTCATCTGAGTGGATCATTATCAATTTATTTTTTCACCTTTCATCGTTTGTCTTCTGCTCATTTTTTCACCGTTCATTCAATTATCTGCTTCAAATTGTCAGTTTAATAGCAAAAAAAGTGTTCGTTATCACTTGAAAAATGAATCGCTCATATAAGTGTAACCAAAATTTCATATTATTGGTTGTTTCCAATGAAAAACATTCAAGTGTAACGAGTTACCAGAAATGGCGATAATTTATCTATTTATCGTAAATTATGGTGGGAACCTTGAAAATGAATGTCACTTTTCGCAAGTGAAACTTGAACACATTTGAGATTTTTAAAATGAATTTTTAAGATTCAAATATTTGATATCACTTGAATTTAGCAATTTAAAGTTAAATATTTCAACTTTTCAATGTTTTTCCAGTTCATCAATCATACCATTTACACCAATTTTTAGGAGTGACAAGGAGAGTTGCTGATCAATTAACAATTTACATACCTTAATATTGTTGAAGAAGCTGAGGATGGATTAGATGTGACTTGTTTTGCTTCTTTTGAATTCCATGTATCTGGACTAATTTCTTGTAGGCTATAACGTTGCTGCAATTGAGCTTGAGACAATGAGTGTTGCTGAGTGATTTGAGGAGTAATTGAATGTTGAACACCATTTCCCTGTTGTTGGGTTTGTTGTAGTTGTTGTTGCTGCTGCTGCTGTTGAGGTGGTTGTTGATTTTTAATCTTATTTTCTGAAGATGAAATTGATGGATTGGACCCATTTTGAGGTGTTGAGCTTAAAGGTTTAGTATCTTGAATGAAGTTAAATGATCCATCGTCCTTTTCTCGGTAGGTTACACTTTCTTCACGAGAAAGTTCAACGTCTTCGTCATAAGTCTAGGATAAATGAGAGAAACAAGATTGATTAGTTTAATTTTTCATGTTACGAAGTTAAAAATATTGAAAGTAGAGCATGGCTGGAAGACTGAAAGTAAAAGCAGAAGGAAAATCTGATGAACTTATGGCATTCTGGTTAATTGCAGTGATAATGAGATGAAAAATTTTGTTATTACAGACGAGTGAAATGAGTGTTACAAAATGATGAATAATCAACTATTTAAGATACAAAAAGAGACAACAAATGTTGCCGGTTGTCCTGCGTGACACTCAATGCACCAGAAAACAATAATTTCTGAGAATCAAGTTGATTAAAAAAACATGAATGCTTTAAACAGAAACTTGTAATTCGATTTCATTCGCTATAAATAAACATTTGATTATCTTTATCCGGTTTACAGTAATAATGATAATTTAATTGTCCTTTACACCAACCTCATAATCTTCATCATCTGGCAACTGTTGTTGGATGGGCAATTTTTGATGTGAATGGCCATTAAGTTGAGGGTAAGTTGATTCTGTTGAGAAAATGGAATAAAAGAAATTTATTAATATGGACAATTTTTCAGGTAAAATTTAAACAGTTATAATAAGTGTAAAAATTGGATGGAAATGTGATGATAATAATTTTTAAAGGGTAAACTCAGACAGGATGGAAATGAAATAGATGATAATTGGTACGTTCAATTGAATGGGCAAAATTCTTGACGAAGAAACCAAAATCAGGAAAAAAAAGAGGTGACTGCTAAAAATAGTGCTAAAAGCTGGTTATAATTGTATCCTTTTTTTCAAGATTAACCGTTGATTGAGTTTAACCTGGTTAGTTTGCTGGTACTGAATTAAACCAGAGAAACACCTTGATTAATTATCAATAAACGAATCCTCATGATATCGTGCAACCTTTAATCTATTAATTTATTTCTTCATCATCACTTGAACCATCCGATTGAACAAAATAAAGATTAACCATTAAACCAAGATTTTTGAGCAAGATTGGGTTAACTCACGTTCAGAAGTTGGATCATAAATATCATCACCCAAAGTTTGAGCCTTGGCTAACTCTGAAAGAAAGATGAAAATTGATTAAAAAATGGGAATTGAAAAGAATTGGAAATTTTAAAAGAAATATTCTTGGATGGGATCAACGGGTTAATTGAGAAGGATGATTTACTTTAGACTTAAAATTTAATCTCTACTAAAAGGGTAATTGAAACATGATGTTAAAATGTGGGATAAATGGACATAACACCTTAAATAACTACATTTTTTCTTGCTTTTGTTCATTATTCTTGTTATTGCTAACTATTGTTGTTTTTACTCTTCACCAGGATGAAGGAAGAAAATGAAAAAAGTTACAGAAATGAGAGCGAACGGTCAATTGAATGGATGCATCGAAATAGGTGGGCCTAATTTGGTTCAAAAGTGAAGGGTTTAATCATGTTTGAAGGGCCTTTTAGAAAGGGAAAATGAGAAGCACATCTAAAGATTGAGTGATTCTCCAAAAAGATTCAATTTGAACTAGAATTAATTGTAAACAATTGTACAATTCAGTGAAGCGAGAACGAAAATGAGACGAGGTTGATGTACTTGAATATGTTCTAAATAGTGTACGTACAATATTAACATAAGAGCACATTAATATTGTTATATTACTGTAACATGTAGAAGTCTTATTCAATTATCTTAACCAAAGAATCTACGACAATAGAATGATAATAATCGGTATTAGGCGATGAAGAGTTGTTGTTGAGAATATATTGAGACTTTAGACAGATAAAATTACAATTTAAGAGTTTAATTTATATTACAACTCAATTGTAACGAAGAGTAATTGGAAAGATTATTGTTGATTTCAGAAATATATTTTTGAATGGCTGTAAGCAAAAGATTGACTTACTATTGGAAAGAGTAGACAAATATGCCAAAATATATTAGTGAAATTGAAACAAATGGATGATTGACTTACCTTCGGATGTTATACTGGCATTGTCCAGTGTTTCCAGTCTAGGAAGGGCTTTAATAATGGTGTAGCGGTAATTGGCATGTTGGTTACATGGATTATCTTCGAGTGATAGTTTCTTTAAATTGGGAAGATCTTGAAGGTAATAAATCTCATTAATGTTGGAGATTTTGTTCTTCCGTAAGTACAATTCTTGTAGATATTTACACGAATTGAAGTCTTGAAGACTGGCAATATTATTTAAAGATAATGATAAAACTTCCACATTTGGCATTCGTTGAACAATCGAGATATCGGATAACTCGCTTCCCCAACAGTTGAGCTTTTTTACATTCCTTAAATCATGAGAGCGAGTTCGACTCAAAACAATGTTTTCGGTTAGAACAGAAGACATTTTTGGACGTTAGTGGGAAACAGTTAAACTCATTGCCCGAATAAAAACCAGGATTAACCAGGGGCAAAAAATATCCACACTAGAAACCAAAAAATCACAATCCTGGTGTGCGCAGTAAACCAAATGGTCTAATTTGATGAGATTCAATATTACATCCAAAAGAAGCAAATGAATGGATTATAGAAATATGTAAGATCGATTAAAATGCGAAATCAGCTTTCCAGTAAGTCAAGGTACGATCAATAAATTTTGTAAACAAATTTGGAAATGACAGCAGGAGGAATAAAAGGCATATGAGACAATCAATAGGATTAGAGATGCTAATGCATTGCAAGATAAGTAGGAACAGAAACAAAAGCGATCAACATTTGAACATTAGATGGTGAAGTTATTTATTCAAAAATATTTAAATAAATGTTTGTTTGTTAATGTGTAGGTAATTCTGTAACAAAATTTATCCAATAAATGGTATAAGTATATATGTAAACATTAAAAAATCCAATTTGTTGCTAAATGAATGGAAGATTATATGGCACAAGAAAGTAAAAGAATCAAGATAACTTTTATAACGGTGATGGGTTCACTCATAATGCAAACAACATAATGAGAGATACTCCATGAGTTGAATAAGCCTTCAACATGAATAAGTTGAAAATCTTGAAACTGTAATGTTGATTTACCTGTTCCCCAACAATCATAAGCAAATTGACAACACGAAAAAAAACAAGTTTACCAAATTTGTTTAAATATAAACCGTTAGATGGCAGTCAACGCAACGGGCGTTGACTTTCATCAAAAATGGTTAATTAAAATGGCAATCATTCAATTAACAGATAAATTGTGATCAAAAAATGTAAATGTCATAAAGAAATCAACTTCTAATTGAAGAATCAGTTATTTAACCATTAAAAACGCATAGACTACCAGTATTCGTTTAAATAGAACCGATAACTTATTGAAAGGAAATGTTGATTAGTAAAGTATAAATGAATGAAACACTCAGAGTTCCATCTTTAGTATACACATGTTGTTTCAGGGTGTGAAATTTTCTGTTGCAATTATGTCATCCGGCAAATTTCCAAAAATAATATGGCTGCAAATGAAGATAGATTGTCTTATATGGATTTACCAACATAGTATATTTGCTGTTTTGAATCGTCGGTTGACTTGCAATATTTCAGTTATGGATTTAAGCTATTGAAATGATAACAATTAATAAAAAATCACACTTTATTAAACACTGATTGTATTAGTAGTATTAATATGGGAATTTGGGATTGAATAAGTTGGTAGATCACATGTTAAGTGTTATTTGAACAAATAACAAAAAGTTACTTGTAAGAAGGATTGAACTTTGCTCAATCTCGTTAGATATTTGAATGAGTCGAAAAATATGAAATAACTCTGAATTCTATCTCTAATGAGAATTACATTCACCATATACTTAGCATATAGTATTGTAAAATGTATTATAAATCAATCAATAGATAATTTTTGCTTATGTCATCATCGTTGGTTCGTTATTGATCATCTTTATCTTTAGCACCATGTTTAAGGATTTTTGTAAATTCAGTATAGTTGAACATTCCACCTTCATCGATTGGAGCTTCTCTATACATTTCATCGACCTGAATAGATAATATGAAGAATAAAAAATGAAAAATATTAATAAAATGAATAAATAGAGTCAGGAAATACAAAAAATGAAAAACAAAAAGTAACAAGCTTACATCTTCATCATTGAAACGATCACCAATTGTAGTTAACAACTCTCTTAGTTTTTCTTCATGGATCAAACCATTGTTATCTTCATCAAAACATGCAAAAGCATTTTTTATCACATCTTCAGGATCTGTACCTTGGAGTTTCTCACCGAATAACGTTAAAAACATGGTAAAATTTATTGGACCAGGAGCTTCACTCATCATTCCTTCCAAATAATTTTCATCTGGATTTTTACCCAAAGAAGCTAACATCTCTTGTAGATCATCTTTATCAATAAATCCATCACGATTTTGATCAATCATGTTAAAAGCCTCTTTAAATTCTTGAATTTGGGCTTGGTCAAACATAGCAAAAACATTGCTAGTTGCCCGATGAGCTCGTTTTTTAGCGAATCCACGACCCTTTCCTTTTCTGGTATTAGACATGCCAGAAGGTGATGTTGAACTATTGGAAGCCGTGTTGATTGATTAAAATTTTTGTACCTTAACAAAAATAATTGAAAAAATAATTTAAACAAATAATGACACTAGATTATAAAAAACTAGTCAATGAAAACACAACAGTTAGTAAGACAAAACAAAACAATATGTTAAAACTACTATTCTCCTCAATGTACTGTAGTCACTAGTAGTGACAAAACTCAGTGCCATCTATTGTAAATCTATTCAAATATTGTAAATTATTTTTTAACTTTTCATTTCTTTAATATTGAAGTTAGTTTTGAAAGATACATAAGTGTATTGAGAAATCAATAAATTAAGGATTTTCATGCATTCAATTCAAAATAATCCTGCATTCATCAATTTTTCGAGTTCTTGCCTGCTTCTTCTTGGTATCAATAAAAGTGGCAATAAAATAATGGTTTTCAGTTAATTTCGGGAATAATGAAAGAGTTTTCCTATCAATTTCAAGAACTGTCCAATATACTAACCACTTTAATGTACATGTTGGTGATGAATAACCAATTAAAAGGAGATATTTCATGGATCTGACGAATTTTTCCATTTCTGTAAACATTCTCGGATAATCAATATCTTCCAGAATAGATGGACAACTAGAGTTAGTGCACCATCTATGAAAATAACTGTAATCCTCAGGATCTACCTGGATATCTCTGGTAAGATTATCGCAGATAGATCTACAATATCCACTGTTGTCATAGGGTATTAGGTGTTCAACATGATCTTTGAACTGTTCCATGGTCAGTTTGTTAGGGTAAAAATCAACTGAAAGAGGATCGACTTTAATAGATTTGATAATGTTGGAAGTAACATTATCAATATCCTTCTCTATCAATGTTAACATAAAAACGTCTGTCTTATCAAATGATGATTTCGATGAACCACAAGAACTTTCCAGTTCCGAGGTCATTTTCTTGGTTAATTCGGTGTTTTCATGGTACACATTTGCTTCACTTGGAAACGTGCGAATCACCACATCCTCTTCCAGAAGTCCTTCGCCAGCCAGGAGTCCTCTCAATAAACGGGTGATTGATCTTTCGTTTCGTAAAGTCTAGATGAGAATATTTAGATTAAAAAATAAATTTTACTGAATTCGAAAGTGTCTAAGGATTTTCTTGTTCCAGTTTTATTTCGAAATGTAACTTATGAGCCTTGTATGATTTCATTCTTAAAGATAATTTCTAGGTTAATTATCTTTTTGTGATTTGTGATACTGATTTTGTGAATCAAGGATCGGATCGTTAGGCAAAACGGTAAGGGTATACAAAACTCTCCTCAGGATTCACTAGAAGACCAAAATTGACCAAAATCGGCCAGAAATGACCAGAAATCAAAGAAGTCACTAAATGACCAAAATATCAATTTGCAAATGCTTTATTGCAAAAAATTATAAAATAAATGTTTTCATAGCTATGAACCGAAGAAAATTCATAGCTTGGTTCATTGTGCTATTTTGTGCTATTCAAACTTTTAAATATGGCTGAATGTTTAGTAAAACATTTATTTTATAATTTTTTGCAATAAAGCATTTGCAAATTGATATTTTGGTCATTTAGTGACTTCTTTGATTTCTGGTCATTTCTGGCCGATTTTGGTCAATTTTGGTCTTCTAGTGAATCCCACTCTCCTCACGCTCTCTTTGTCTTAAAGTGTTGCATCATTTTATAAGGTCCGTGACTAGTTGAAAGAAAATATTAAGATATCAATTAACTTACATTGTCCTAATTTGAAATATCGCAATTTATTCTCACCGAAACCAGATTTTATCTCCTTTATTATCATCAACGAAGAAAATTGAAACAATAGAAAAAAACAAAACAAAATTTTAATTTCCATTGAATTTGGTTTAATTGATGTTCAGTTTAACAACAATATTTGTTGATAACAACGGGCAAGAGTATCTCACTGCAAAGGAACTAAAACTGGTTACTTGCGCTTCTCTATTCAAGTAACTAGACCATCTTTGGAATGTAAAAAAATGGTTTTACCGATATTCTGGCCTCTTCTAACATTAAATGTTTGAATGGGATGAACGTGAAATAACTGGTCAAGTTACTCTTCACTTATGACCAGTTCTATGCGTTTGTTTACCGTACGCCATTTTGTGTTAAATATTATTACATTATAATACATAAAGACCTTTGTGTTTTATAATTGAGACCCGGTTCAATAAACTCAAATTGTATTTTGTTAAATCAGTTTTGTTTCAAAATCTATTGTTTATTTAAAACCAGACAAGTGCCAATGGATTTAAAACTTTATTTCATTCAATTCATCGTTTAAAATTTGATTTATTTGTCAAATCAAACTAAGAATTCACTAATGTGGAAAGCTGCTGCATCTCATGTTGATTATTATATGAATATCAAACCAGTAACGATTTACTGTGCCGGAAAGACACGGAGAACGACGGGATAGGGAAACTATGGAGTAATGATAGTTTTATGAGCGAACCAATAAGTTTATCATTCTGTAGAGTGCGATTCGATGATAACGATAATCTTTATCTTTATTTATTCAAGAATCAAACGAGTAGGTTGCATGGACCAGTCAGGATCAAGTCAAAGCATATTGAACTAGATATGAATTTTAACATAACCAAAGAGGAAATAGATAAGCATCTATTAGATAAGTTTGGCAAAGATTACAAACATGAAATTGAACTCGACTTAATGCGCCATGCTCGTTGTCTTTTGATGCAATTGGCTTATAAACTTTATGATGAAACTGACCTCAAGTCGATACCTCCTCTGAATATTAATCTTGAACTGGATTCTTCAACTGCTTCGCTTTTCCCGAAAATTGAAAAAGATGATTATTTCATATTAAACATCATAAACTTTGTTGATAGAATTTCAGAACGCGGAGAAAAAGCTACGACCTGGAATAATTGGCACCTGGAAAATGGACCTTACTGGTTCGTTAATGGTCAGATTAACTAGATTGCAGCCTCCCATTCAATCTTAAATTAACATTGTATAACCAACACTTAGCGAAATTTAAATTTTAATCACAATTGGACTTGTTTGATAATGTAAGGGAATTGTAATTAACGAGATAATGAAATTGCAACCATTCATGATTAAACACAATCCTCAGTCAGTTTATTATTTTTGTAACAAAATTTGGTAAATTTAACAGTGAATTTGTTCAGTCGATCGATAATAGATCGCAACACAACTCTTGATATACTTTTATTACAATCATAAAAGATTTATTCTTAAACTTGTAAATATTTGTTATGTTTTTGAAAATTGCGCCAAAATGTATGAAATTGGTTGTTGTATTTGTGTGTGAGGCTGCAAATGAATTACAATCAAGATATTGTTATGTTAAAATAAAACATGGTTTTTTGGGTGAAACCTACATTTTCGGTATTTCCATAGCTCCACTTGTGATCTTAATACTTCAAGGTTAACCACAGACCAGTTTTTTATTGTTTGGAGCCACAATTTGAACTGAAGGAATAGTGCTTTAACCAAAGAAAAGAGGGAGAAGACACAATAAAGAGAAAGGTCAATGAGAAAATGTTGTAAACAAAGATTCACTTTCTAGGCCTTTTATTTAACCTTTGCTGTTTAACCAAAATGTTTCTTATGAGATTAATTAGTTTTTATTTGATTTAATAATTGACATTTCTTCTATATTTGATTCAAACTTTTATTGGAAAGGTTAATGCCTTGTGAAGGAGTGTAGACAATTAAAAACTCACCTCTATGCACGATTGTTCATTGTTTTTCTTTTTCATATCTTTATCTTTACTTTCCACTCTCTCGGCTTAATTCAATTTTTGTGTCCCAACTCTTCATTTTTTTAACACCAATTAACACATGTGTTTTTAAAAGTGTATTTATTCTGATTGTGATTTTTTATTCATTGATAACCATGGCTGTACATACGGGATCAGCTAATAATACAAACAGTAGTGGTGTCAACAATGTTGGACCCAATTCATCTGCAAATAGGAAAGAAATTTATAAATATGTTGCCCCATGGACAGTTTATTCAATGAATTGGTCGGTTAGGCCGGATAAGCGTTTTCGCTTGGCAATCGGATCATTCATTGAAGAATATAATAACAAAGTTCAGATTGTTGCTCTGGACGAAGCATCATCAGACTTCTATCCTAAATCAACTTTTGATCATCCATATCCTACAACTAAAATAATGTGGATTCCCGATGCTAAAGGGATTTATCCTGATCTATTAGCAACATCTGGTGATTATCTTCGTGTGTGGAGATATAATGATTCTGGTGAAACTCGCTTGGAGTGTTTGTTAAATAATGTAATTGCTTAAAGTTATTATCAAATTTATCCATACAAGTCTAAATTATCTTTTTTAGCAGAATCGATAAAATTGAATCTTATTCTTATTCTTGAAATGACAATGTTTTAATTTTGCTCTATTTGTTTCTCTCAAACCATGTTTCACTTTCTTATAGAATAAAAATTCAGACTTTTGTGCACCTCTCACCTCTTTTGATTGGAATGAAGTGGACCAAAACCTTATAGGGACATCATCCATTGATACAACATGTACAATTTGGGGCTTAGAGACTGGTCAAGCATTGGGTCGTGTAAACCTTGTCTCTGGTCATGTGAAAACTCAGTTAATTGCTCATGACAAAGAAGTTTATGACATAGCATTCAGTCGAGCCGGTGGAGGTCGAGATATGTTTGCCTCTGTTGGAGCTGATGGATCAGTAAGAATGTTTGATCTCAGACACTTGGAACATTCAACCATCATCTATGAGGATCCTGGTCATCATCCACTTCTTCGTTTAGCGTGGAATAAACAAGACCCAAATTATTTAGCAACTTTTGCCATGGATGCATCAGAAGTTATCATTTTAGATGTCAGAGTTGCTTGTACTCCGGTTGCCAGACTTAATAATCACCGAGCTTGTGTTAATGGTATTGCATGGGCACCTCATTCATCTTGTCACATTTGTACAGCAGGTATTTTATTCACTATTTATCTTCTTGTCTTCACCTGTTCTCATTATCTTTTCACATTTGCTTTTGTCTTTTATCATTGTCTACCAGGTGATGATCATCAAGCGCTCATCTGGGATATATCACAGATGCCACGAGCCATTGAAGATCCTCTCTTAGCCTACAATGCTGAAGGTGAAATTAATCAAATTCAATGGGCATCTACACAACCAGATTGGATCGCAATTTGCTACAACAATTTTCTTGAAATTTTGCGAGTTTAAGACTCAAGTGTTTTCTCTTCTTCATACCAATTATTCATCCTTGAAAGCTAGAGGTAACCTAAAATTCCATCCACATACGAATTCATGTGAAATTTCTCATGCAATCATCCATTTTTGCAAATCACATTTCTTCCTAATGCAAATACTTTTTTTTCAAATCGATAGTTAATGTGAGATATCAAGAAGAGATTCCATTTTTTTTCGAGCCCTTCAGACTCATTTATTTATTCTGATTTTTCTTGACAGTTTTACAGTTTGTCACTAGATTGTTAGCTTTAGATAATCATGACTGGAGCAATTTTTGCTACCTGAAGACCAATTTGTATGCTCTCTTCGATTCAAAATTATTGTTGATCTCTATCAAGTTATTTAGCACGAATTGGACATCACATTTTTTACTTTGAAAATTTGATTATAAAATAAAATCAAATTATATAATTGTAATAAGGCATTCAGAAAATTTCCAAAATGACAATGCATTCAAAATTTTACAAGATTTTTTATGGCCAACTTTGTTGAGGTAATAAAGTTGAAACCTTGCTTGAAACGGGTAATCTTTGAAGAATGCGATTCGTTCATGTACAAAACAAATAGAAACTTAAAGTTACTTGTAAGAAGGATTGAACTATGTTCAATATTATATACGTTAGATATTTGAATGAGTCAAAGAATATGAAATAACTCTGAATTCTATCTCTAATGAAAATTACATTCACCATATACTTAGCATATAGTATTGTAAAATGTATTATAAATCAATCAATAGATAATTTTTGCTTATGTCATCATCGTTGGTTCGTTATTGATCATCTTTATCTTTAGCACCATGTTTAAGGATTTTTGTAAATTCAGTATAGTTGAACATTCCACCTTCATCGATTGGAGCTTCTCTATACATTTCATCGACCTAAATAGATTATTTGAAGAATAAAAAATGAAAAATATTAATAAAATGAATAAATAGAGTCAGGAAATACAAAAAAAAATGAAAAACAAAAGGTAACAAGCTTACATCTTCATCGTTAAACCGATCACCAATTGTAGTTAACAATTCTCTTAGTTTTTCTTCATGGATCAAACCATTGTTATCTTCATCAAAACATGCAAAAGCATTTTTTATCACATCTTCAGGATCTGTACCTTGGAGTTTCTCACCGAATAACGTTAAAAACATGGTAAAATTTATTGGACCAGGAGCTTCACTCATCATTCCTTCCAAATAATTTTCATCTGGATTTTTACCCAAAGAAGCTAACATCTCTTGTAGATCATCTTTATCAATAAATCCATCACGATTTTGATCAATCATATTAAAAGCCTCTTTAAATTCTTGAATTTGGGCTTGGTCAAACATAGCAAAAACATTGCTAGTTGCCCGATGAGCTCGTTTTTTAGCGAATCCACGACCCTTTCCTTTTCTGGTATTAGACATGCCAGAAGGTGATGTTGAACTATTGGAAGCCGTTTTGATTGATTAAAATTTTTGTACCTTAACAAAAATAATTGAAAAAATTATTTAAACAAATAATGACACTAGATGATAAAAAAAATATTCAATGAAAACACAACAGTTAGTAAGACAAAACAAAACACTGTGTTGAAACAGGGTGAAAGTGGCAAAGAAAAACACAAAATGAATGTTTTGCAAATCTTTCCCTTGATAACTGTCTACAGATGGCGTTAACACCATTAAATCGTCAATACTTTTACATAATCATCCTCATTATTAATCATAAGTAATCATACACTAGTATAATTAAAAAAAACTAATTACCGGATATATAGTGTAATTTTTTTACCATTACGTAATCTATTATTTGTATTCCGGCAGTGGTTGCTATTTAATCAGTCTTATGATTTAGTGACTAAGCATTCCATTATACCATTAAACACAACAAAAAGTACTTTTGTTTCAAGCCTTCTAGGTTATATTGTTTTAAGAAAGGGTGTGTTTCATTTCCCATGATACAAACATCTTCAGCTGCATAATTATCACATATCATATTAAATAAATAACAGCAAAGTTTCCTCTGCCAATAAACTGTACAATAATACGGATTTTACTGTTAAAGTAGATTAATTTTATTATTCAAATTGAGAAGCAAGAGCAATGAACTGGGAAGGAATAAAGATTTTCTCTTCTTGAAGTATCTTGAATCATTTTCAAATGCTATTATCAACGATTTTGTCTGAATGTTTGCTATGAAACGTCAGAATACTCTCTGAATTCTTGGTATTGACCACCACGAATACGAGCCATAATTCTAGGTGCCATGAAGGTAGCTAAGATTCCAAAAATAATGGACAATGGTATTATCACGAAAACGACAACAAGACCAGGAACTAAAAAATCAAAAGATTGAAAAAAATTATGTAAACAAAATAAAATTGAAATGCAAAAAAATTTCTTACCTCCTGATTTTACAATTTTAGGTTCTGAAGGTACTGGTGCAGTACCATTACAGTGTAATTCATCAGACCAATCTCCGCAGTCGTTAACATTATTACATCTTTCTGATGGATTAATACATCTTCTAACACCGATGCAGCGATCAGAACAAACTAGAAAACAGAATGATTGGAAAATTAGTAAGTTTGGTGATAAAAATGTTAGATGAAGACAAGAAAGTTAAAAGTTAAATTACCCAAAGTAGACCAGTTAATCTGAACAGGATTAGAACTGGTAGTAAATTCCACTATAATTGTTTCAGTGCTTGAGTTGTAATAACCAGCTCCAGTTATATTAAGAGTGCGAGCATCTTTTCGGCTATTGGAATCATAAACTTTGGCATCTTTTAGACCATCACTGAGGGTGAAGTTGAGAAAGTTGATAGTTTTGGTGTCTTCAATTGGTGTTTGAATAATCAAAATGCATTTTTCTGGTTTATCAGTTCCATTTATGCTCAATAGGCCAGATTTGTTCATAGAAACACCTCCACATTGAATTGGTTCAAGAGTAGCATTGAATCCTCGGCCACTTAATCTTTCCCCAAGAGTTCTTACTGTTTTCGCATCACTGTTGAAAACTCTATTGAAGTTAATAGCAACTTTGTTGGAAACAATTGTGTCACCAGGAATGTTTGATTTGGTGAGATTCACGGTCCCTGTTGATCCAAGAAATTCTAAACTATGATTATCGACGAGGTCTACATCGTTGAAGCTAATGTAGATATTTGATGAAGTCGAGTTCATATGTCTACAATTTTTGGTCATCGTCCATTCTGTCAAAGGATAGTTGTTTGGATAATCACAAGAAACGAAATTTTGCTTTGCAGTGACTTCAATATTTGCACAGGCATCATATGAAATAGTGTCAATAGATGCTTGGATCAATGTTATGGAATTCTTGTCACATACATCAGCTCTTTGATAAATAATACTATGGGAAATATTTGAATCCAGGTAGAATGTTGGCAGGCTCATGGCATTTTCTCCCGTAATCGTGAACTCATGTGTTCCTCCATATGCATAAGATTTAATAGACATTGAACCACCTTTTTCGAGAGCCAAATTAGAAATCACCAAAGATTTGACAATCTGATAATCCTGGTTTGAGTCGGTGGGTTTTGGAGGAATGATCCAATTGTATGCACTCTTGCAATCAAGTTGATTGCTAAAAAGTACAAGATTGCCTTTGCTTTGTCGAGCAGTGGATCCAAGGTTTGCAGATAGTGATTTCAGCTCAATAATCATTTTACCTGGAAGTTCCTTGAAATCTAGAACTAAAAGGTCAGAATTTGACCAGAGGCTATCAGGGCAAACATCATCTGCTTTGAAAACAGCAAGCAACTTGTCGGAGCTCGTTATAGGTGAATCATAAATGTAGGTGGTGTTTGCGAATTTTTGTCCAGGAGCAGCAGATAAAACAGCATTCAAATTTGCGTTTGCTTTGAATAAAAATTTTGTTGGCATGTTAGGAGTACTGAAATCTAGTTTCTGCCCACCAACAATGTAATTGTTGACAACAGGTCGTAAAACATCAAAATGGGGATGTTCTCCGTTTGTTTCAAAGGCCTCATATGTGATGTAAAGCGAGGATGAGTCAAAAATTGAATTGTAGATGTTCGTCTTTATATCAGCAAAGTTTGTTGATGAAATTACAAACATAACAGGTGATGATTTCCTGTTACCTTTGCGAACCACGAAGGAATTGCCAGCTTTCACGTCAATTGGCTCTTTCGAATCAAAATTAATGTTGAGCCAATTTTTTGGGTCGTCAGACTCGATGATCCAGAGACATTTTACGTCAATCAAATTTTTGAGGTCCTCTGATTTAACAGCAACAGTTGTTTTGGGATCTTTAACAGTTAATGAAGTATAGGAACTGCATGCATCGGTGACGGAATAAACAGAGACAGCCAATGAATTTGCAGCAGATGAAATGTCTTTGATGCTCAAACCAAGTTCAATCTTATCGTTTGGACTCAGGTAATCGGGTGAATTGTTGGACCAATCTTTGTTAAATTTTACAACAATGTCTGCAGATATTGCGTCAATGCTAGCAGCAATTTTTTTCTTATTTTGGTTTGCAGAAAGGGCCAACTTCAATGTCCAATCTGCCTTCAGGACATCAGGTTTACCTGCAACAGGTAGTAGCTTCAAAACTGTGTCGTCTAGAATTGGTATAGGAGCCTTATTTTCTTTAATTTCCAGAAATAAATGGAAACTCCTTGTTGATGAGTTAACAGCACTTGTGATCAACTGGAAAATAAGGCTATTCTTGGTACCAGTAAAAAATAAATTGTTGGAAACGGAATCTGTTATGTTAACAAGTGGTGAGGTCTTATTTTTATCATCAATTGAAGATATGGCCAGAGAATCGCCGCTTTCAAACTTGATAGTCTGCAGGAACAAAAAGGCTTCAACTCTGTCTTTTGCAAGTGGTTCCGGCTGCAAGATCCAACAGCAATTTTTTCCAGATTCAGCAGGTAGGTTGATGGCTCCAGTGCTGACGTTGACATAGACACATTCAGCCTGACAATTACTGAAATCTGCAGACTGAATGCCACTGATCGAAATAATGACTAAAAAACTAACAAAATAAATAGCAGACATCTTGTTGATTGTTGACAATGATGAGATCTAATAATGCGTTGTTGTGAGAATTTTATTTCAGTATAACAAGATACAGAACCGTATGGTTGAGCAGTTTTACTGCTGCCCCCTATTGACCATACTATGCTTGTCAGCTCTTTGATTACATTTTTAAGGAGTCTACAATTCTTATTTATGTACAATTACGTGTGTAAATAAATTATTTCAGTTAAAGTACATGATTATTTTGTCTCCTTAGTGTGTCCTCCGTCATCGTTAAATGTAAAATCATCCTCACGATCCTGAGTTTTCTTCTCCTTTATCGCTTTCTCCACCGTTGTCAACCATTTCTTTATTTGAGTCCATTCTTCTTTTCCCAGAGTGTCAATTGTCCATTCTTCCGGGTCTCTCGGCATTAATGTGAGTTCTGAAAGGTAATTTTGTTTAATTTTTTCTATTTCACTGCAATTAAAAATCACATGTACCATGTCATATCCCCTCCCGCAAACACATCTTGAAAAATCTTCATCCATCTTTCTAATAAACTGAAATCTATCTATTCTTTTTATTTTCCCATTAGGATAAAAGTACGTCCATATGTTATTGGTTTCTTTCCAATATTCATCATACCATTGGTCCACTTTGATTTTCATTTGTCGCTCTATTGAGTAAAGCGTCTCTGTGGCTGACTCAATCTGGTTTGGTTGCTGAACCCATTCTTTAACAAGTGAGGCTTCATATCTTTGCCAATACCATTGGATTTCCGTCAGTTCATGTAATATTTTCAAATACGATTTAGTGAATTTACCATTGGCGTTTAGGTAAGTAGTCATTTCCTTGGTGAACATAATAATGATCTCCTCTTTGTCCACATAGGATAACCCTGAAATAGGCTTCTCCTTGTAATCTCGGATAATTGATCGTGTCAATTGTTTCAAAGCTAAAAGTTGTAGCTCATAAATTGATTTAACTCGGGAGACTTTATTAGTAATTATCATCTCTTCTTTTCCATCTTTTGTTTTACAGATTTGGAACATAAAATCTTTCGAAGATTGTTTGGGCTTTATATACCAGAATGAATTTCGGAGGATTCTCTTTTCTTTGCTCAGAATGCTCGATCGCATTTGCGGAGTTGCAAGAAATGGATGGAATCCCTTCACCTTTCTCTTGTCCATCTCTTCTGTCATCAGATATTCCATTGGTAAGGTTTTTATTGATTTATCAAAGCCCTCTAACAAATATGTTTTCTTCGTGGATGTTCGAGCTCTGTATTCAGATTTTTTAATTATCTGAGTTATCTTTTCTATGATCAGTTTGAATCTTTCTTTGGCCTCAATTTGATCCGTTGAAGTTAGTAGGTAGGCTAAAGCGGTATCTTTTAGTTTCGATATAATTTTAGCATTTATAATAAGTTTTCTTATTTTTGTCGGCAAATATTTGATATTCGTTCTTGGTGACCAGGTTGCTAATAGGTCTTCACCCATTTTATTTATGACTGTTTTTGATGATTTTTGCCAACCTAAGATTGGGACCCCTAGAATTTTCAATTTTCCTTGTTTGATGTCAGCTACACTGTAGATTTCTGTTTTGTCTCGATTCAGCTGTAGATTAATCTTTGATAGTTCATACTCCATTTGATCCAGAGTGCTCTTCACATTATCCGTAATGACTATTATGTCGTCAGCGAAAGCTCTTATGATCGTGTGTGTTGCAATTTGATTTAGGATTTCATTTAAGGCTATAATGAAAATTATGGGACCAATAGAAGTACCTTGTGGCACGCCATCTTCTTCTTGTTTGTAGTAGTTTTTACCATCTTGGTGGTATTTTAGCCATCGTTTGCTCACAAATGAATTTATTAAGTGATACGTAGATCTATCACAGTTTTTAAATATCTGTCTCATAGCATTTGAAGTGTTGACTGTGTCAAATGCTTTGGAAACATCTAGTTTGATTAACCTTGAAATAGGCTTCATCAAACGCATGTGTCTTTCCAATGATTTTATTAGATCATATCTACTTGTATCTTCCATGAATCCGAATTGAAGTTCCTTATTTATCATATTATCTAATCTATTTACTACCCTTTGTAGGAGGATTTTATCTATTATTTTGAATAGAAAATTAGGACTTTTTACCATCCTAACATTGATTCCATCTGCCTTTATGACAAAGGCACATCCTAGGGTAGAAACTTTTTGAGGTACGTGTGAAAACTTGAAAATAGATGAAATTGCAGCCACTATCACGTTTATGTTTCTGTCTACAAACTTTTTCCACATTGAGACGGTATAGTTATCCGCACATATACTCGATCCTTTTGGTCTGAAATTCTTTATGAATAAAATTTCGTCTTTCGTTAGATTTCCTTTCACATTGCTCGGTTTGTCTATGTAGACTGGTTTTTGTAGACTAAAGGTTGAAAGGAATTGCTCTCTTGATTTTCGAGTATCTTGATTTTTCCATATATCTATAACCTTTTTTGGAAAGATATATTTGTTAATTAATCGCCATTGAGTCTTCGAGTCAGTCGCTTGTGTCAGTTTCAGGAATAAACTTTTCCTGGGTCTTTTGTCTCTTCTTTCCGTTTTCTTATCCTTGTTAATTCTTGTCCATTTACCATTATTATCTGGGAAGTGAATGATATCCTGACATAGCTTTATAATAGGTGAGTTTTTGTGCCATCTAGTACTTTCTTCTTGTATATATAGATCTTTCCTATTCCATTTCCATGAGCAAACTTTTAGGACACGTCGCGATGATAATGAAGATCTCTTCAAATTTATTTTTGCAGCCACAGCGTTATGGTCTGTGTATGGGAATTTAAAGATTCTAATCCAATTGTAATCAATTTCTTTGTTAGTAATAATTAAGTCTATCACCACTTTGCCTTGTTCATATGTCGGTATATCGGGATTATTTAAGACTTTCAGATTAGCGCTATTTATAATTTCAAAAAGTTTTTTTCCAAGTTTTTCTGCTTGATATGAATGAATGTTGGTGTTCCAGGTTGAGTGAGTACAGTTCAGATCGCCTAGAATCACTATTGAATGGTCTTTATATGTGGAAAGTGTTTCAGCTATCCGCATGAGTTGATTATTTATCAACTGCCATTGATTTTCATGGAATGGTGTCATATAACATGAAATAGTCATGGTTTTGTATTCAGTAAGTCTCACGATGATCATATCATCTATCGAGGTATCCACTAGTTCATACTTTATATTACGTGAAAGGTGAATTGATACACGTTTATTTATAATCGTTTTTGCTGTTGTTTTTGAATGGGTTGAAATTTTAGGATTAATGTCACAAACACAAATGAAAGTGTTGAGGTTTTCATCTGCTAAGTCAATTGCTAGCTGATGTGTTATTGGAATTTGTCTAACGTTTATGGTGTAAAATATCATGTTGATATATAATTGTGTGTTTTGAATAAACCACGTTTTTATTGATTCCATTGGTTAACCCTAGGTGAACGACATTTCAGTCCTAACCTAACGTTGCCATGGGTTTATGCGCTTTTTTTGAATTGTAAAAGGTGATGTAATCGCTTCTGTTTTTAAATCAATTGATAGCTTGACGCTATTAATTGTCTATAAATTGTTGATATCGCGTAATCTCTGTTTATTTATTCTGATGTTTGTTTGAGTGTGGTTAAAGTTTATATAATGTCTTCCTCTTCTATTTTCAATGTATGTGTTTACCTTTTTATTTATTGATAATTTGCTAATGTTATATTTTCTCTTCTTTATTTCCTTACAGGATGATTTAAGTGCTGTTGATTTTGAAAACAAATTTGAATATATCTCTTATAGATTTCCACGAGAAATCACTAGAATCCGAAGTGAATTCAAGGATGATACCTGTCGTAAGGGTTGGACAAATACTTTCATTCAATGTTTCTTGTGTTGCGACTTGTCAGCCTTAATCCTAAACCGTTGTAGCAATCTTTTCATATGCCATATGCTCACGTTTTAGTAAAATGTTCGGTAATTGATGACGATGATACTGTATATGAGGCGTTTGGTTGTCATTATGATATAAAACGCGCCTGTGATATAGCTTGTTTCCGATTAGGTGAATTATTATTGAAGAGCGTTCCTTCTTTTGTAATGGTAAGTTTTGAGTTAATTCTGAAATGAACTTCACTCTTTAGTTTATTGTATTGAGTTAATTCTGAAATGAACTTCACTCATGATTGTATGGATATATTTAATTTCAAATGAATTTGTTTTCTTTACCAGCCTCCTTATTTGATTGGATTCCCTAATATTCGAGGACATTGTTTCCTAATTGCTGCTGTTTTACCTATATTCTATTCATTTCCTATCATGTCAAGATTATTCCGACTTAATTGTGATACTGTATTGGAGGTAAACCTAGGATTGGGACGTCGCCGACCTAGTAAACGCCCTAGAATCGAGACTCCTCGTATGTGGGTTCAATCGTTGTATAAATGTTATAAGGATTTTCATAAAATTTCAATCGATGGTTATTACGAGATGTTAAATCTTGGTTATATACAAAAGAAGGTTTTACCCGAGTGTCGCAATGATCCTGATCTTCCCGATCATCCTGTTAATCCGCGTAAGGATATATTAATGGATGTAGTTCTCATACGTGGAGTTTGTAATATGCTTGGGAATTACTGTGATAACGATTATCTGAAACCTGGTGGTGATGAATGCCAGGCTTATGGTTTTATTATGAGCAAACTTTGTTATTCTAACCCTGAGTTGTTCGGAGAGTTTATGTTTCGTTTTAAGACCACCTCTGCCTGTGGTAACTGTTGTGGCGGACCTTTTTCGTTCGAATTTGCCGTTCCTTATATCAATGTGCCTTTAGCTACTAATTTCCAGGCATTGCTTCGTAATCCTGTTCTTTTAGGTAATTCTCAGAAGTTATCTCACGCTCATTATGAGCCTCTCTATTGCCCCGGAAAACTACGTGATATAGATTTCTGTGAATACCTTGAGCACCCTGATATTCTATGCCTAAGATATGAGTTTGGTACAGTTGATGAGGAAATAAATGTTCCCAATACGTTATGGCTGACCGTAAAAGAGGAGAGTAAAAAATATAAAAGACTTTGTAGCTCTGTCGTAATTAAGTGTTACACTAATGAACAAGGTGAAGCTTATCCCCCTTTTTACCGTAAACCGATCGCTGGTGATCGATTTGATATCTGGCATACTTATTTACAAATAAGGACACAACACGGGTGGTATGAAGTTAATAATGGTGAAATTTTCCCTGTCGATACCAGGCTGTTTAAAGTGGCAACTCCAGGATCGCTCCATTTCTATCAATCCGCTGAGAATAGCTCTTTCCTTCCTGATTTAGTCAGAGAGTTTGTCAATTATTACCCTGATCGCTAATTTGATCAATTTAAGAGGTTATACATGAAATTGTATTGAAGTTCATGATATCGCTACCGCTCGATTAGTAACTT